AAAAAAAAAAAAAAGCGCATGAGATTGATAGCGGAGATTATTTGGAGGTCAAGGAAATGATAGGTAGTATCTCAGGCAAGGACTACTACTACACCCGGTTCAAGTGGATTATGGCTGTCACCCATGATCAAACACGTCAGAGGCTGCCGCAGCTGCATCCAATCAATCAAGCAATGGTCGGATCTCAGCCAAGAGGTGACGTGAGGATGATAACTAAGACCTTGCATTGCCGAAGAGAAGAACCATGCTCCGAAGTCGACATGGAGGAAATGGCATTGGAACGGGACCTTTGTTTTCTTGTATAAAAATAAGAATCTTTGTGTTTTGGCTGGAAAGATTCCAAAGTCCCTGATTATCCATCCTTCGCATGCCAACTATCGACGGAGATTGAGTGCAGAGCCGAAACAAACATGTGGCCAACAAACTGCCTGCATTGGGGGTTCCGTGCAAAAAGATTGTATATAGAAAGTACACGAAGCCATTTTTCCAGGTTGTTGAAGATGCCATTGAATGCATGCAATGCAACATGCGAGTTTTCATTTGTCCTTTTATAGTAGCCGGGCCTTGGCCACGACGTGTTTCGTTTCCTCTGGTAATATCCTCTCGGCGGATCAGGGTGGGTAGTTACTGTGTATGTGTCGGAAAACCCCCCTTTGTCCAATTTTTTCTTTTTCTTTTTTCCTTTTCTTTTTTCCTGGACTGGGGGATTTCTTTTCTTTTTTTCTTTTTTTTTTTTTTTTGGTGTCTTTTCCGATAAAACCGGTGTCGGTGTATATAAACCCTACGTCCTAAGACGTCTGGGGCGATTCTTGGTATTTGGTGTATAGTGTCAAAGTTGACGTTTGGGGCGATTCTTGGTAGATCGTGTATAACGTCAGCTGCGACTTTGGGGCGGTTCTTGGTAGATCGCTTAAAATCAGCAGTGACGCCTGGGGCGATTCTTGGTAGATCGTGTATAGCGTCGACACCGTTATTCGTGGTGTCTGTATCAAAGTTTTGTTGAAGTATTTCGTTTCCTACGCCTGCCTGTACGGAAAGAGGACGGCGTAGAAAAAGATGATGTTTTTGCTCCTGTCAAATGCTTTTTTTCCTTTTCTTCTGAACAGCAAACGTGCCATGCCGACTGCTGATAGCCTCGGAAATCATGAGAGCTAATGCTGGTCAGCCAAGAAGCGCGCGCCGGTAGCGAATATGATCCATACCCAAAGCAGCTTTTGAAAAAACTCAGGACAGGCTCGCAACGATTTCCCCAAGCCCATCCATCCAAAAAGAAACTGCTCAGAAAGGCTTCGCGACCTTCCTGCTCTCCGTCGCCCCGGTCTTGGAATCTCTGAACTCCTTCCAACTGATCGGGTACATTTGGTTTCCGGCTTCGCTCGTCGCCATCACGACGCCCATCTCATTCGTGGCCGTCGACATGTAGTAGCTCGACTGGTCGCCCAGAGAGATGATGATTCCGCGCACAATGTCTCCAACCCTGAACATATCTCCGATCTTGACGCGGTCCTTTTCGGTGGCGCGCACATCCTCACGCCTGATGATGCCCTGGAAGCCCTCCCGGCACACGGTCTCTCCGACTACCAGAATCTCCACGGTGGCTTGCCTCTGCGTCAGGCGAGTCACACGCGCCATCACGACTGAGTCGACTTCGGGCAGGATGCTGGCGGCGCCGAAGCTGGCATATGCAGAGCTCCCGTTTGCGGTAGGGCGGGAGACGGAGAGTGCGGGAAGAGAGGACGTGGTAGTAGCGCCGGGAGCGGCAGCGCGCTTGGTGGGCTTGGCCTCGAGGACAGGGCCGAGGATCGAGGCGTGAAGGGCGTTGTGCTGGATGTGGGTGCCTTGGCCGGGCGCGTACTTGTCGGCGGGGCCCAAAGGCTGGCCTGGGAGGGCAAGAGCCGGAATCGACATGGCAAAGTAGTGCTGGAGCTGCTGGCGCCGAATGAAAAGGATTTGAGCAGGACTTGTTGTTCGTGCGAGGCTGAGCTTGAAGTGGTCGGCCAATCGCAAGATACTGATCCAACTTTGTCTGCCAGATCACGTGCACCTCGGAGCTATGGCCTCAATTCCGCGGTGACGTCTCAGTGCTCTGATTCCGGACGCGCCGCATGTTCTCCGCACCAACACTCCTACTTCTGCTCCTCATGAGTCTTCTTGCCACTGTTCTGAAGAGAGCGCCACCCCAATCTGCCATACGACTTAATTCGAGAGTAAGCCCCCAACCGAGGGAAAACGGTAGAAGCCTGCCTGACTGGTGTTAGCTTTCAACCGCACGCGCCATGCATGTCCAGTCGATTCCGATGTGTGAGTGACAATCTCTGCTGCTACGCTACCATCAAGGTGCCAAATCTCTAATCTCTTCCAGGGGAGGGGAGCGGCAACAACTATGCCTACCTTGTGAGCGACGAAAAGACCAAGGATGCTGTCATTATCGACCCCGCAAACCCGCCTGAGTAAGCATTCTCGCGCAACCCCAAGCAACATGGACGGAAGCAGGCTGATTCGACCATGCGATAATCCAGAGTCCTGCCTGTTCTCAATGAACGGACCTCCAGCGGCGCTATCAACCTCAACTCCATCATCAACACACACCATCACTGGGACCACGCCGGCGGCAACAGCAAGATTTTGGAGCACTACAAGCTGCCCATAATTGGTGGCAAGGACTGTGCCCATAAGACCCAGACACCAGCACACAAGGATACCTTTACGGTCGGCAATATCAAGGTCACTGCATTGCATACGCCATGCCATACCCAGGATAGCATCTGCTACTTCTTCGAAGACGGAAACGACAAAGCGGTATTTACCGGAGATACGCTTTTCATTGGCGGTATGATGTGCCTCTGAACAATCGTGGCGAGCAAGGCTGATACTGGGTTGTCTAGGCTGTGGACGCTTTTTTGAAGGCAATGCGGACGAGATGCACGAGGCGCTGAACTCGACTCTTGCTGCACTCCCCGATGATACCAAGGTCTACGTACGTCGGCTATACTTTGCCTGTGTCTTTGCCAGTTAGCTGACTTTATCTAGCCCGGCCACGAGTATACCAAGGGCAACGTTGCTTTTGGCAAGAAGGTTCTCCAATCGGCCGCCATTTCGAGACTCGAAGATTTTGCCCAAAAGAACAAGCAAACGCAGGGCCAGTTCACCATCGGCGACGAAAAGGTAATGTCCAACAAGCTCTGAGACCGTGCTGAGACTAATGAGCTTATAGCAACATAACGTTTTTATGAGGGTCGATGACCCCGAGATTCAAAAGGCCGTAGGCCAGAATGACCCGGTCAGCGTCATGGCGGCGCTCCGCGAAATGAAGAACAAGTCGTAACGCAGTCATCTCAACGGAGCGAGATTGTTTATTAGTCGCCATATCTTAATGACAAATGTTAGCGACATTAACGTACAATAAAAATGTTCAGAAAACTTACTGTCCTCAAATTGACGCTGCTTTGTCCTCGTTTGCATATTTCGTACCTCCACCGATTTTCCATGCCATATTTTGAACCGTCTACTACAGGATACCCTAGAAAAACCCGTAGCCATTCCATAATGTATATAAACCAACCACAATTATGCTCGTCAGAGCATACCACTTCTGCATCTCCACCACACTCCAAATCCACAGCGTGCCGACCGGGGGTGTCTGCTTCATGACAGCAAAGTAGCCAAATGTGTTGCCCACATAGACGCAGTAGCAACCTCCGGCACAGGCGATGCCCAGATAGACCAATTGCCTGAACAAGGTGAACTTCAAGGCCGTCTTAGTATGGAAGAGGTAAATTATGAGCCACATGGAGGGCAACACGACGGCAGTGCGCTTCCAGACCTCAGCCCAAGCAATCTCCTCGCGGTACTGATTATGGACCAAGACATCGAGGGTCAAATGGACCATGGTCAAGCTGAAAGCCCACAGCAGCGCCTCGGCCTTGGGGCCAAAGTCCTCGTCGTCGGAGCCGGCTGGCGCTTTCGCAAACGGCTGCCCTTGCTTCTGCAGCTCGGCCATGCGCTCCTCCGCTAGGTCGTACAGCGTCTTGCCCTTGGGGCCGGAGCGGTCGGGCTGCGCCAGCGGGATGTCGCTCGGTGTGCGTTGCGTGGTTAGGGCGGTGGTGGTACCGCTGGCACTGCTGGGGTGGTCGCCGGCTTCGCGGGCGGCGGCGCGGCGCTCGCGCCGGTTGCGCGGACCGGTGTTCGTGTCGGCCATTTGGAGGGGAATTGAGAGGAGAGAGTGTGTGGTGGTGTGGGCGGCGCGGTTGAGATTTTGGTGGTCGTGGTTGCTTGCGGCTGGAGCTGTGCTGATCTCAGTCGTCATTTGGGTCAGGGTCCAGCACGAGTCGTCGTCGTCGGCCTCCGCCTTCTCTCCGCACCCAAAACAATGCGGTGACGCCTCTTCGACGGCCATTGAGCGCTGGTATTAAATTCTTTTGGTCGCAGACGGACAGTTAGTCGACATGTACGCCGTCAACTGGCTCACGGCGGCCTTGATGCCGGTGCTGATGGTCGGCATCTGGCTCTACACGGCGCAACTGGCCAAGTCGATGCCGACGCTTCAGGGGAAGAGCATTGTGCTGCTGATTGCGCATCCGGATGACGAGGCCATGTTCTTTTCGCCTACGCTACAGGCCCTGACGAGGCCGGAGCTGGGCAACCATCTCAAGATCCTGTGTCTCTCTAGTGGTTAGTTGCTCTCGAAGCAATGGCTTCAAGGAAATCTGGAAGCTAAACAACACACAGGTGATGCGGACGGCCTGGGCGAAACACGGAAGCAAGAGTTGTTAAAGAGCGGGGTACTGCTAGGTCTGCGGAGCAGCGAGGATGTTCTCGTCATTGAAGACAGGTACTCAAGCCATTCTCCCTCATTCTCCAGCAAAGCACTAACAACAATACAAAAATGCAGCAATTTCCCGGACTCTATGGGCGTGACCTGGAACCCGCGACTGATCTCCAACCTCCTCACCAAAGCGTTTGCGCCCAAGATGGCGTCAGTACCCTCGACGGAGGCGCCGCGCGCGACCATCGACACCATCATCACCTTCGACGCGCACGGCGTCTCGGGCCACCCGAACCACCGCTCCTTGTTCCACGGCGCGCAGGCCTTCCTCAAGGCCCTCATGCACCGCCACGCCGGCTGGGAGTGCCCCGTCAAGCTGTACACGCTCACGTCGGTCGGCATCCTGCGCAAGTATGCGAGCTTGTTGGACACGCCCTGGACGGTGCTGGATACGATGAGGCGCAGGAAGGAGGTGGGCGCGTTTCCTACCCCGTTGATGTTTGTGAGCGGACCTGGGGCTGTGAGGACCGGCCAGAATGCTATGACGCAGGCGCATGTTAGCCAGATGAGGTGGTTTAGGTGGGGCTGGATCGGCATTGGGAGGTATATGGTTGTGAATGACTTGAGGAAACAGAAGGCTCCGTAGGGGCCTGGAAGGTTTGGATGTGGGAGTGATGTTTGAAGCACTGCCTATCCAATCTGACGCCATGGAAGAGCTATGTAAGCAAATTTATATTCATGACCAAATCACAACCAATATTTTCTGCTGCTACTTTTCTGCCCTACACCTCCCAGACATCAAACCTCGCCATCCCGGCAACTCTAACTACTAGCATGCGCATCATTGTAGTAATGAATCTAGAAACGCAAATCAAGTCAGTCCAACAAGCACCCAAACCCTCTTCCAAACCCATTACCAAAGCGCAGGAAACAGTGGGGTACACATACCGTCTCGTCCGCACACCCATCCGGGGTATTGTACAGATAGTTGCCAAGGTTGATGTACAAATGCTGCTCCTCGCACACATACCACGCGATAGCATTCGGGCGGCTCACGCCCTCAGCCGACCACGTCAGGCCATCGCCCTGCCACCCAAAAGTGCCGTAGGTGTTTTTCTCCGCGCTGAACGTGACGGCCAGAGCTTCTGCTGCAGCGTTAGCGTGCCCCTGTACCCCTTCCCAAAGGGGCAAAACGAAAAAGGAAAAGACAAGACAAAGAAAAAAGCAACCACTCACGATCATTCTTGCTCTTCTCCTCCGCAACAACGCCATACAGCACTTCCCCGCCCGCCCCCTCCCCAACAAGCTGCACCAGCTGCCCATCGACGACATTGAACTGGCCCGCAGTGGTGTAGTTGGCCATGACGGCGGGCCCGGCGCCATACAGCGGCGCGGACTGCAGGTACGCGTGGAAGTGCGGCTCCTCGACCGCCCGGATCCAGAGGTAGTCCTCCTGCAGCGTGGCGCCGGGGCCGGGGTTTGTGGACGCGGGGGCCGAGGCGGTGGGGGTGGTGGGGGTGGTGGGGGTGGAGGGTGTGGAAAGGGTCGTGGTCGTGGCGAGCGTTGTCGGCGCGGTCGTGTTGAGGGCTGTGCTGGCGCTTGTGATGCCCGAGGACGCGGACACGGAGCCTGTGGCTACGCCGGGCTGGCATTGCGAGTAGTCTATGCGCGGGACATCAGTTGTTGGTTTGGGGCTAGGTGGGTAGCTAGCTAGCTATCTAGCTAGGTAGCTGGCTGGGAGGCGGAGGCCGTACAGTCACTGCGTCATGGGTTGTTAGCTCTGTGCCTAGATAGGTAGGTAAAGTGCTTTGCTTTGACGTCTGATCGGGTCACTGGGGCGTCGTTACCTGAGCTTCACGCACGCGTAGCCCATCACGCATGCCGTGCCGCCGGAGAAGCTGTTGCCGCCGCCTGCGCTGCGTTAGTGCTTGTACCTAGGCTTATAGCAGTGCGTGTAGGAAAAGTGGAGGAGCGTACATTGCGCCCACGCGCCCTGCTGGGCCTGCGCGAGAGCGTGTCCGGCCAGAAGACCCAGCGAGCTCGTGACGGTGGTTGAGAGACGCATTGCTACGGTAAACAAAAAAGAACGAAGGAGAAGAAGCTGCTTGTGAGCACAGTGCAGGCCTTGTCAGTTTAGCAGAGCACGCATATGTCCAACGAGCACGTCTTTATATATATACACGCTCATGCCACATAGCTGGCTATCACATTGCCAGCAGTCCAGGCTCTGGTGGGCGGGTACGTCGTGGTTGAGAGCGCCGACGGTCCGCCTGCCGACGAGTTATTAACGTAGCGTGACGGATATAGTATGTTGCGGCGGCCTGCAGCCGGATAAAGCGTGCGATCGGCGCGTATCCCCGGGCGTTATAGCGGGAACGCGTTAACTGCTTGAGCGGGCCGTGTTTTAGCTCAGTGGCGTGCTTTGAAGAGGCTTGCAGCTCTGATCATTTTGGCCAACTACCTACTTTAGTAATCAGACTTGTTTTTCTTCTTCTTCTCCTTCTCTCCTAGCCAGTGCGGGATGCTTCGCTGCCATCTCGTCTAGGTACTCCAGTACCACTTTGCCCCACACCGGCTTGCCCTTGTAGAACGCAAACTTCTCGGGGAGCCTGTGCAGGAGGCCGCCCAGCCGTGCCGCGAAGCCGGGTTGGTCTGCGATGTCGACCAGTCGGTATAAGTACCTGGTTGGCGCCATCAGTTCAGTTGCTTGTTCTATAGCACCTGAATGAGCAATTGTTTCCTTACGTCTTCGTGAGCATGCACATTGCGCCTGTTCGAGGTAGCCGCCGGATCACCTGCCGTTCTACGCGCAGCTGCACCTCGTTGATGTCGATGGTCTCGTCTGCAGCGGCGTCCTCGTCGCCTTCGTAGAGATGTCCATCCACGAGGAAAAGCTCTTCATGGTCGTTGATGCTCCAGTTGACGCGCATGACGAGGCGGGATGCTCCGACGCTCTTGAAGAACCTTTATCGTCTCCTCATCAGCTGGCCTCTATCTGCGTAGTTAGCGTAAGCACTCACTTGTTCATCGCCTTTTGCAGCTTTTCCTTATAAGTTGGCACCGGTCCATGGATCTCCGTGAGCGGCTTGTCCATCTTCGCCTGGATGTCAAAGCCCGCCGGAAACGCCGACACCGTCGCTTTCAGCACGTACTCGCCATCCGGGCCCTCGGTCAGGAGCGAGAGGTCCTCTTCCGTGATCCTGCCGATGATCTCTAGAGGATGCAGGCCGCCGTACGGCGCTTTGATCTCGAAGCTCTCTCCCGTGACGTGGCTGTGGATGGTCCTGCCGTCGCTGGACAGCGTGAAGACGGTGGGAAATCGCCGAGGTAAGTACTCTACTAGCATGGCCAGCAGCTCGGCGCACGCGTCGTAGCCGCCCTCGCGGCAGTCGATGGCCTCGGCGCCCATGGTTGCGAAGGTATTCTTCTTGTGCTGCATGCGGCTGGGGTAGTTCTTGTCGATTCGAAGCCAGTCGTCAAACGTAAGGTTTCGAAGTGCTAGTCGCCGACGTCAGTGGTTTGTCTGTATCCTATGTCCCCTTTCTGCCTACCCATGGTGGCTGTGTACACGCGGTCGGAGATGTATCCATCCCGCCACCATTGCTCTGGCTCCTCGGCATGGATATCGAAGTCTGGCTTGTAGGGCCGGACGCCAGAAAAGTCTACAGTTGTGTCTTCAGGTGCCCCGTAGAATCCCTTGCTCTTTTCTTTCAGTTCTTTGACCGGACCACCTGCATCTTTGCCAGACAGCTTGGGCGACAAAAGCCGCCAAGCTACACTGCAAATGAAGAAGAATACTGAAAGGGAAATGAACTCCACAGAGTACTGCCTAAGAAAGCCTACTGGTGCTTCGGTCAACATTTCGCATGTCAGGGATTTGCAAGGTCATAGGGTATGTCGTGTATGCTGTCTTCACGACAGGGTACATAAACAGCTGTGAGAGTAGTCACGAGTGAGGGGAAGCTGCTTCCCTGTACACCGCTTATCTGCGCCTCTTATCTATGGCAGGGACGTCATTGGACGGTCGATCAGTTGGACCCTTACTGCTCGAACCTTCCTCTGTACTACTTGACTACCACATGATGGAATACTCACTTGGAAAAACCCAGGCCGGTATATAACCTGCAGCGTAAAATAATTGACTAGATTCCCTTGCAGAAATAGAAGTAATGTATGCCCAAGCGCAAATCTACAGTAGCCTCAGCGCAAACTCCCAAATTCATCGTTGCGTATGTCCGTTCAGGTGAGGTATATGCCGCCGATTAGCTGAGAAATTATGTACATGAAAGGGACAGTGAGTGACCAAGCCAGCCGTTAAGGCGGCCCCGACTTCGACCATTCCTGCCTCAACTCCTCCGTAAGGTCAGTGGTGCTGGGCCAACCTGTACGGAACTGGTTTGCCTTGATCAGCTCCACAATCTTCTCCCGCTTCTGGAGGTCCTGAGTGTATAGTCCGGCAGCGAAGAGGCATTGGGAGGAGTGTAGACTGGCGCTTTCGCATGTGATGGCTGTCGCGAGGCCACCGATGGTGTCGATGGCTTCGTTGAGAGACTTGTCGCGCAAAAGGTATTCGCGATAGCCCCCAGCAGCTGGCTGGTGTACGAGGAGCAGGATCCGGGCAAAGTAGTGCATTTGTACTGCTGTAGCTGTACAAAGTTGTCAGCTGCGTGTCCGAAGATGGGGCCATAAATGACAGCCAAAGCGATATTACCAAAGCAAGGTGGATTGATCCAGATGGGTTTAAAAGGCCCATTTGGTGCAAGATCGACAATGGGAAGAGGAGTAAAGTGTGGCGTCAAGTTCATCTGCCACTCGTCAAGCATGTTGAAGAGCGTATCCGCGCGTTCAATCCTTGACTGAAGATTAGTTTCTCCCAATTTCCTGTCTTTGTCAGAGGCGTAGTTGACGGCCTGCGCAAGGAGATAGATGGCCCTTGACGCAATGTCGTATTGATCAAGGACGTGGTATGGTTTCGTCGGCTTGTAGAAACTAAAGCAGCGTCGTCGTTCTCGGAACGCAGCCCACACATCCTGGCGTAGCCAGCACCACCACACTGCTTGCTTGAGCCCACCGGACTGACCATTGATTTCCTGTGAGCGTTGGATCCAGAACGTGCCTTTTAGATGCCGCTCCCAACCGCTGCCGGCACCATCGATCATTTCGTATGACGAGATGATGATTGTAGTGGCGAGCAACTCGAGACTGGTCTTGAAAGAGTCGTAGTGCATGGCTCCCTGTAGGTACTGTAGGGTTTCATAGTAGTATTGTACAGCGGCTGTTCTGTCCGGTGTTGATTCGCTTTTATCCTTGATTGAGAGATGCCGAGCAGACAGTGCCATTATGGATTTCATCAATCCTTCATTATTTAATGCCAGTTGCGGCACAAAGGTGGAGAAATGCTTTAGTGGATCATACATATCCAGGCAGTTACTGAGACGTTCAACGAAATGCCTGAACATGGACATCTCATGAGGTCGTAGCTTTATATGAGCTTGCCAGAACCTCCGTTCGGCTGCTTGTGTTGCGGGATCTGAAATTGGCGCGGATGAGTAGTATGGAGAACGTGATCGTGTTTGCACGTCATGGGCACCTGGAACACCTAAAGCTCTTACAGGACTGAATCTGGCCGCGGAGAGGCTCAGATTGTAGTCGTCTGCTTCGTGGGAGCGCTCACTAGGCCCGATAGAAGTAACACTTCCAGCATCATCAGCAAGAAGGCCTAGCCAACGCAGTGGAGCAATCTCGGCTGGATATGGAGTGGAACTGAGTGTTGACCGTGGACTAGTTGAGTCTTCCTGAGGCGTACTCCACGGCGGTAGAGAAAGACCGGTCCCCGGACTTGGCTGTGCCGGAGCGTGAGATTCATAGTTTCTTGGTTCGTCACGGACTGGATCCCATCGAACTTGCGGCGGTGGAGGAAGGATTCTACTAAGGATCTGCCTCTTCTGTTCCGGTGGTTGACTTTGGACCTGCGTAGGAGGAGCATGCGGTTGAATCTCGGTGACAGCAGGAGGTGTGTATGGTTGATCGAGGAGGGCAGGCGGTTGGATTTGAGAGCCACCACTTGGGATGGGGGTGCCAGGTTTCTGGGAAGATATCAAAGTTACCACTGAGGATTTTTACTTTTTTTTTTTTAGTAAGAGCGCATGGAGCATGTCGCCGCGGCCGAAACATGACGGAAGGTTACGCGGCCACTCTCCAGACGCAGGCAAACAGAGCCACGCTAACCAAAGTCAAAGCGACAGACGCGCCCGTAATGAGATGCCGCGTCCCGGAGGATAAATGCACCATGACTCGGAGAGAAAGCATAGTACCCAGTGCGCTAGCGGGCAGGAGTCCAAATAACAAATAACCACGCAGATCGGATGACTGGACGGAACAACGAAACGCGTACCTTGACGGAAGCGCTGTAAACGCAGGGCCGATGACCTTTTGCACAGGGTCCACAGACGGGCTTGACCTCATCGCACTTCATATGCCGGGCACGACAAATGGCACTGCATCACGGCGATTAACTCGTGCTACCCGGCTGTGTAATATATTACCACGTACCAGCCTGTTGTGGTGCGCAACCCACGGCCCCTGGGCTTGCGGGGCTTCCGCTTCGGCCCAGCAGTTTCGCTCTGGGGAGGCTGGGCGTGCGCCTGGGAGGCATCCTGATGAGCCGGATCGGGCGGTGTCAGTCCCTGCGTCGTGGTCATCGTGTCGAGGCTTGCATCAGCTCGTTTGTCCTTCGTCCGAAAGGGGGAACGCAATGGCACACCGAAACGGGCGGCAGCCACGCGAGCGCTTCCTTGGCGCGCCCGAGACGAGTTCCCTTTTGACGAGACGCCGTGTCGAGGTCAAAGTAGCTTTGTCCGTCACGTGAGTGCAATCTCGTCATCTTCTTCTTAGGAATTCATTCCTCTTCCCGACGACACAGCACCAGCTCTAGCTCACAGCGGATTGCTCAAAGGGGGTTTCCGTTCAGTTTTGTCTCTACTGGATTTAGAGGCTAGATATTATACCATGGAACCAGTCAGCAGCGAGTGCGAGTACACACTGGCAGGAATAGTTCATCTCAAGAGCAAGGGTTCAAATTTACTCTGAGCTTCAAAAATGTCCCAACTAACATATACAGTAACTACTGATCGTTGCTGATACCTCACGTGTTCTTCCAAGCCAACAGCCGATGAGCAGTGGAAGGTAAATCAACACTCCTCTTGAGCTTAGCTGTCTCGATTGACGCACTGTGGCTTCTATTCGCAAACTGACCAATTTATCAAGCTTTATATCTCACTTGGATGGTATGTTGGTTGTCGACAACTACGTTTCTGTTACTCGTCATGTGATTTCTTGTTAGGAATACACATCGCGAACACAAGGTAGGACAAAGGGAAACATATCATTGAATGCCTTGCCATACTATTCACAGAAACGTCATCCGTAAGTACCTAGAAATATCATCAGCATCTCTCAACCTAGCAAGCACATGCGGATTACCCGAAATGGAAATCCCGGTCTTACGTCGAACGGGAACACCTGAAAGCAGTGTTACCGGGACGGGACGCCTGCGCCCAGGCAGCCACCTCTCTCCGCAATGCGGGGTCGTAATCGAGGCATGAGGGCCACCAACCATGACGTCTGGAGTTGCGAGGTACGGCACGCGCTCTCTCCTGGAAGAGAGGAACATTTCCTTGGACAATCCCTTAAATACCTACACGGCAGCTTTGGGCCAGTCTTCAGCTCTCTCATTTCCCTCTTGCTTCTTAGTTTCTGAGAGCTATATACTTGCCTCCTTTCTTTGCACAACTGGACACCATGTCAGCAAAGCACTTCTTCTCCTCCGCCGACGGCGTCGTCCATCGCGCGCTCAATTCTATCGCCGCTCGGAACCCGCACCTATCCTATGACTCGGAAAACCGCGTCATGTTTTCCAAGGCGCATCCCTCCTCCAAGGTCGCCATCATCTCTGGCGGAGGAGGGGGGCACGAGCCTGCATGGTCTGGCTACGTGGGCGAGGGCATGCTATCTGCATCCATCAGTGGCGACGTGTTTGCCAGCCCTTCGACGAAACAGATCATGGCCGGTGTACGGAGCGTGCCTTCGGATGCGGGCATCATCCTGTGTATCACCAACTATACCGGGGATAGGCTGCATTTCGGCCTGGCATGCGAGAAGGCGAGGGCGGAAGGACACAAGGCGGCGCAGTTGCCCATGACGGATGATGCGGCGCTAGGGAGGAAGCAATCCGCGCTGCTCGGAAGAAGGGGACTCGCGGGCAATCTTTTAGGTGAGGGCTTCCTTGCGGCTTTGGATTGGCCCTCCACTGACTTGCAACAGTGCTTAAGCTTCTCGGAGCTGCGTCCAATCAGTCCTGGTCTTTTGAGGATTGCTTGGAGCTTGGGACGCAGATGAATGCCGAGCTCGTAACTATAGGCACGAGTCTGGACCATTGCCACGTACCTGGGCGGACACAGCATGAAGCAATTGCTGAGGATTCATGTGTCGTAGGAATGGGCATTCATAACGAGCCGGTACGTGTCACGTCGTTGAACGCAAACTCGATTACTGACAGTGGCCTAGGGTCTCCGCACGATATCTCCAATGCCTTCGCCAGAGGATCTGATCAAAGAAATGCTGCTCTATCTCCTAGATCCCTCCGATGCCAATCGAGCATTCACTACGTTCGCTTCAAAAGACGAAGTGGCTCTCTTGGTCAACAACTTTGGCGGTCTTTCCACTCTCGAGCTGGAGGCAATGACCCACATTGCTCTCGAGCAACTCGGTATGTCCTGGCACCCATAGCATGTAACCACTTTTTTTTTAACAAGTCTACAGAACGGGACTGGAAGCTCAAGCCCTGCCGCATCTACTCCGGCATATTCGAGACCTCGCTCAACGGTCCCGGCTTCTCCCTAACCCTAGGCAACCTGTCCAACGTAGCCAGACGCACCAACCGGCCAGTCCAACAAATCATCGACCTACTTGACGAGCCCACCACCGCGCCCGCCTGGCCCAGGAACGGGTACATGGCCGCCAAAGCCGCGCACGAGGCAGCAGTGCCACCGCGACGGGACTCGAAAGCGCAAACCGAGTCCGACAAGCCCGCGTTCAGCACCACAGCAGCAACAGCACGAGGTCCTGCAACGCCAGCAAGCCTCATACCCGCGCTGCGGGCCGCGTGCAATGCCGCTATCGCCGCAGAGCCCCAGATCACAAACTACGACATGCAGCTCGGCGACGGGGACTGCGGCGTAGCCGTGGCAGGCGTGTGCACAGCCGTGCTCAAGAAACTCGACGCAATTTCCGGCCAGCCGGGCGCGCCGCCGTTCTTCATGCTGCTGAGCGAGCTCAACGCCGCACTCGAAGACATGGGCGGCTCGCTCGGCGCAATCCTCAGCATCCTGTGCACGGCACTAGCAGGCAGCCTGCAGCGGGCCGCGGCGGCAGCAGCAGCAGACTTGGAGCTCAGCCCCGCGACCGTGGGCGCGGCGGCGCGCGAGGCGCTGCAGACGCTGCAGCAGTACACGGGGGCGCGCGAGGGCGACCGCACGGCCATGGACGCGCTGATCCCGTTCTGCGAGACGCTGGGCCGCAGCACGGCGGATGTGGGGGTGGCGGTGGCGGTGCGGGCGGCGGAGGAGGGCGCGGCGCGCACGCGCTCGCTGCGGCCGCGGTTTGGGCGCGCGGTTTATGTTGGCGGGGATAGGGCGGGGGATGGGCTGCCGCGTGACGCGGGGGCGCATGCGGTTGCGGTGTTTTTGAGGGGGTTGGTCGAGGGTGGGGCGTGGGTGTAGGGTTGGATTGGGATGTTTTGGCCGGTTGGATGCTAGGTAGGTAGGTGTCTGGGTAACTGCCTGCCTCGTCTCGCGCCTCCCGACAGCAGCTAACTAACTAGGTAACTCGGTAGGTAGCTACATACCGCCTTGCCGTGTCCGGTAGGTGGGGCGCCAGTTCCTACATACAACCCCTCATCAAGCCGGGGTGCTCGGGACGAGTCCATGAATTCAAATGGATACATCATAGGTACTGTACAGTTGCAAGTCTTCGGCATTGAGTGAGTGAGCTAGGTAGAAATACCCCGCGACTACCTACCTCCCTAGCCCCACACCACCATGAGTCCACCCGCTGAAGCCCCGTACCTCAGCACGCAGCCGCCGCCGAACATGAACTGGCAGATCACGCTCAAGGACAAGGTGATTGCCATCACGGGCGTACGCACCCATCCAAACCCATCCACCCCAAACCCAACTAACCTCCCCCACCCGCACCAGGCAAACCGCGGCATCGGCCTCGGCATCGCCGAAGTCTGCCTCGCCAACCAAGCCCTCGCAATCTACTCGCTCGACACGGCCGCCCCGAGCGCCGACTTCCTCGCCCTGCAGGCCCGCTCCCCGCCCAACGCGCTGCAGCACATCACGGCGGACGTGACGAGCGAGGCCTCCATCGCCGCCGCCCTCGACGCCATCATCGCCGCACACGGCGCCCTGCACGGCCTCGTCGCCAACGCCGGCATCACGCAGCACCAGCCCGCCCTCGCCTTCACCCAAGCCGACATCGACCGCCTCTTCGGCGTCAACGTCTTCGGCGCCCTCAGCTGCGCCCGCCTCGCGGCGCGCAAATTCATCTCCCTGGGGATCAAAGGCGCCATCGTCTTCACCGCGAGCATGACGAGCTACCGCCCGAACCGCGCCGCGCCCTCGGCCCCGTACGGCGCCACCAAGGCCGCGCTCCGGAACATGGCGCACACGCTGGCCATGGAGTGGGCGCCGCATGGCATTCGCGTCAATTCTGTGAGCCCTGGGTTCGTGCGGACCGCCATGACTTATTTTGTCGATCAGAGCCCCGACTGGGATGCCAAGATGCGGTATTATGGCGGCATGCCGCGCCTCGCTATGCCCCAGGAGCTGGGCGGCGCCTATGTTTACCTGCTGAGCGATGTCGCGAGCTATACCACTGGCATTGATATCCCGGTCGCTGGCATCGTGGGCGCGTGGTAGGCTGTAGTTATAGCCGAGGAAGCTTTCGATGGGTCGGTCCCTTTAAGACGTTTGCTGGCCACTTGGTTCGGTTCGGTGCCATAGTTATGCAACTCAGGTCTTCCAATGTGTGTTGATTGACTGGGTATCTTCTCTTCCCCCTCCCTCCACTCCTTGGACCTTCCTCCTCTTTTTCTTTTCCCACTCACCCTCTAGATAACAACCCTCTCAAAGCTGTACTTGCCCACCCGCATACTAATCTGCCTGCCAATATCCCGCTTGCTCAGCTGCTTGACCTCGCCCGCCAGCGTCGTCCGCGTGTCCGCAACCTTGCCCTCGACCTTGAAGCCCAGCGGCAGCACCCTGCTCTCCGCGTCGCCCGAGTTCTGCTGCACCGTGACCGGCTTGCCCTTCTTCTCCAGGTTCCGCGCGTTGGTCGGCTGCTGCGTCGTCTTCTTCTTCCAGCCAAAGCGCAGGAAGTCGCCTAATAGGCCCTTCATGAACGCCGCTTCGTGGATGCCCTCGAGCGCGGCCGAGATCTCTTGCCGCAGGTTGTACACAACCTCCGAGGTGCGGTCCGAGCCGGAGGTGAGCCAGCCGCCAGCGCCGACCGCGTCGAGCGCGCAGGAGAGCAGGTCCGCGATTATAACGATGGCGCGGTCAGAGGGGTCGCCGGTGGAGTCCGAGGCAGACTTGCCGTCGGGGCCTTCTTCCAGATAGCGCTGGATCCAGCCGCCTTGGTGGATCTCGAGGCGGAGGATGTCCATCAGGAAAAGAATCTCGTGGTGCGTCAGTGACTTGCGGAGGGTACGGGAGATCAGCGGCGGAGGGAAGGTGTGCAGTTTTCTCAGGGCCTCGAGGAGCGACTGCGAGCGGACGTGGAGGCCAGTCTCGAGAAGTGATTCAGCCTTTGCGAGGGCAGAGGCAGCGGCGTCCGCCTCAGTCTCGAATTCTTCGTCGGCCTTTTCCTGGTCAGCGGCGTCTTCCGGTTGCTCCGAGCCGGCTGTGAGAAGACGCTCCTTGAGCTCAGGGAAGGGCGTTGCTTGAAGGCTTTGGATGAGAACCTTGATCGCCTGCACGACAAGCTCGACGTCGAGGCCTGGGTGACCCTTCAGCACATCACAAAGGACGTGCATATCAGGATCAAAGTTGAAAAGAGCAGTAATAACATCACCGGCGTCGATGGCTTGGACGGTCTCGTCCGAAGACTTGCGCATCGCTTGTCTGATCATGTCAGTGGCGAGGAACCCAGTCCAAACAAGCCATTGGAAGGCGTTAGGCGGGAAGAATCGTATCCTCAGCGAAGACGGTTTCTCCGCTCCACTTGCAATGACTTCCTTCTTGCCAGAGGAAAGAGCAAAGATTTTGCTCAACAGGTAGACCGCTTTGTGACGTTTGGTCTGTAGGTTGACATCCCAGGCGGTTTCGGGGAAATTCCACTCTTGGAGATCAGATTCGTCCTCAGACACGCCGTTGATTTTTGGTTGTTCGTCCGCCTTGACGCCATCAGCCCCGGGAAGCTCGGCGGTGCCGTTGACCTTGTCCTCAGTCTGCTCGTCTTCGGTAATGAGTTTGGGCTCCTCGCCCTTTCCCTTTAGCGCAATGCCGACTTCCCTCGAAAACAGTTCCTCAAACCCTTTCAGGTTATCTTCTTTGACGAATGCATCGAGCTGCTTCCGAGTGCGATGCCACTCTTTGCTTGACGAATCCGCAGGGTTGACAAGGCAAACACCCAGAGGGTATGTGGAGCGCTCTGGGGCTTCGGTAATGACGGGCTTACGCCCCACTCCCTTGCCAATCGCATCGATCAGCAGACCTCCCTTCACCTTGCTCCTCTTCGAAGCGGACACGTCCGAGCCCACTTGCAGACCGATCAGCTCGCCGTTGGCCAGACCAACCACGAGACCAAGCTCAGCAAGATAGTTGACAAGCGTAAGCGGAGACGAGTTTTCGACAGATTCCGATTGCTTGCGTTTCTTGCTTTTGCCAGTCTCAACCTTCTCGTGACTCAATGGCAAGATTGCCTGCACGGAGTTGTATTTGACATCGTAGAGACCACAAGAAACGGCCGATGCCGCCATCAGGAGCGACGACGAAATGCGAATGAAGTTTTGCAACGGAGTGCCGGGTACTGTGAGATCGGACCTCATCCGTGGGGTGGTTGTGGAAAAGTCGTAGGTAATGATGCAACCGGAAATGAGCTGGTACAACAGGCCCGTGGACACGTGCAAAGAATACGAAGGTTGAGACTCGGACACATCGCTCTCAATCTTCACCGGCGGAACGCCTAGCGTGAGAATGTTTTGCACGACTGGCCTGTTGATCGTGATGCCTCCCATAGTCTTTGGTCGGATACAGCAAACTTGAAGGCTACGACCATCGGCTTTGAGAGCGGCCTCATCCACAGGGCGCGTGACCAGACAAAGTAGCACCGTGGCGTCAAGAAGCTCAGATTGTCCCTCCATGCTGGGGTCCAACGCTGCGATGACATCTTCGCGACTCTTGAACAGCCCCCGCCTTGCAGCAGACGCATCCGTGTACGCAGCGAATTCAACCTTGACGGGTTGTGCATCATTCGACGGAGCATTGACATTCGCGGACCATTTGAGTGTTTGCAGATCGGCGGAGAAGGAATCAATTCGGCCATCCTCAAAGACCACGACAACCTCGTGAGGGTCTTCTTCCGATCCTTGCGCAGGTTTCAGGGGAAGCACATCGATTGAGAAGATTGCGCTAGATTCCGCGGGGATTGTGTACGCCGTCTTGTCGGGATTTCCGGTTGGTGCGGTTGCGTGTACTTCCTCGGCGAAGCAAAGAATTTGGCGCCTGGCGCTGCCAGCACCCTCCTGAATTGCGGCATAGGTGAAGCGCTTCGCAGGCCGGTGCTTGGTCACTCTGGCGTGTACGGAACACGATGGAGCAACGAAGGATGTCTGAGGAGGAAGCGCGTACGAAGTGACAAGGCGCGGCGTTTGGACCTGAGGAAGAGGGTCAATCTCAGCTTTCAGAGTGAGAAAGCCGTCGGCTTACATTGTAGATACTCAACCCGTCGCCGTCAACAGCCACAGCAATCTCCGACCTCTTTCTTTTCCGCGCGCCGCTCAAGCTGTAAACGGTCGAGGCCAGAGTGCGGCCGTTGAGGGCATCGATGGGTTTCGGCAGCGAGGCCAGGGTGTGGGGTGCCTCGAGCTCCTTTCCAGACGACATGGTGATTTGCCAGACCGCGGGTCTGCTTCTGTGCAATCTGCGTGGTCGCCTACGTCGCGATAGTTGCGCTTCACAAAAAGTTCTTGAGAGACGGGACGAGGAAACTCCGATGGTTGATCTTCGGCCCGATTAGATTGATTGATCGCCCGGGCAGTCGCGGTGCGCGTCACACGTCCGGACGCGTAGCTGCAGCCAGCCCCAGCCCGACTGCCGGAGCCTCTTCACATCACTATCACCTCCATACCTATCATTCTTCCTTCCACTTGCAATGCTGTGACTCGAATGGCAGCTGCAACCATGAACCTGGGCGATCAGCCGAATCTACATCCTTTCTTTTCGAAAGCGCAGCGTGAGACTAGGCCTCAATACTCCAAGATCATGCTGGTCTAATCCCTCACAGGCAACCAATCGCCCGAACTCGACGAAATCAAGGTCGCCCAAACTGGCCCTCCTGCCCACGACGAGAACCACCCAAACCACGAAGAGGCCGCTCAGCGCCCACGGGGTCGAGGCCGGCCCTTGGGGTCGAAAACGCATGGCGGAAAGCGGAAGTCTGGGGAAGCATTGCCTGTCAGAAAGGTAAAGCAGGCCTCACTTGTGCAATTTGCACAGACTGGAAATAGCAGGAAACAAGAGACGGATGATAATGCCCATGGAGCATCAGCACAAGATTCCTTAGTCGAGGATCCGAACATTGGTCGCCGCAAGCGTCAGCGGACCAACTCGCCTGAAGCAAATCGAGGCACACATGAGGAAGCGTTCACCGAAGCAGGAGCCCCGGATGCTGTCGGTGACGAGTCTGCGCAGCCTGGCTCGCTCTCCTGGCATGAACAATTGGAGGCGGAAGCAGGCAGAGATGAAAATGCGATTCTGGTTCAAGCTTCAAGCCCTGGGGCAAGAGACCCAGAATTGACTCTTAACGGTTCAGAAGCAGTTGCAGATTCTTTCCCATTACTTGAGGAACGCGAAGAAGTAACTCAGACGATACCGCCTGTCGTCTCGTCACCTCCCCAGTCCGGCCTTGACGACACTGGATCCGCGCTCGAGGATGAGAGCAGCATTGCTATAGCCAGCACATCTTCAAGCAAGCCGGGCCCCAAAAAGAAGATGCTGCGACTGAAGGCAAACGGTCGCTTCAGCTCTCCTGTATCTATTGCCCCGCCTCCACCTTCTTCGCCACCATCTATTTCTGCAATACCCAAGGAAATCGAGCCAATCCATGAGCCCGTGCACAACTCCACTTTAGCAAGATCATCGCCCCCCAGACGGAGTCCTCCAAGGAAGATGTTGCGACTTAATGCGAAAGGTCGTCTAAGCTCTCCCATTCCTCAGGAACCGCCAGTTGAAGAGCCAAAGCCAAGGAGAACGCGGGGGAGAGGCCGTAATAAGGAACCGAAGCAACTCATTGTGAAGATATCGTACAAAAAGGGCGACTCAGGAACAGCTTCAATGGCTGAAGACATCAACCGGATTATGATAGGCGCACAGCGGGCCCCTGCTCAGAAGCAAAAGCAGCCGTCGATGCGTCCTGAACCATCCGGTCCGCCGAAACCGACTCATCCCTTTTTCTCTGGTAAGCCTGTTGGTAAAACGAAGGACGAAAGTAAAGATGGGCCACCTGAGGCCGCAGTACAAAAATCACCTTTAAAAACTGCCGGCAAGCGTGAAACGGCAATTACACCGGGAAAGCTGCGAGCTCAAGCACGCGCTAATCACGCTACTGCCGATGATTTTCCCAGCTTTGGTTTCAATACCAAAACACGCAAGCATCCTGGAGGAACTGTTGATGCTCCATGGCCTTGGAAGGGCGTCGTACGTGTTGGAAATGACTCGGGAGATTCCCCATTTCCACAAAAACCAATACCATCAGAAGACCTGAAAGCACGCCGGAAACTCAAGGACAATGTGTATCAAATTTCCGGCGATGAGTCCATTCTATCGGCCCTTTGTACACATATCCGTCAAGACCCTTTAGCATCGCTTGGCTTTACACCCAACTCTCAATCACCTATTCTGCGCAAGCCAAATCGCTTGCTGACTACTGGTGTGAAAATACAAGAGAGCATACGGGACTACATTGGCGCATTTGCTTCCACTGGCACTAGTTCGGTGCAGTCATCCGAAGTTCTCGCGGAAGATTGTCAACTTAAGTCGTCTCAGTACACGACGCATCCGGCACTGAAGACACTCTACGACGAAATAGAAAACACTTTAACCCCATTTGATCAAGGGACCTGCGAAAAGCTGCCTTGGGCCCAAAAATATGCACCCAAGCGTGCCGTCGATGTGCTCGGCTCTGCAAGAGAAGTTGCTGTTCTACGGGAATGGTTGGAGGCGCTCAGGGTTTCAGCGGTAGAGGCTGGCAGCAAGGAAACACCCAAAAACCAATCATCAAAGAAAAAAGGCGCAATGACAAAACCACCAAAGAAGAAGAGAAAGAAGACGGCTGATATGGACGACTTTGTCGTGGATGACGACGTGGACGCATTAGGGGGGCTGGACGAAGTCAGTGATCCAGACGAGTTAGCCTCACTTGACTCCGGCCAGGGAGCAAGGAAATCTATGATTCGTCAAGGTGACGGTATAATCAATGGCATCCGCACGACCAAACTCAGCAACGTAGTGCTTTTGAGTGGGCCACATGGTTCAGGAAAAACTGCAGCAATTTTCGCCGTTGCAAGGGAACTCGGCTTCGAGATCTTCGAAATCAACTCAGGTAGCCGTCGTAGTGGCAAGGACGTCTTTGACAAAATTGGCGATATGACAGAGAATCATCTTGTCCAGCGGAAGGCGCGAGAGTCGGTAGCAACAACAGCAGACCAAGCCATTACAGAGTCAGATTCTGAACAACGCCTAGCCGATGCGGTACAGAAGGATATTGAGAGTGGACGACAAAAGAGCATGGCCTCTTTCTTCAAACCAACAAACCAGCCCAAGCCGAAAACTTCGAAACCGGATATCAAGGAACAGCCGAAAAAAGCTTCACTCGCTCCGAAAGAGATAGCACAGGGGAATCTGGGAGACAAGCCGAAACAGAGCCAAAAGCAGTCGCTGATCCTGCTGGAAGAAGTTGACGTTCTTTTCGAAGAAGACAAAAACTTCTGGACGACAGTGGAGAGCCTAGCACTGAGCTCTAAGCGCCCTATCATCCTCACCTGCACTGATGAGAGCCTCGTACGGATGCATGAAACTTCTTTCCATGCAATTCTGCGCATGTCTTCTCCGCCTGCAGCTCTGGCTACCGACTACATGTTGCTTCTTGCGGCAAGGGAAGGCCACCTTCTTGAGAGAGATGCCGTGTCCAGTCTGTATGACTGCAAGAATCAAGACCTCAGGGCAAGCATCATGGAACTTGACTTTTGGTGCCAAATGGGTGTCGGTGACCAGAAGGGTGGTTTGGAGTGGATGTACCAGCGTTGGCCACCCGGCAAAGACGTCGACGAAAATGGACGGACACTCCGTGTTGCCAGTTGCGGCGCCTACCAGAAAGGCATGGGCTGGGTCAGCCGTGACTTGCTATTGGAGCCTAGCCACGCTGGATTTGATAGAGAGCACGAGTTCTTGCGCGAGCTCACGGAATCTTGGCACCTGCAGACTGAGGAGTGCACGACTTCAGCCCAGCGTAACGATCCTGAGCAGCGAACCGATCAAGCCATCTCTCAAGAATCGAATTTGAAATCGCTGGAAGGGGTTGAATGCTCGCTGGATATGCTCAGCGCTGCCGACGTGTTCTGCAAGATCGATGTTCCCGCGAGAACCAAGGTTGAAATGGACGCAACCCAACCACCGATGCCGGAGAAAGCGAAAAGCAGCTACATTGATGGCTATCCTCTCATTCAAGCAGACCAGCTTCACGACTTTACCAATTTTGATGCAAACCTCGCCATCAGTTCACACCTGGCCACAAGTCGTTACTATTGTCGCCAAGCACCCAAAATTGAAAGCCAGCCTATCTATACTGACCTAGTGGTCTTGCCATTAAGCAACGAGACGCACATCCTAAACTCGATTCTCACCCACATTGCTACCAGCAGAGATCCGGCCTCAAAGCCGTTGAGTCGTGTCGACTTTTTTGCATTCGATCCGCTTGCCGAACCACCGACGAACGCGTTAGTGCACGGACTAGGTATCACTGCCTCGTCATTTGATCGTAACTTCAGTCTCATCACCATCGACCTGGCTCCATATGTGCGTAGCATCGCCGCGTGGGACCTTCGTCTGGAATCTGAGAGGGTGAGAGTCAGCAATCTGCTGTCAGCAGGCGGGACTCGCAAGAGGAAGGCCAGAACAACAAGGGCGGCACGGAGTGCACAGGAAGGCGGGCGCAGAGAAACGGTACGGAAAGAGAGATGGTTTGACAAGAAGCTTAGCTTGCAAGCTGTGCTTGCGACGGCGGGTAAAGATTGGGCCGGGCTGGGAGGAAGGGAGAGAGGTGAAGATGATAAACAGACGGAGACGGACAGGACGTCCGACGGTGGAAGTGAGCACGGCATGGACACGGAGGGGTAGGGAGAACGGAGCCTTGCAGGTGGGATATGGTCATGGTTGCAGCCGGATTTGCTTGGCTTTTGGACGGGCGAAAGAATGGCAGATGCTTTGACTGGAGGTCACTGTCAGCGCAGCTGGCCATGCTCGGTACGAACGAAGAAGTACTCAAATAGGACCGTGCAGACATGAACAGCTCGCGAGCTAGAGTGCTGAGCGCGCAGCAAACGGTGCAGCCTTGGCCGTATGGACTAAGGGGCGCCATGACACAAAACCATTGGCGGGCCTATCAAGTTGTCGGCGGTGAAATGGCCAAATGGCTCGGGCAGGTGCCTTTCTTGAACGACCAGATAGTATATTGCTTTTTCGGATGGACAGCTGTTTTCTCGGGGGGTGTTTGGTGGATGGTGGAAAGGCTACAAGCCATTGGTGGGATGCATTTTCGGAGTAGAGTCCGGGCTGGCAAAATGACGAGGAGCCGAGCCGAGTGCTCTACGCGGCATGCTGAGTGTTGGTTCAACAAGCATTGGCGGGTGCAGACAGGAGAGTGCATGAGAGAGTGTCGGGCGGCATGCAGTGAGGGCCCGCACCTTCCCAGACATCCGTTCACGTGAATGATGCCAACCTTGAGGCCGGCCAAGTCACGATGGTCGGCGTGCACTCGCTGGCCTCTCAGGTCGGAGGCGATTCCGCGAGACTCTGTAAAGGTCCCTGCTCCGTCTCCCCCGAACCCCTCTGATCGCGCTGCAGCGTGCTAACGGCGCCCATGCCCAACAGGCCAGCAAACCGACGCTCCGAAATGGACGACGAAGCCAGTGGCTCGGCCGCTGAGCCTCCGCCTGAAGTCAGCATCGTCACAAAGTTCCGTACCGACGTCGAGCTCTTCCTGCGCCAGCTCGATGTTCGCCTCTCTCCCGACCAGATCCGGCGAATGGTCAGCGAGGGCTCGCCACCGAGGGCTTCGACTGCTGCTTCTTCCTCATACTCCTCTACTGGCCAGAAACCAGCCAGATCCGCTTCGAGCTCCTCGAACAACACCTCTACCGAGAGAATCGGCGCTGCTGCCATGAAGTTGGCGGCGATTCTTCAACCGGATGGCGACGACGCCACTCGCCCACCTCCTACAAAAGCACCGTGCCGGTGCCCCAGAGACGCGAGTTGCTCATGCGCTACATTCTCGCCGGTGGATGGCAAGGAGAAACCGAAGGGATGATGGACGATAATGCGTCGTCGTCGTCGTCATCGTCGAGACGCCACATCTGAACAGGGGCCTTGATATCGCATCGAGCCGGGGCGAATACGGTACGGAGCAATCCAAAAACTCTTCTCCATCGGCTCTTCAGACCAACTGCTGCGATATACGTCCAGACTTGAAGGAGACACCGCTTCTCGGTGACAAACGATAAGACTCGCAACTTATGGACTCGGAAAGGATATTAAGGACAACCGGACGGGACATGAAGCCGAGAATTGGATATTCAACCAAGGCTTGAGGTGCCACTTATACTTACGGTAGTGGCCACAGACTTCCCTGTCTACCGAAGGAGCTCTACTAGCGGCCGACGCCCTCCCTCCCGGTACCCACTCGTGCATGAAAAGGAACCCCGGAACTGGACTACGAAAGATTACCAATCGGCCACTGAAAACCTGCATTGCTGACTTTGGCGGACGAGGCAAAATGTCGGGACCTTGCCGGAAACACAACGCTTCGCGCTGTTGTTGACGTGCCGACACTCACAGTCCTACTGCTGGCAACTCACTACGGTGGCGAACCTCATTCCATCTACTACTGCTTGATTATTGTTGTAAGCGCACCTACTCGAGTGCTCTATCGACATACGAGTACTTGACGGCATCTGAAATGCTTTTGACCGCGCAATTGATTCAATCTCACATGCTGCCGGGCACGTGGCGTCACTGGGACATGCAGTCCAGCTAGGTGGCGAGCCAAGCAAAAGACACTGAGAAGCCATCACAGCCAGCTGTCTGTTACCGGGGCCAGTGGTTACGAGTCTTACGTCTCAAGGCAATCGGCAAAGAAGTGGAATAAACAAAATCCACATAATATGAGGATGGGCATCATGGCGTTGACGCAGGTGTTGCGGGACCGGCGGTTGCGATTGGTCGGCTATGCATGCCGAGGCGCAACAACGCGCTGCTGCCTCATCGACGCTTTCGGAATCACTCCTGCAGCCCGGGGATTTGCGCCCGTCTTTTGGTTGGTTGATCGCCAATCAGGGCGTCTGTCATTGCCGGGCCCTGGCAATCGCCCTGCACGCTATAGAAGGTGGGGCACGGAGGCGGACTTGCCCTCCGAAGATTAAGGTTGTGCTAGGGCTGTTAGGTAAAGGGGTTGAGCTCTGTGGCTGAGCTCTGGAGGCGTTGCGAGGCGTAAGGGCTGTGGTCTGATTGGTGTCTTACCCCTTACTTTTTTCGGTTTAAGTTCATATGCATGATGCCCGCTAGTGGCGTTCTGAGTCGTCTTCAACTTCATGTTTACTACTTCTCTACGGCCTGAAGGGATGTTCTTCTTACAGTTTATATACCTTTATGAGCGACATGTTCAGTTACGAATACAACCTATTGATCTATGTAAGAAGTACTCCATATGGAATGTTCTAAGCTACTTGCAGGGGTATGTGGGTATGGCTAAAGTATCTTTAATATCTAAATTCATACCGGCTTGATGTGCTCTCGCTTCTACGGAGTATCGCCCACTGTATGGATGGACATGTATACTAAGCTACGAGCGCAGGTTCTACATCTATCTACACAGCGATTCGTAGGGAGCATCAAAGTCTGCTTACACAAGCATAAAAGTATTATTGTAGCATCTCTAATATTTAAACTCATACCGACTTGACATGCTTTCTCTTATACGGAATACCGCTTGCTGTGGTGTTAAGGAATACATATCCAGCTACTAACGCAGTCTCTACATATGTTTGTGAAGTGATTCGTAGAGAGCACTATGGTCTACTAACAGAGACATAAAAGTAATATCACAGTATCTTCAGCATTTAAATTCGGAGAGACTTGACACTCCTTCGCCTTTGCGGAGTATTGTCCACTATATGAATGAGCACTTCTATCTACCACTCCGTCCAAAATAAAATAAGATTATCGCAACTTCCGAGTAGTTGATATTTTTGCAGGTGGTAAGAGAGTCAATTTAAAAAGCTAAATAGAGTGTCGAGTGAGATATGTGTCGGGAAAAAATGCTCAGTGATAAGTCTGAAGCAATAGGGACGAATTAAATTGCTAGAGCAAGATTGTAAATATAATATCAGTTCTTCTTTCTGCGAAAGTTTACGCCAACCAAACACCTCTTTTCGCGGCCATTAATTTTCCCCTGCATACTCAACATCCGGACTTGCGTACAGTTGGGAGGGAAGGGCCCGCCGCCAGTTTGGAGGACCGACGGCGGCCTCTCTCCTTCATGGCCTTCTCTTCCTCTTCCTCTTCCTTCTTCTCACCCTCCCCATACAGGCGGTGACAGGGGGATGGGCCAAGGGAGGGCGAGGTGGTGGCGGCTGACCCTGACGGTGAGGTAACGGGCGTTAGGCACGAAACCCAATGATCTTCGTCGATCTCTACCGCCGAGGCCCTCCGAAATGAAGTCCTGACGGCGGCGTCGGCACCGAAGAACACGGCGGTGGTGAAGAAGCTTGGAATTTTAAGTGATGAATCAGGAAAAGGGGTTGAATTCACGCATCTCATACACAGGACTGACTCTTGACGACATGGGGTGGCAAGGGGCAGAAAATCTCAGTGGACAAATGAACATCCTTTTGAATAAGAACACAGTTTGACTGTGCGCCGAAATTATGAGTATTGTAGCCCCGAAACAGAGATAATCGTACAATGTCATAGCCACCACACCCCTAGCAGAAATAAAACCATCACACCTCAAGAGCCACGCCAAAAACCCAGTTTCCTTTCAAACATAGACATAGCAGAAAGGCCCCGCAGTCGTGCTCATGACGTCCTTGATCTGAAGGTCGCCATGCGTGCCCGCATAGCCCATAGTCAAGACATCCTCGTACGTTGCGTTGGGTGAGGGTGGGCTGTTGAGCAGCGTGCGCGTACCCATCAACGCCTTGGGGCCTGATAATCGCTCCGCCGGGTCCATCATTTGCCACATCCACCAGGTGCGGTCGATGTTGCTGTGGTGCAGATAGAAGGCGGGGTCGCCGGGTGAGACCAGGAAGTCACGGCCTGGGTCGCCGCCTGTTTGGTTTGGTTAGTAAAAATACTTGTTTGGAGGATTGATAACTAGGGGTGTTGAGGAGAGTGAATGATAGAAGTTGCACTTACCCATACTGTAGTGGCCACCGCCATGAACTCCCAACTCTCCACTGTTGGGGTAGCCTTGCATCGTCATCTGGAAGTCATACACATCATGCGTCTTGAGCAAAAGATCCTCGACGCTCGTCTTGTTCGCGAACCTCTGGTTGACTTCATTCGTCAAGTCCCTCTTCAAACAACGTGGATTCCAAGCGAACTGGTCCTTGAGGCTGCCAATCGAGCTTCCGTTGGTAATAGAAAGCGACAATGGACCAAGATTGACAGTGTAGTTCACAAACGGTCCACTGGTAACACAACCACCCCCAGTCCCGTGAGGAAGGATAACTGGCACATCTGACGAGCTGATGTTGACATAACCCTGGTTGGCGATGGGTGCGCCATTGCCAGAGAGTGAGGTCTCACTGCCGTCAAAGATGGCGGATGTCTCAAGACTACCGCTGGCCGCGGTCTTAGTCCAGTCCCAGTACCTAACCCTTGAATTAGTCATTTATAAGGTTCAGTCGGTGTTAACTTACGGTTGGTAGCCTTTATAGCCGCATTCATTCCTCAGAGCCTCTTCATATTCCCACATCATGAATCTATGCCAGCTCAAGAAGGTGGCTGAGAAGTGAATGAAAAATGTCTGATTGATATGAGATGCGACGAAGTCGTCGTACCTGCTCTTGGCGCCGGGGACAAGATGTGACGGCGTGTTTGCGGTCTTGTGTTGAAAGCAAACAACTGCATTGGTGTAGTCAATCTGTTCCTCCCTCGTGAGATCTCCCCTGCACATGACGTTAGTAAAGGATCCAGTTCCGCTGGAAAAGCATTGAGAGCATTCACTCAAACCTACTTACCATTCTTTACGAACAATCAGATTTTCTGGTGTGCACTGTTCCGAAAAAGGAACTTTATCCTTTGCGGTAGAAAGAGCATGCGAGACCAAGTCTTCATACTTGGCATTGGTATTGTTCAACTTTGCTGCCGCCAAACTGGAGAGGGGCCATGTGGTCCCTTGAGCTACCCCTGTGGGAACAGCCCCAATTATGGAAGCGAAAAGAAGAATGATTTCGAAGATATTAAAAAGGTACATTATATCGTAAAGTCGTGTTGTTTGAATTGATATCAAGGTAGATATTAAAGTAGAAAGATATGCCTGAATACCTTAGGCAGAAGCAGGCAGGGAAAGCACTGAGGTGGTATATTATGGCGCGTCTTGCAGTGAAGAAAAAGAAGAAGAAAGGTTAAGAAACATTTCTGTGGGAGCTCTTATATGTATCAACTTTTCAACCAGACAGTGTAGTCTAACATCGGTGAGTCGGCGTAAATCATCGGCCCCGCAAAAAGCGAAAGAAAGGTAAAGAGTGGCAGGCGGGCGATGCTCATACGATCTGAGCGGCGAATTACAGGACAAGAGTGTGACTGCATCGAGGGTTGCCAACGCGTTGATGGCCCTGTTTGCTTGGACGTGCATGCGCATCGCATAGGGCTAGCATGATCTGCAATGCGAGCACTGAAAAGATCAGGTAAGCTGCCAAGGTTGGAAGGATGCGGCTGCTTAGAGCTCGAGGCGTAGCGTGCCGCTGTCAGGACGATCACCAAGATCGCGTCACACTAAACCTGGGGGAGTACCGGTGAGTGCGAACTCAGGACAACTACGTGTACGAGTGAGAGATCAATATTGACTTGGCGACGGCCCGAGTTGGGGGCGATGTCTAAGTTTGGATAGCAGGCGGGGATCAGCGATATGACAAGAACGGCAAGCCACAAACTATCGTAAGGCCGGAGAATTCGAGGGGCCGTGTCATAATCGAAACTCAGCGAAAGCCCACGTTGTGAGGCTGACGGGGGTTCGGGCCAGTCACGGATGTTGTGGCGCTCGGGAAGGGAGACGGCGTTGCGCCTATTCCGGACGCCGCAGCCGAAGCGGTGAGATCATCCGCTACGCCGTAAGCTGCTTCGGCCGAGCTTCGTCGCCAGTCGCCTACCGCGTGTCATCCAAAAAGACGGCTGCCAATTGTTGTCGCTCGATGGCTGCCAGCGCACCTTGTTCCATGTTAGTGTGTTGCACCAAGCGAAGTCTAACTTCCTGAACTCATCATCTGAACAACAGGCAGCCAAATTTCATCGCTGTCAGGTAAGGACCCCCTGGCTTTGCGCGTAGCTCTAACGGAGCAATCTGCCCGCATGACCCCGAAGAAGGGTATGATGCAGGCGATTGGACAGCCGATGGCGCAAGGAGGGAGTTCGAGAGGAGTAGAAGATGCAACCACCTGCGAGCCATAAAGAATCCGAAAAAGCTCGGGACATCAGAACCATCGAGCCGGTCCCAGGAGATGGGCCATCCCGAGCCCGTAGGTAGTGATTGAAACCAGATCGTATGCGCTTCGCCGAAGAGCTCGAATTCGGCAGGTTTTCGTTACAAGGACCGGCCATTGGGCGGCTCGGCGGGTAGTGCAAAAGAGCACGAAGATAGAGAGCGAGTCGGCAGAGATCCAGGGACGCTGCGGTGCTTGTGTTGTGCGATGGAACGACATTGAGGCTCCAGGGTGGTCGAGGTTAGGTAACCTTGGGGAAAAGTGGGTCGTCTCCGTTGCGGGAGGCCCGCATGCCCGCCCGCCCGTCTCGGTGCTCGGGTCACGGGCCTCCGGTCTCCGCTCAAATTTACCCAACAACTGCGTAAAGCTCTACTTCATATGGCACAAATAAGACCTATCGGAATATAAAAAAGCTCTCCGACATTGGCACAATTTTACATATACTGGTGATAGTATCTGCCCTTAAAATTTCGTGGCACTCTTACTACAAAGCATGCAATGGGTGATATATTCTACTCAGGCATTGACCTAAGGTATAAATCATCGATAGTAGAAGTAAGTTTGGCATCATATATAAAGACCTATGTAGCCGCGGTAAAGTTGACGAAGTATACCTATGGTTGCTTTCTTGTATATGTGGCGGCATGTTTCTGCTTTAAGGCTGTAGGAATTCTTCGGTAGATAGTGTTTCAACTCCGGTTTATGCGCGAATCTCTGTGCGTGCAGATTGTAATTAACCGTTCGAGTACGTAACAAACCTTTTCATGTGCATCGAGATTAACTTTACTTGAGAACACGGGGGACTTTTAAGCTTGTCGATTATACAACTTTTTTCGTAGGTGCTTAAGCGCCTTCATATGTAGATGCATGCGGCATTACTCGCATAGCTAACATTGGACTTAGCTCTAGGCGAATTCGCTATGCAGTTTGTTTTAGGTGGCACGGGTGGCTAGATGGGTGGGCACAATTAAAGTTTTAGAGTTTAAAGTTCGGCTGCATAAGGGTCACGCTATTCCAATTTAGGCAATGCGACACCATCAACAACGGACTCAGACTGCCCTACGACCATTCAGCCAATCTATTTTCTGTCTCATGTTGATTGATTCAACTGTTTACCAAGTACAGTTACATTGTTTCTATCGCATGTTAATTGGATCAACTGCTTGCAAGTCCAGTCGCTTTGTTTCTATCTCATGTCTCATGTTGGTTGGCTCAATTGTTTGCAAGTCCAGTCACGTTGGTAAAATCATTCACTATCGGGCCAAAGGTTTCAGGAGCAGTAATCATACTAGTTTGTATCCAAGTAGAAATGAAGTTATAGACAGGTAAAAGCAAAAGCTGCTCGTCCAAACCGCGGTCTGCCATGCGCCAGCGCAATTTGCCGCGCCTATAGCACCGTTACCGCATCAAAGCGTTCAGAGAGTGCCGAAGCCGCTTAGCAGCTGGCAACATCGGGAACGTTCTGGCACTCATCGGAGGCCTCGCCACCAGTAACATCGACACCAGACCAGGTCCAGTCAGTGCAGGAGTCAGAGCCGCAGAGGATCTGGACAGGGGAAGCATCGTCCGCGACAGAACCGGTGATATCCTCAACCTTGAGGCCGGCAATCGAGATGCCGTTCGTAGGCTTGCCGGTGGGCGAACCGTTCTCGTAGTCCTGCTCGATGATAATACCGTACCTGGTTTGAATGTTAGTAAAGGAGAAGAGAGGGTAACGGAGAGAAAGAGATCGAGAGAGCGAAGGAGCGAGGGAAAGAACAGGGGGATGGGAGGAAGAAAAAAACAAAAAACACGTACTTGGCGATGTTAGAGAGCTTGATGTTGGAGAACGTGACCTGGTCTACACTTCCAGTGGCGTCGTAGACGGTCTTGATGCGGATACCGTTGTCGGAGTCGGAGACGGTGGAGTCGGAAATGGTAACGTTCTTCACGTCGTTGTCATCACGACCACCGACGGAGCCGATGGAAAGACCGTGGCCACCGGAGCAAGTGCCGCCGGTGAAGGCGATGTTCGTGCCAGAGTTGATAGCCAGGCAGTCGTCCTGGTTCTTGATGTTGGCGTTGGAGATGGTGATGCCAGTGGAGGAGCCAACATCGAAGGCATCGGTGTTGTGGCCACCGTCCTCAACGTCACCGTCGGTGTTGTCGATGGTGATGCTGTCGAGAGTAAGGTCCTCAGAGCTGTTGATGGAGAAGCCCTGGACGGGGGTGTTCTTGATGTTCAGGCCCTTGATCGTGGACTGCTTCATATCGTGGGCGTAGAAGAACTTGGGCTTGTCCTTGCCACCGTTCGTACCCTTGCCATCCCACCACTTCGCGCCGTTGCCATTAATCAAATGGCCTTCAGCACCAGAGATAGTGAGACCAGTGCCCGAGAATCTTATCAATGGGCCCTCCCACTCGTCGTACTCGAAAGAGGTGGTACCCTGGAACTCAACCTGGGTGTTGTCGGCCAGGTCGGAAAGATCCAGAGTCTCGCCGGCGGGAACGGTGATGTCCTTCAGGACAATGGAGGTGCAGTCAGCCTTGCCCTCCTTGGCGGCAGCGGCATCAGTGAAGGTGCAGGAGTCGGCACGCTTCATGTTGGCGGGCATAGCAGCAGCCATGGTGACGCCAGCGCCCATCATGAGAGTTGCGATTTGAACCATTTTGAAGGTTGGAGAGATAGTTTTTTCGAAAGAACGACGAAAAGTGAGAATGGAAGTGAAGTGAAGGGAATGCAAGGCTTGCTTGGTTGTTGGATGGAGACTGAAGAGGCCGGCGGAGAGTGGTTTATATAACTTGGAGGCGTTGTAGCAGACGACTCCCTCGACCGCGACGACATGATGGAGCCCATGAATCGCGCAGCGGTCGGAATAGTCGGCTCTGTGGAGACGTTGGTAGGAGTAGGGTGTAGTAGGCGTTGGCGGCGGTGATTGGTGGGAATCGGGCGAGGGTCGGCCCTAGCTCCCGTAGGGCCCGGTGCCGAGATGAGAGGGAGTGTTTCGTGGACTTGGAAACCTAAGCGACACCCCTGGAACCCGCCCTCCATGGCCCAGCATATTTAGATGGCCCGCCGCACTTTTTGGGAAAGCTGACGCGTCTATCACTTCGAATCCCTCCCACAACCTGGTCGGGAGAACGCCGTGCCATTCGCCTCAGGCCCGCCTGCCCATCAACCCGCAACGTGAGCCACCGACGACACCATCCGACGACACTTGCTTCCGCTCGCTGGCCCCCAGTCTGCACTCCTAGTCCGATTGCGCCAGTCTCCCCGATCCGCTCCCGGCACCGTCGTCCCGGCCTACCATTGCGCAAAGATCGATGCCGGCAACCGCCATCCTCACCACCACCGCTGCATGCCTGCATCCAGAACCACCATGACGGCCCATTCAATCTACCCAAAAAGACGCTTCTTCCACTGCAGCCCTGCCATGTTTGGCGGTGTACACGGCAGACTCGGAACCTCGCGTCAGAGCTCGCGCGTCATCTGGAAGTCGGCATCTCGACATCGCATCATTATCCACGCCGTTTCTTGTTTCCGATGTTTCTATATCCGCTCCCGCGCATCTAGGCCTTTGGCCTCGGAGTGCCGGGTTTCCAATCTCTCGTGGCCGCAGGGAGCCGCCCAGGTGAAGTGAGACCGCTGCGCATCACTACCGCATCGGGGAGGCATGGTGCGGCAACGACCCCCTGATCATGACCGACAGTCCTCGGGCTCAAATTTCAGTCCAAACTCCGGTCGCAACATCAGGCGAAGAGAAACATCGGTTCGGCCCGTGCGGATTGCCTGGCTGAGCTTGACAAAGCTTGAGAAACAACCCCTGTGTCGTTCCGTGGAAAAGAACATCCCACGCCTTCCACACGACCGCCCTCTCCGCCTCCTGAGCTTGCGACGAGTCTTTTTGTTTCGTTCTGGCAGGTGTGAGGCCGCGCACGTGTGTTTTTTGTTTCATTGGTGCACCAATTCCTCCTACTCGTTATACGCCCTGCGGAGAACGCATTAACCTCCTACTCGAAGAGGGAACCCAAATCGCCGCTCCGAGCAAAGAAACCAAAACGCCAATGGACAGAGGATGCCGTCTTTTCCGAGACACGGCATAAAAGGGGGAATGAGCGATTGGCGGAACTTTAAGTCGCCACTTCTTCGTAAGAATTGCGGCAGTAGGCGCCCAGAAGCTGATTTAGGCGTTTTTCGACACCCTCGCTGCAGGTACCGGCATGGCAGGTCGTCCACGGAAGAAAGCCACGCGATATGCCAAGAAAGCCACACGTGGTATGGATACCACCCCCCACAAAGCTTGCTGCTGCTTGGCGAGCTTAGCTTGGGTGCATGCCTTGGCGAGAGCTGCAGGGAGGTAGGCGTCCAGCCGCATTTGCTAATTTTTGATCAGGTGGCTCTGCATAACGATGATCTCTAGAAGCGGAATGCCTTAATCAAGCCTCGTCGCCAACCCTCTCGTACAGCTCCCTAACCTCATCCTCGTAGTCCGCAAGCGTCGCCCGACGGTTAATTGTCCCCTTCCCTGCCTTTCGGATGGGCTTTTCCGGCTTTGCAAGCAGAATCATCTCCTTCGTTAGCTGAATGTCCTTGGCGGAATGCTTGTTGGCTTCCTCGAACGCCGGCCATATTTCCTCCAAGACGGCATTGCACTCTCCGTCCATGCCCTCCTTCGTCTGAATAAGGCAGAAAGGCCGGCTGCGTCCTTCCCCGCCCATAATCGCGTCACGGACGAGCGGATGCCGGTCGATTACCACTTCTACATGGCTCGCGTTGAACTTTGTCAGATTCGAAAGCTTGACGAAGTCATCAGTGCGACCAGAGAAAATCCAGAGGCCCTTCTTGGTCTCGTGTTCACGGAAAAGGTCTTTGGTGTGGTACACATCAATCTCCGGATACAACTTGAAGATATTCTGGAAATCTTCCCAGCCAGGCTGTTTCTCTATGACCATCTCGCACAGGTTGCCTGCGTACGGCCGCATACGCGTGCCCGATGGATGGTCTAGGTCCAGATGGTAGTACTCCCAGTCCTTATCGTCCGCCTCGAGCAGCGGAAAGCCGCCGACCTCGGTACTTCCCATGACCGGTTGCACCTTGAGGAAGGCGGCGAAGACGTCACCGACGGTCTTGTCGAGTGGCGCGCCCCCATACGCCACTAGCTGCAGGTGTCGCATGTTGTCTACGTATTCGGGGCTCTTGGCTATCTGCTTGAGCAGGTCTGGCACGTAGAATCCGCCGTGGACATCGCGAGGAGTGATCCGGTGCACGATGTCTATATACTTGGCCGTGAGTGGGTGCGGCGCGCCAACGGGGAGCAGCACAGGAACAACATCGATCAAGAGCGGAAAGTGCAGGACCATCAAAAGTCCTGCGATCCATTCGGGCGGCATGGTGGCAATGATCTTGCGGCGTGCCATGAGCATCCAGGCGCTGCGGAGCCCTCCAATGTTCTCCGCCATATGCAGACTGTCCCTGTCAAACGTCGCGCCGATGGCGTTGGTCCATACGACTGGCTTGGGAAATCCTGACAAGGTAGGTCAGCCATGCTTCAACTTTGATGTCAAAGTGTTTCCAATTACCTGTTGTGCCGGAGGTATGGTTTACGTGAATTGGGTCGTTCTTCGCTTCTTCCCAACTCTTCCCGTACGGATAGTAGTTGACCTGTTCCCCATTCACCAATTCTTCCAGCTCCGGGATCGTGATGACTTTCAAATCTGGCTTGCTCTCTCTGATCCCATCCCACACTGCCATAGTGTCCGACGCGCCGACCAAAGCTTTGGGGTCCGTCGTGTTGATAAGGTTCAGCTGCGCCTCGAACGAGTTTTGCGAGAGCGGCAAAAGCACCTTTCAGGCACTGTTAGCTCATTATCTATATCTTCATCAAACAGAAAATAGTACCTTTCTATGAGCCTTGGTTGCTGCAAGAACAATAAAGGCATATCGCAGATCCCTCGGCCCAATGTACGCAATAGTGTCAAACGTCTCGGTGCATTTCCCCAGCTCTTCATCCAACCACCACGCAAGTTTGTTGACGGCGCGGGCGACCTGGCTATACGTGGTCTCGCCATACCCATCTGCAATGTCAGCCGTCTTGGGCGTGATAGCGTAGACACGGTCCGGCGTCCCGCGAGCCCGCTCATCTACCAACGTAGGCATGAGCCTGTAGCCATACTGCTGCTCTTCATCTGCCACTCTAATATCTCCCATTTTCAGAAAAAAGCGTGCGGTTATTCAAATGCGCCTGTATTGTCGTGAACAGCCGTGTACAGTCGCTTCTCCAGTTCCTTGGCGAGCTATGGAGTAGATAAGACCAGAAAGATACCTAGCATCTATATAACAGCAAAGCAGCAAGGCCGCAGCATCTGCAGCGTTCGCCACCACCAATCAACCCACCAAGCATCCCTGAGTCCTCACAACGGCGACGACGACGACATCGGTAAACGCGTCGCCCGATCCCCAACGAGAGGAGGGGAAAGGCCCCTCGCCCGTGAGCTTTGCCGCGATACCCCACAAATCGAAATCGCGCGGCGCGACGTCCGTGCCGATTGGACAGAGATTCGTCCCAACTACTCTTTCCGTACAGCTCTGCAGTCGCAGGCGCCTCCTCGGCGCGAGACAGATGGGCAGGTAGACGGTCGCGGCGTACTACCTCGGCCCTGGTGGTGAACGTCTCGCGCCCGCTTCTTCCTTCGTGCGTCCGTCGCGCCGGTGAGCTTCACTGCCCAAAGGGCAGGAGAAAGCTGACTCGTGATCAGCTGAGGATCGCCGTTTGGTGTCAGTGCTTTGCCCGCCAACGCACCAGGGAGCGGGCGGTTTTCTGGCTCGTGCACAGATATCTGGGATCTCCTCGGTTCTCGCACGAGCTCCGCATCCGAGGGCGATGTCGGATGGTTGCCGTCTCGCCCCTGGTATATGCAGGTAGTTGCAGGTTGCCATGCAGGGACAGAACGGAGGGATGATTGTTTTTACGCGGGGGTGCTTCGGTCAATGAAAGTACTACATGTGGAAGCTCTTTGCTGACCGGCTACTGCAACCACGCAGACTTATTGCAGCTCAAGAGTGATTTCCTTCATCTCCGTAACGTTCTCTAGGTTCCAGCAAATCTGGGAGGCCTTCTTCGCCTGTTGCTGACCCAGGACGCTGGAGACTTGGTCCAAGAACTTCTCTTCGAGTTGCTCGTTCGTCATTGGAACCTGCACGCTCCCTACCGCATGCTCAACATGCTTCTCAAATGCATCTTGTGCGAATCTGACTACGACCTTGGCTTCATCTGTGCGTAGCTCGTTGTTAACGGTGGCTTCGACCTTGCCCCGCAGCTGAATCACTGCAGGGTCCTGCACTACTGCGTCTTCGTACTGTGCTGGCGTCGCCTTGCCGTAAAGTAACGCTACCGCAGCGCTATGGTAAACGCTAAATTTACCCTCGAGACCTGTCTTGGGAGTCTTCTTGCCAGTGAGCTCGAGGACCAGCGGATGGATCTCGACGTGGACAGATTGGATCAAGGACGCGTCCGGACTCTGCTCTGCTGACTTGTCTTTGTTCATATCATGATGTATCTGGATGCAAGCGTCGATCACGGGATGGATGACGATCCCTGCTCATGCATAAGTGTCCTGGCTGCATTTTGATCCCCAGAAGACTTACCACAAGGGAATGGCTTGAAGGAATTCTTCAAGATCTCCCATGTCTTGCCTAAAGTGTCCATGCGCGCCTGGATGTCGTTAGACGCGCTGACCACATTGGCCCAACCGCGTTTAGCTTCGAGGGATTGGAGAGAGCTATCGTAGCCATTGCTCGCCAAGAAGGCGGCCAGAAGGCCATTCTGCGCGGCTCTGCCGGGATGGAACGACTTGGTCATGCTGCCAAACTGCTCTCTAAGACCCGTTACTTGAGAGGCAGCAATGCCAATGGCATGCTGCATGGCCTCGACGTCAAGATTCAGTAGCTTTCCGACAGCCACGGCGGCGCCAATGGAGCCGGAGGTGCTGGTGATGTGCCAGCCGACGTCGTAGTGGTCCGGCCAGACGGCTAGGCCAGCCTTGCACTCAGCCTCAATGCCGGCGACTAGGGCGAGGATGAAGTCGTTGCCATTGACGGGCTCGCGCAGCTCGGCCACGGCCAGCAGAGCGGACACGACGGGGCCGGCAGGGTGGATGATGGTGTCGAGATGGGTGTCGTCGTAGTCATGGACGTGGCTGCTGATGCCATTGAGCAAGGCAGCCGAGTTTGCATCGGTACGGTGGCCGCGGCAGCCCAGGACGGACGAGGTGGGCGGGCCGGCGAAGGGCGACACTGAGGCGCGAGCGATGGCTGCGGCGGGATGCGCGCTTCCGCCAACGGCGCAGCCGGCGAGGTTGTAGAATGAGCGCACGGCAGCCTGGACGACGGAGGGGGGTAAGGCGTTGTAGCGGAGGGCGGCGGCCCAGGCAGCCAGGTGAGCGGTGGCCATACCTCTGTAGTACAGGTGTATGTAGGTGTATTATTATCAGAGGTGCAGAGTATATCATGACGCAGTGCAACCGTGTCGACCGGTGATTTTCCCCTGAATCGCGGGCGCGCAGGCAAATTGCGCCTCCTTGGCCTCTCTGGCGCGCGGGCGCCTGACCCACCGGCTGACCCTGCGTTGGTTTGCTAGCTTAGCTTCTGCTCTGTTGTGCTGCTTTTTGCTGCCCGCCTCCGGACCATCCGGCGCCCGAATCCGACTGCGTGCTTCCTTCGCGTCAACGGGCTTTGCTCTTCTTCCTCTTCTTTCCTCTTTCCTTTTTTTTTCTCCCAGCTGCTTCTCTCTCCATCCTCAATCAGTGTGCTTTGCCGATCGTCTCTTGGCCTGGCCGTTGCCGTGTCGCATTTCACGCACCAGGGTCCTCCGACGACAACTTCAGTGCACCTAATTTCGTCCCGCGCGCTGAGGCATCATTTGCAATGCCTACTCGTTCGATAAACCCTTTCGCCGCCGCCGCCTCTCCCACCACCGCTCCATCCCTCGACGAGAAGGGCTCCGTCCGCAAGGCGAACAACAAGTTTACTTCCTTCTTCTCCGCCTCGCCCAAGTCAAAGCAAAGCAGCGACGCCCTCAGGGAAGCCATCGTTGCCCAGCAGCGCGCCCTCCTCGACAACCCGTCGCCCTCGTTGTCTCTGCCGACCATCTGCCTGAGCACGGCGACGGGCGAAAAATACAGCAAGATGGAGGAGCCCACCACGACCCTTTTCCAGCCTCCCTCGCCCGAGGAGGCGCGTCGCATTGCCAAGCAGCACGCCGAGTTTGGCCCGCTGGGCTCCAAGGCCCACCTCTACTCGAGCAGGTACACCGGTGGCGAGTTCCCGGAGCCCATCGAGGACGAGCCGCCCTACTTCTTCCTCCTCACCACTTACATCAGCTATCTCATCCTCATCATCTTCGGCCACGTTCGCGATTTCTTCGGCAAGCGATTCCGCCAGAACAACTACAAGCATCTCCGCGCCCAGGATGGCTACGCGCCTCTGAACAGCGACTTTGACAACTTCTACATCAGGAGACTCAAGATGCGCATCAACGACTGCTTCGCGAGGCCCATCATCGGCGTGCCCGGCCGCTACATCAATCTGCTCGACCGCAAGTCGGATGACTACAACCTCAGCTTCAAGCTGACGGGCACCACGACCGAAACGCTGAACATGAGCTCGTACAATTACCTTGGTTTTGCCCAATCCGAGGGCCCCTGCGCAGATGCGGTGGAGGAGGGCATCAAGAAGTGGAGCGTGAGCCTTTGCAGCAGCCGTGGTGATGTCGGAACCAGCAACCTCCACATTGAGGTCGAGGATCTGATTGCCAAGTTCGTCGGAAAGCCCGCTTCCATGGTCTTCTCCATGGGTTTCGTCACAAATGCGACCACGTTCCCGGCTTTGGTTGGCAAGGGCTGCCTGGTTATTTCCGACGAGCTCAACCACTCCTCGATCCGTTTCGGCGCGAGATTGTCTGGTGCCATGATCGAGATGTTCAAGCACAATGACATGAGGCACCTCGAACGCGTTCTTCGCGCGGCCATTTCCAATGGCCAGCCCCGCACGCACCGCCCTTGGAAGAAGATCCTGATTGCCGTCGAGGGCCTGTACTCGATGGAGGGAACCATCTGCAACTTGCCCGCTCTTCTCGAGCTCAAGAGGAAATACAAGTTCCACCTGTTCATCGACGAGGCCCACTCCGTTGGTGCCCTCGGCCCCCAGGGTCGCGGTGTCTGCGATTACTTCGGCGTGGATCCCGCCGAGGTCGATATCCTCATGGGAACTCTGACCAAGTCCTTCGGTGCAAACGGTGGCTACATTGCGGCTGATAAGCACATTATTGACAAGCTCCGCGTAACAAACGCCTGCAACATTTTTGGCGAGACTCCGGCTCCTCCCGTCCTCATTCAAATCGCTAGTGCCCTGAAACTCATCATTGGCGAGATTAACCCTGGCCAAGGCGAGGAACGCCTTCAGCGTCTCGCCTTCAACTCCAGATATCTTCGTCTGGGTCTCAAGCGTCTTGGCTTCATTGTCTATGGTCACGATGACTCGCCCATTGTGCCCGTCATGCTTTACAACCCTGCCAAGATGCCTGCCTTCTCCCATGAGATGTTGAAGCGCAAGATCTCCGTCGTCGTCGTCGGTTACCCCGCTACGCCGCTCGTCTCTTCCCGTGCCAGGTTCTGCCTTTCCGCCGCTCATACCAAGGACGATCTCGACCGCATGCTCGCGGCCTGTGACCAGATCGGCGACATCCTCCAACTCAAGTTCTCCAGCGGCGTTGCGGGCGGTGCCGCACCTCTCCCCGATGGCCTCACCAACGAGATGGAGCAGGAGTACAGGCGCCAGATGGAGCGTGGCGGCAAGGTGCCCCCGACGATACCGCCTAGGTGGCGTCTGGAAGACGTCATCAAGCGCGGCGTACAAGACGTCAAGGCCCCTCTCCGCTAAGACGCACCTTCTGGACTCGTGAAGCTGGTATTCTCGCATTCCGAAACTTAACCCGATGTACGATGAGAACGCCGCACACCGGACACGACTTAGGCTTTTTTTTTAGCTGCGCTTTTCCTTCAAGCAGCCGCTGAATCTATTTCGCAATGCCATCGGTCATTACACATGACGGAGCAAGCACGGCATGGCTTGCCCGGACTCAGCATCTATCGATCGCTGCGTTTTGTAATGATATATTCTCATCCATCACACAGAATCAAGGCTGCGCAGCGCCCAATGGCGCCACTGCAAGCCTCGATCAAACGCTGTAACTTCTTTTCGGCCACATGATTTCACACCGCAAAAACGCATAGACTGCGGACGCGGACTGAAGAGGATAATATTTTAATATTTTTAATGATTGGGAACCACTTGTACATTGGAAGATGTGGGGAACAAGGTGTTTTCGCACGGGGTTGCTACCATCGGTGGCATTAGGAGAGGGAAGAGGAGGGGGTCGACTGCCGGCGACCCCTGTGGCGGTGCAAGTGGCTCCGTGGGATGGTTGTAGGACCTCTTGTGCCGGCAACGAGAAATTGATTCATTGACCATCTCTGCATATTGGCTGTGTGGCGTAACATCTTGTGGGCGAGCTTGTTTGTGCTGTCTCGCCCTTAATGGAACGCAGGATTTCACAGTGATGCAGGATTATGCTAAACATGACTATCATGCTGTGCCTTGCCTCTGCGGCCCTGTTTTACCTAATCACCAGGCCTGATGTTTGTCGAAGTGCAGCATGTACCTAGGTAAGTGTTGGGCTCAAGATGGGTTCAGTTCTAATGTAATGGCTCGGAGCTACATCAATCACAGTTTTTGATTTGAGGAGTGGCATGACCTGAAAGACGATGAAGAATGATACCACACAAAGATGCTATACTGAAATACTCTCATCCAACCTGAGTGGATGATTGCTAAAGTGCTCGATTACTCAGTTCATTTGACAAACAGCTACAAATGACAAAACGCTTCGAAACAGTGACGTATATATAGCCACCATGAGATTACTGTACGTAGGTACCCTGTAAAGACGTATCTGAGTTCAGGGCAATCTTCAAGATATATCTGGGTGTTGATGGTACTAACTTATTGTACCTACCGAGAACGTCTTCATTGGGTTGGGGTAATTGTAAGTAGGTATAATGGTTCGAAGACGGGAGAGTATTAAAGTAAATCATGTATTCATATGGGATTGAAGTGGACAAATGTATCCGGAACCAGTTTAAAAATATGAAGGATAGTATATCCCGGTGCTTACAGGATAATTTTCTATTTAACGTAAACCGATAGGAATGTACAAATTTCTCGAATTTGCGGAGCAGTGTTTTTGTGTTTCGCTATATGCTACTCTTTAATTTGTACAAGCCCAGTCAATAAATTGGGCAGTCCATAAATGCTCTTAAAAGTCCGATAGGATCAAATTCACAACATACACATATAACCTGCTGTCATGACGAGTAGCTTTTTTATTTTAGCAAACATAAAGAGTGGTTTGATGACCTCGTCAACATCAAATAATGCCTGGATACTCTAGAAATTCAGTGCCATGTACCAGATCTCGAACAATAATAGCAGACCATTCCATGCAGAGGACTGGGTGCAATAATATCCGCAACGAGAATGCCGCCACAACTAATATACGCCCTTGAAGTTGCCTTGTTTGATCAGTAGTGCATACTAAGGAAAGATAGATGGAATGAATAGCTTTGGCTATGGCTTTGAGGAGACCTCACGTACTCTGATAGTCAGTTTGACGGCTTAGTGTCGAGGACTTTAATTTTCAGTGAATCTTTGTGGAACATAACCGCATGTTGTGCCATTGCTAGAGGAATGACTCCTTGCTAAGTGTGCGCCGGTAGCCAGGCACTTGCTTTTCTTCAAGCGATATAACAAGCGGTCTCGATTGGCTAATCAATGGAATGTGGCTGGTAATGAAGAACAGCACGGCAAGCGAACAGAACCCTATCGCAGACGACAGCATCTGCATTGTATTTACAATCCCTGCCCGGAGCCAAATCCCAGGTTACGATTGATCGCACGGGGAAATCTACCAGTTCCCCGCATTGACCGGTCAGCAAGGCTAGAAGGCAGCCACCCCATGCACATGTATGCACCCGTGCCGGTGAGTCCGGCTCGACGAGAGCGCCTCAAGTCCGCGTGACGTACTTACTGTCCCACTCGGCTTGGGAGGCTACAACGCCCGGAAATGCATGATCCGAGGGTGGCGATTTCCTGCAGTGAGCGTGTGCTGTACGGTTATCAAATCAACAATAGGCAACGACTCGGACTTTAACTGGGCCCTTCGAGAAGACTGCCCCTCATTGACGTCTTCGGCTCTGCAAGACAAACTGCGTGGGCTTGACCAGGGAGCTATCCTGCCACGCTCCTCTCACCCTAAAAGGGGTTGGGATAAGCTACTACCGGCCATTATGCAGTTTATTGGAGTATCTTTTCTGCGCCTGCTAACCTTTGCCAGTTAATCGACCCTGGGGTTGCGCCCCCATAATCCTTCGCAGCAGCTTACCTTGCCAACGGCTGGTTGCAGTGGCAATGCATGTAGTGGCCTCGGTCTCCGACGCACCGAGCAGGCAAATGGATTACCGGCTGCCTGCTCAGACCGGTTTCCAGAAAGGCTTGTGGGGACATCAATTAGAGAGTTGAGTCGGGAACCAATGGTAACCGCGTCATGTTTGAGTAACGCGAAGCCCCACGAGTTCGGCGTAACTCTAAGTAGATTTTCTGTTTATTCTTTCTCCTATTGGGTAACTATCCGCCTCTTCTGAAGGCGATTGGTGAAAATTATTTCTTTCCGTTAGTTCATGTGAAGTCAGTGAAGAAATAGCAATGGACGTTTGGTGTGGTAGCCGGTCAGTCGGTGCCCGCGGCTCAACCTTTCTCGAGTTTTATCTTCAGTCATGTGGTGATTATCGTGCAACTAGGGAGCCCTGGTCCGGATGTTTATGCTGGCAAGCTTCCACAACCTTGACCGGTGAGGCCGTCAACCACAGCAGCGCGGCTGTAGCAGCTTTGGCAAGAGCATCAATGTATGATAGAAGCGGCTTAGCCGTTTTCATGCTTTTACTGGCATAGTGTCGATAGTGTTTGAGAGCGTTCTGGACAGGGGATGGAATGATACTTATACGGCGGTGTTGACCTTTTATTTCGAGGGTCTCGACTTGCCCGCACTGTCTAGCCGCAATCCAATTCTGGCCCGTTCGGTCCGCCGGTTGGTCAACTTGGACTGAAGACTTCATCCCCCCTCCGTTTGTTCCCAATAGGTTGTATTGCACAGCCTACTTCTTTCGTTGCGTGTTCGAACACTTTGCTTGTTATACCAACCCACAAGTCTGTACCCAACATGGCTGTTCCTATGGTCCCTGGCGGTGGGGAGAAGCCAGGCAAGCAAAAAGCAAACTCCGGAGTAACCAAGGCACCTCATCTTACCTCTTTTGCAAAGACGTATCACGGCTTCTGTTGCCGCAAAGTTCCAAGCTCCAATCTTGACGCTGGCCTTGAGCCCTCTTGGGCAAATGCCTATTATACTTCGCTTCCGTTTTCCAGCGAGGAGCTGGCGCGTATAATCAACAAGCGTTACATCAATGGAAAATATGATCGCACGGTCTGGGAAGATTATCAGGCGCTTAAATCAAGATTCCAGCGGCTGCGTATAGACCGGTTGGTCGAGGAACAGCAGCGCGATGAGCCGAACCCAAATGTTGAGTATGTTTTGGCCAGCATACATCCCGAGGTTAGGAAGATCGCCAGGCCTGGACGATACGAAAAAGAAACCACGGAAATCCAGGTCATTCTGAGAAGGCAACCGAAGCCCAGCATCGAAGGTGGCTCTCCTCTTGGCGTGAGAGATGCCCACAACTTGCCTGGAAGAGTAATTGGTGCGGAGCCTGTTCTTGAGACAGAGCCTTCTGTAACAACACAAAAGAACTCGAAGGGCGGAAAGGGTAAAAACACAATGACCGCACCCGACCCTAACATCGGGGAAACGCCACTTCCATCTCCGCCTCCACCTCCGCCTGCAGAGATGGCACCACACCCGCCACATCCGCCACCTCCGCCACCTCCATCTTCCGGACCAATAGGACCATCATCAGTGCTCCATGGAAGAACCCCACCGCCACGGATGCCGGTTCGTATGGACCCTCATGTTCCATGTAGCCAGGCTCCACCTCCTGTGCTAGGCGACCCAGGCCCACCCCCTCGGCCGGTTCCGTTGTTGTCTGGAGGTGTAGATCGCCCCAGATCTCCGCGTTCAGACCCACATCCTCAGATACAGCACGGCTTCCAAACAGAGGCCATGCACTCCATCCCTCCCACCCAGGCTCCTAGCCAACCTCATACTCATGGCCAACTCGGAGTACAAGCACAAGTCCCCATTGACCATGCGGACGGCCTCCAGGTACCAGGACAACATGCCATAAATCTACCACCATCCGGATTACCCAGAGAACAGCCAATTCCGCAACACAACAGCGGACCTCAATATCCAGGTTCAGCCCAGCGACTTGGTCAGCAGACTCCCTGTCAACCGAACCACACAGTTCAACGAATTCCTTCTGAATTTCAGCAGGCCCATCCTGGAGCAGAAAAAGCTTATCCTGGAACACAAAAAAGCCCTACTGAAGGCGACCGCCGTCGTCCAGTCCAGGGTTTTGTTCCTAATGGGATGTCGAATGGTCTCAACCATGGATTTCATAGTTCCTATGGTCGAGGTGTCCATATGAACTCTTACCAAGCCGATGACTCATATGACAGTGAAGAACTTGGTGATCTTGAAGGCCTTGAAGAGCCTGAAATGTTACCATTCCGAAAGACTTCCAAGAGGACATTCGGGCGACCTGCAGACCTTCCACCTTTACCGCAACAACGGCAGGTCAGGCCACAAACATCTCATCAAAACATCAACATTAGCATTGGCAACAATAACGGCCGCAAGAGTGAGAAATCCCGCAGGGATCGCAAAGGTCGCTCTCCGCACAGCTCTTCATCCGACGAAGGTTCGCAGCGCTCATATCGCTCGCGCAACAGCGTGGAAAGCACATCGGGGTCGTCTCATCGTGACCACAGTCCTTATGATCCACGAACTTGACGGGGCCACGAGTATATTGAGGACGAGCGAATTCACCAGAAACCGCAGCCTATTTTTCATTTCAGGAGTGCAGTTCGTGCTCACCGGTCTCCATTTGAGAAAGAATATTATCAGGACGGCGGATATCCAGTGCTTCCGCCTAGCGAGCTGTATCGCAGTCGCAGGAGCATAAGAGAAGCAGATTACCCACCGCATGTGCCGACGAACTGGCCTCGGCGGTGGAGGTCTCGCTCGCGTTCACGCTCCCGTGAGAGGAAGCGTCTCCCGGCCGTGCAGGAGTCAGGTCTGCGTGACATTCTTGGACAAGGTCGTGTGAGGCGGGGCGAGGGCGATTGGAGATACGCAAGGGAATACAGCGGGTACCGGGAAGTCAGCGCAACGGAACTGGCGGCGTACCAGCGTGAGCGGCAATTCAAGCAGTTTGAAGAAGCGCAGGCTGAAATTGAGCGGAGGCAAATGGCAGGCTGGTGGGCAGACGGGCAGCGGTATAGATAGTCATAGGCGCAATGGATGGTTGAAGCTGGAGGCCTTGCACGGACGGCCCAAGGGAGACGGTCGGGCGATGGTCCGATGGTTCCCTGAAAATCCCGCGTGGTGTTGCTGTCTGCGCTCGGCGAACCCCTCAGCCCCGCCATAGTCCCATAGTCCCGCCGAACCCACCCGCCTGATATCATACCCTCGAGCTAGGTACAAGTAAAAGCTACCCAACCCTTCTTCTCCTCTTCTTACTCCTCCTGCACACGCATCTTCTCCTTTCTACTACACTCGACTCTCGATACCCAACACCCCCACCCAACCCTCACAACCACAACAACAGCCAAGATGCCTCGCCAATTCTTCGTCGGTGGTAACTTCAAGATGTGCGTGTCCTGCCAGCTGGCACCTCCGTGTACGCAAAACAGAAGAGCTGATGGAACGCCCATCGCAGGAACGGGACGATCAAGTCCATCAAGGACATCGTCAACAACCTCAACCAGGCGAAGCTTGACCCCAACACCGGTATGTGCTCCTGATGTCTGACCACCTCATGCAACGCTTCAATTTTGGGTTTCATCAAAATTTCTTGCGAGCATTGGCTGACGGGATGAGCAGAGGTCGTCATCGCTCCTTCTTCCCTCTACCTGCTCCTCACCCGCGAGAACCTCCGCAAGGGCATCGAGGTCGCTGCCCAGAACGTCTACGACAAGCCCAACGGCGCCTTCACCGGTGAGCTTTCCGTTGAGCAGCTCAAGGACTCTGGCATCACCTGGACCTTGATTGGTCACTCCGAGCGGAGGGTTATCCTGCAGGAGGACGACTCGGTACGTTTATCGAAGCCCTCAGACCATGGCTAAAGCGTCAGGATTGGTGCAACTTTTGCTTGCAAAGGAAGAACCAAGCTCTGCCACTAGCCGCTAGAAGCTGAAGCTAATTATTTGCGTGTCTACAGTTCGTCGCCAACAAGACTAAGGCTGCCATTGACGGTGGTCTTGGTGTCATCCTCTGCTGCGGTGAGAGCTTGGAGCAGCGTGAGGCTGGCAAGACCAACGAGGTCGTCATCAACCAGCTGAAGGCCGTCCACTCCCAGGTCAAGGACTGGTCCAAGATTGTCATCGCCTACGAGCCCATCTGGTAAGTCTGAACTACCGAAACTTATTGCCAGCGGCATAAAAAAGCGGCATAGAACATTGGCAATGCTGACATGGAACTTCTTAGGGCCATTGGCACCGGCAAGGTCGCGACCACTGAGCAGGCTCAGGAGGTCCACGTCGCAATCCGTGAGTGGCTGAAGACGGACCTGTCTGCTGAGGCGGCCGACAACACCCGTGTCATCTACGGTGGTTCCGTCTCTGAGAAGAACTGCGTCGAGCTTGCTAAGCAGGATGACATTGACGGTTTCCTCGTTGGCGGTGCCAGCTTGAAGCCCGCTTTCGTTGACATTGTCAACGCCAAGCAGTCTGCTTAGACTGCCAAAGGGCTATCATTAATGTTTTTGACGCATGAATGACTTGGAAAATAAATGTAGAGGGACAAGCCAAGGCTTGATCGAAGATACTATCCATGAATGAAACAAGATTCCAAAAATAATGACTTCGTTGAAACGGCCATGCCGTGTGAAGAGTGCCAATGGTTTTCTTTTGGCCTCAGCTCTTCTATGTACCTGTACATCCCATGGTAACTACCCAAATTTTACGCCGTCCATGCCATTGTACAAACATTCGTCTTTCTGCAGCACCATTTGCCCTAGGTTGGCCCCGACTATCATTCCATTCGACGTTTCTAGATCTGGTACCTCGCGCCATGGAACGGACTCCAAATGCCACGCACGCTCTCATTGATAGACTTGACGGGCTTGGTGATGGTTCGGCGATTACGCTCGCCGCTGGAGTCGCGCAGCAACTCTGCCTTTTTCAGAATCTGATTCGCTTCCAGTTTGCGAACGCATATCGCCTTGGTACGTCCGTTGATGTAGTGGCCGATGATGACGGGGTCCTTGCGCGGACGCGGGCTCACAGTCATTTCGATTTGCGGGTTGGCGGAGGCGAAACGAGGGAGCGTCTTCCTGAGGAAGACACTGTCGGAATGTTAGTAAGGATATGGTACGCGACAGTGATGGTGGTGGTGGTAGTGGTGCTGCTGCTTGGCTGCTGAGACGTACTTCATGCCCTTGGAGCTACCGGCCCAATCGCAGTAGTGAAAGTCAAGGCGCTTGCACTGGAGGATAAAGGCACCAACGCCATTCTGGAGAGAGCAGTGGTTAGTGACGGGCGTTGCGGCGAAGTTTTCGTGGGGAGCGCGACGGCGGGAAGACACAGCGGGCGGGGGAAACACTGGTCGCCAAACACGTACCTGGGCCTGGGCTACCGTCTTCAGCGCAGTGAGAGGCATGGTGAGGGGCTGATAGCTCAGAGTTACTTGCGGCCGGCGATGGGGTGGTGGTGCCTAGGTAGGTCGCAAAGCAGTAGCCGGCGGAAGTTGCCGCGGATGAAGTGCCTTTCTCGCTCGACGCGCGACATCAACCACCAACACCTCCCGCAAGCTCATCCCATCGCTGCATCACCCTTCCGCCGTCACGCGCCCACGCCATGACGGACAAGCTCCCCCCCAACCTCCTCGCGCTCTTTGCGCCGCGCCCTGCCCTGCGCTACCTGCCTCCTTCGGATCACGCCCCCGAGGAACGCCATACCGCCAACATTGGCGGCGTCGGCCAATGGCTCCAGGCGCTCAACGACTACAAGGACAAGGACGACTATGTCCCCACGGAAAGCTGGCTCCAGCGCAAGGACAGGCAGAAGGTCGAGAGGAAGGAAAAGTTAGAGAAGACGCTGACTGAAGGCGTCCTCGACTGTGCGTTACCTTGCTTCACCTCTACTGGCGTGCGCTGACCCTTTGCTGCAGACAAGCCGAGCGAGGATCCCCAGGTCCGCGGCGATGCCTTCAAAACCCTCTTCGTTGCGCGCCTAGCCTACGACACCGAGGTGAAGGATCTCGAGAGGGAGTTTGGTCGCTTTGGACCCATCGAGCGGGTAAGACTGCCTTTTGCTATGTTATTGGAACAGGCTAACCTGCGTTAGATACGCATTATTCAAGACACGACGCAGCCTGAAAACGCGCCCCCAAAGAAGAAGAACAGAGGATACGCCTTCATTGTGTATGAGCGTGAAAAGGACATGAAGGGTCAGAACCTACCCATTCCCTTCATCCCCCCTCCCCCCAAATCAACAGGTAATAAGTTTGGTATCAACTGACGCAGGAGCTTTGCTTCACTTTTACAGCTGCCTACAAAGAGACCGATGGAATTCGTATCAAAGACCGCCGTGTGCTTGTGGACGTCGAGCGTGGTCGCACCGTCTCCGGTTGGCGCCCGCGACGTTTTGGCGGTGGCCTAGGCGGCCGTGGTTACACCAAGGCCCTTCCAGCACGCCCCTCTGGTGGATTTGGTGGCCCACCCAGTGGTCCAGGCGGGTTCAGAGGTGGCTTCGGTGGCCGTGGCGGCTTCCGTGGTGGCTTCCGCGGTGGCTTTGGTGGAGGTGAAAGAAGCGGTGGATACGGCGGTGGTGGCCGCGGCGGCGGATATGGCGGACGCAGCGGCATCGGCTACCAGTCCAACGGTTGGGGCGGTGCGCCCGAAGGTGCTCCTGCAGGCCCCCGCGGAGGACGCTCAGGCGGCTACGGCTCGGGTGGGTATGGTGGTCGCGATGGACCCAACGGTGGTTACGGCGGACGCTCCTACGACAGATACGGCGACAGGGACCGCGGAGCCTCGGGCAGCAACCGTGAGCCCGTGGGCAGGAGAGAAGATCGCGGTGGAGATCGCGGTGGAGATCGCGGTGGAGATCGCGGTGGTTACAGAGACCGTGATCGCGACGGTGGGTATGGTGGCCGCGATTCCGACTCCAGGAAGCGCGGATACGATGGCGATGAGTACGACTCGAGGAGCAAGCGGAGATACTAGACGCCATCGCTAGCGTCCGAGGCACTGCAGTTTGGTTTGTTCGAACAAGGCCCTCTCTTCTTCCGCGTTTCCAATCTTTTATTCTATTCCCTTTCGTCAACAAGGGTAAGATTGAGGCGCCCCCGCAGCCGCTCGCCTCAAAAGCCGACGTCGTCACAGGACCTGCTTTGCAGTCGCTATATCCTTCGGTCAGGGTAAGCACACAGTAGGACATGGCAATCTCTGAGCCTCAGGAACAGCACCATATGGACCTCGACCTGTCTACATTTGGCATCGGACGCTCATGGGATGATTAATTTTTTGTCACCGGACGAACCGCATGGCTCCGACCGCCGAAGCCGTCTGCTTTCCGATTTGGGCATTTCGTCTGTTGTGTTTCCAACGAGCAAGCAAGTTTACAAGGGTGAGCACATTAATCGGGTTTTGCATAGCTCGCTTGTGCGTTTTGCGTGTGCGTTTTTCTACGGGTAGGTATACCAAAGGGTAGGTATACCGAAATGCTTGTTGCAAAGTTTACAAAGGTGCAACCCGCAAGCTGCGGGGATGAGGGCGAAGGTAAGATCAGTAAGTGTGGAGTTCAGTCTCTTCTGCTAGCATGATCTTGCCGTGAAGCCCCGGTTCGAGCCGTTGCTGCCTCCCTCAAAGCTGCTCCGTCGCAAAGAAAGCTCAGGTATGAGACGGGGGGATTTTTAGCGTGTAAACTAGATAGCGTCCAATTGCAAGTGTTGTTTGAGTAGGCCAAGGTCTGGCCTTGCGTCTTTATCCCACCCGTCCTGGTGATTTGCTAATGTTTACCATGGCTGAACGCCATGGCGCATGTGGAGTACTCGCAATGGGCCAGAACGGCCCTCCTACCTTTTAGAGACACAGTGAGCATGCTTGTAAGAGTAGATTTATATATACAACCTATCACTTTTACGCTGAAGCGGATAGCAACGAAAGACTATCATCTTCTCGTTTCCGTTCTTCTGCACCAAGACACCGGCAGTAGTTAGACCTTTGACCAATTTTCATGAGACGAGAATGCTCACTTCAGTTAGCCCTCTCGCCTATATATATAACAACAACAACAACAATAACAACAACAACAATAATAATAATAATAACAACCACACTCTCTCGCCTGTAGGGAGAAAACGCCCATCACGCAACAGGCCGAGCTAGGCCAAGACAAAACGCTGGACAAAACAAGAGGCGCAAAAAGTGGAGCAGACCCTGGCCGGGTTCTGAGTCGAGTCTTGGATGAGGCGGCTCGGCGCGTCAAGCCGACCCCACGTTAGCACGCTGGACTGCAAGCTGTGTGGAGAGACACCGAGTCGACGACGAATGCGCTGGCGGCAAGAGAATTTTAAGAAGAAAACTCTTTCCTTCCACTTCAATTGCCCTCTGTTCAATTCCTTTTTCTTTCTCGCTCTCCAGCCATGATCCTGCCTAAGCACATCTTTGGCAGAAGAGCAGCAGACCAGCCTCCCCCACAGCTGCCCACGACATCTGAAGAGCGCCACCACCATCGCCGCGTCACATACCCCATGTACAATTCGGCGCGTCACAAGCCGCGGCGGTGGCCGCTGGTGCTGCGCTTCTGCAAAGGCGCCATCCACGGAGCTGTCTTCATTCCCGTCGTGTTGCACTCGCTGTTCACAGCCATAATCGTCTATCTCGACAGCGAGGTGGGCGAGCTAGGCCTCCCCTCATCGCTCATCCCCAGCCTGTCCATCGTCGTGGGCCTGATGCTCGTCTTCCGTAACCAAACGTCCTACGACCGCTTCTGGACGGGACGCAACCTGCTAACCGAGTGCTGCACCTGCGTGCGCAACCTGACGCGCTCGTTCCTGGTCAGCAGCTCGCGCGCCGCCATCGACAACTTCGATGGCCACATGGAGTTTGGGCAGGCGTCGCCGGCCGAGCGCGCCGACACCGAGAAGACGGTCCGCGTCCTGACCGCGCTGCTGTACGCCCTCAAGCACAACCTGCGCGCCGAGTACAGCCTCGGCGAAGGCGTGCCCGCCACTTCCCACCCCGAGCTCGCGCCTCTCTTGCCCACGGATCTGTATGCCCACGAGGATCGCGGCCTCGGCATGCCCCTGCAGCTGGCCGTGCTCGTCGAGGCGTATATCCGTCGCGGCGTCGCGCGCGGCTGGTTCCATGGCCCCCAGGCCTCGCAGCTTACCGTGCAGTTGAATGCGCTGACGGGCGCCTATGGTCGCATGGAGGCCATCCGCGTCACGCCGATCCCGGTCGCCCATCTCATCCATATGAAGCAGGTGCTGGCGCTGTACGGCGCCGTGTTGCCGTTCAGCTTGGTGGACGAGTTTGGCTGGTGGAGCATTCCGATTGTGGCGTTGATTACTTTTACGCTGTATGGCATTGACGGCATTGGGAATCAGCTGGAGGATCCGTTTGGCTATGACAAGAACGATATCAAGATGGATGGCATTGTCGAGGACGCGAGGGTCGAGTGCCAAGTTTTGTTGGATGAGTGGAAGAAGGATCCTAGCTCTATGTTTCAGTGAGCAATGACTTTTGGGGGGAAAAGCCTAGATGGTTGGCTCAGCGAGGTTTTTGTGGCATTTGCTTGGAGCTGGTATCTGCTTTTCCACTAAACACTGTACACTATATGTTATAAGTGAATAGTCTGCTCTTCTACAAATGCCTGACCGTCGTTCTCACTCTACCCCAGCTCAAATATTCTGAACTGCATTCTTTCTCTTCCCTTTCAACTCCGCCTCCTCATCCATCCTCCGCTGATGCCATTCCGGCACAAACGCCTTAACGCCCATGCTCCTCTCCGCCTCCTGCCCCTCCGGCACCCACTTCATCGCAAACCGCATCCCGGGTTTATACCCCCCCGCAGCTGTGGGTTCCGGGCCCACCTTCACATCCGTCATCATCTCCAGCCTGCACAATGCCAGCCCCACGTTCCCAACACCATCAAGCCACCTCCCCGCACTCCTACCCTTCTTCGGGCCGCCTGTGTTCTCCCCATCCGCACCCGCAACCTTCATGATATCCGCTGCAGGTGGCACCAGGCCCGCCACGCACTTCGCCTCCTCTCCATCAAACTCCAGCGTCTGCGGCTCCTCCCCAGCCAAATCGTATAGTCGCACGGGCAAGATCCGCTTCCTAACCACTCCCGTATGCTTCGTCCGAATCGTCAGCTCCTGTCCGACGTAGCATCCCTTGCGGAAATCCACTCCACGCATTACGTCAACGTTGCTCTCGAGAGGCAGTGCCTCGCCCGGCCGCATCTCTGCGGGGCCCTCCGCCAGCCCGTTCAGGTACCGCCGCACGGCGTATGCGCCGGGCATGGCGACGGGTAGGTCCTGGAACTGCGGGGGGAGGTTGGGCGGGGGGCTGGCTGCTGTGATTGATGAAGATGATGTCGAGGAAGATGACGAGGAGAGGTACGCGGCGCTCAGCGGCAGAAGGAGCCTGTGTCCGAAGGCGGGGACGCGCTCGTCGGCCAGGTGGATGAATTTGGCGTTGTCTGCCGCGCCCACGTCGATAGAAGTATCGCCATTATCGCGCCACGCGCTCCAGACGCCCCAGTCCTCGACTGGTACGATAGTGACCTTACTGCGCAACTTATGCCGCTTAAGCAGCATTCTCAGCCCATCCAAACAGCTAGCATCAACCTCGATGAAGCAGGCCCATCCGTTGCCGTCACCACCGCTAAGATGAGCGTTCGGATAGACAAAAGCATCGTACAGCACGCGGCCCTGGGCGTTCAGAAATGCCGTGTACCAGCCGCCGGCGCCCGGGTTCTGCGCTGCGCTCGGGACGTTGTTGGTCGTGAGGCCCTGCAGGAACTTGGGCGCGTCAGGCCCAGAAAGAGAAAGCAGCTTGCGGTGCGGGAGCGCAGCGATGGCGGCGTAGGTGCGACGGGCCACGACGCGCTGGTGGCGGAGGCAGCGCGCACACACAAAGGGCCGGGCGAGAGACGAGCGGGAGAACATGGTATTGCGGATGGAGATTGGAGAAGGAGCGGGCGAGGTGAGCGCGAAGATCTCCGTCATCGATTAAACCGGGGAAGCCGATTGGCCTGCTCGACGGCCCAAGCTCCTCTCACATTTCACGTTTGCACCAGGAGCACACTCGTACGTAGTAATAAAAGAAAAAGGATATAATCACTGGTAGACACCTATCACTCCATCACTTCAACCCATCGTAACTTCATTTGCTGGCATCCTTCACAATCCCGTTCAAGTATCCAAGCAGGAAACTCTTGTCCGCCGGGCTAGCAGTCATGCTGCCTCTGGTGCTTCTACCATCCGGTCCGCCGTCAGCCGGCAGCGACGTGATGCTGCTGATTCTAGACCGATCCCCGCTTGACCCGCGCTGAGCCTGCTTATCAAGGATAGGGCTCACCGGGCTGATGATGCCAGATGGTATGCCCTGCGGACTCGCCGTCTGAGACTTGCCAAAGAGCGACAACAACGCATTCCTTTGCTCGCTCGTCGTGCTCTCTCTACGATCACCAGGCTGCGACGTAGCCTTCGGTGTCGGGGAAGAGGCACCGGCCTGTGGACGGCGAAGGATCTGCGGGTTGAACGGCTTGGTCGCTTCCGCAGCCGGCCTCGGGGAATTGTTGAACCAGCGAGGGGCTGGGGAGCTACGCTGGGCTGGATGAGGTGCCATTTGCTTCGGGCTTGGCGTCCCCGAAAGTTCAGAGCGGGGACGGGAGAGAATGGAGAACTGCGGCGGAGCCTGTGGCTCTTGTGTCGCCTTCGGGCCGCGATCCCTGGACGAGCCATTGCTGGATTGAACCGGCTTCTTGCGCAATGTGTCGAAGTTCGGCTCGTTCAAAGGACCAGACACAGTTGCAGACAAACTAGGAGCTTGGCCTTTGGTGTGTATGCCAGCATTAGGGACTGGTAAAGGACCAGTTTGCTGTGCGGCTGCGTCGACTAGGCTCCGGCGTTTAACGTTGGGGCTTTGCGCCGACAGCTCCACAGGCTCTTGGGATGCCTGGGCCGCAGACTCTGACAGCACAGGAACTGCAGCTGAAAGGGCGGGTGATTTGAACAGATTGAGTAGAGACTCCTGCTGCGAGCTCCTCGGCTTCGTGGCGACAGGCGACACCACGTGGACTTCGGGGTCAACGCGTTGCTCATGAGTAGGCGGTTGGATTGCAGGCGGCTGCGGGGCCTGAGCATGTTGGCGAATTGGTAGTGATCCCTGTACCTGAGTCCCAATTGGTTTGTATATTTCAGCCGCATTGGTAAAGGGTTTGATGGCAGGCTGTGCTGGCGGCGGAGGAATTTGTTTCGTATCACTTTTGAATGCGTTCAGAAGACCCCTAGTATGAGGCGTGAGCTTTGGTGCTGGAAGATTCGAAGCCGGCGGAATCGCCGGTCCCTGCGGGCCAATGGTTTGCGGGCCTTGGGCAAATTGCGGGTCTCCGGTCCTGTGGTAGGGCCTGGGTGCTTGTATCGGCACTGGTGGATAGCCCCGTGGATGCGGCATGGTCTGCGAGGGGCCTCGGTGCAGCTGTGGACGGAATTGCTGCATCGCCGGGTTCGGCTGGCTAGGTTGACGGAACCCCGAGACAGGAGGCAGCCGTGCATTGTTTAACGGACCGGATGGATAACCATTGTTAGGCTGTATATGGGCCGGTGAGTAAGGGAAAGCTGGAGGAGGAGCCATGTGTCCGAACGGTAGGCGTGGATGATGCGGAGCACGCGGTGTTTCAGGCTGCATGGGAGTGGTCGGATCCACTTGCTCAAAGGGTGTCTCTGGAACTGCAGCGCCAGTGCCTTGACGTTGGAAATATGACCCAGAACCACCCCCTTGAAGCATTGCCAAAAGAGGGTTGGGAGACTGAGCAGGAGGTGCAGCATTTGCAGCCGACACTGGACCCTGGCTCGGACCGTTGACACTCAACAGGCGCTTCAGCTCTGCAGCTGGATCGGGCACATTCTCCTGCATCGATGGAAGCTCATGCAAGTTCGTAGTGTCAGGCAATGGTGTTGGGTTGCGCAAGCCTGCCAGCAGTCGGTCGAAGTGCATGTCCTGCATTTTAGGTGGAGCCGGCATGCTATCCTCCGCCGCAGACTCTTCTGTCTGCAATACGTCCTCTTCCGTTTCCGTTTCCGGAACAGGCATCACGCTAGGAGCTTGTGTAGGGCCTCTGCGACCCCGTTTGTTTTGCTGTTTGATCCAATGCTTAAGAGGGCCGAGGAACGGAGCGACCATGTAAAACATGTTGTCTTTAAGCAAGGTTTCTCCACTTCCCTGTTGCGCCTGCTTCTGTCGCCTCAAGGTTGGAAGTTCGGAAAGTTTGTACCAAGATATTTTCTGAACTCGGTGTTATCAGGCTGCAAGACAGAGGAAACGAATCAACTTACACTGATCTCTTTTCTTGTACGCGGCTCAAAATACGTGTCCATTGGCACGCCGCGAAAGACATAGAGGCGCATGTGTTGTTCCCTCATAGACACTTCAATGTACTTCATCTGAGATTCCTCGGCGATAAGGCCAGCGGCTCTAGCGTCAAAACCAGTCTCCTCGTAGACTTCTCTTACGGCACAGTCCAAGTCGTTCTCATCCTTGTTGATTTTTCCACGCGGAAAGCTCCATCTGGCGCCCTTTTTCCAGCCTTTGACAAGAACAACCTCATCCATTGCTTCGTTGAGCAAGATTGCTCCTCTCACAGGCACACGTGTCTTGTATGCGAGGAACTCAGAGTACGCGTGCACGAATACGTCCGCATCGTACTGGGAGAATAGCGGGCAGTGTTGAAAGATAAGAATGCAGAATTGCTTCAGGTTCATTGAGGGCAGAGAGGAGTCGAGGGGCCGTATGAAATCCTCGTAGAACCAGTGTGCTTCCTCGACTTGGAAACATATCCGTTCAACGGATTGGAGTTCTTCTTGGGGAAGGTTGATGATGAAGCGCACGCATAAGTCATCGAGCCCTGGATAGCGACTGTCAGTAACTTTCAAGCGTAAACGACCGAAGATTGCAGGGAGACAGGGCAATTGGACGGTTGTGCGCCAGACCGACGACATGTGGGTATGTATGGACTTACAATCAACTAGCTGCATCTTTGTGTCTGTCATTTTGGCCGGTGTCACTGGGCATATCCGCGCCGGTCGGACTATGGTGAGCTGAACGGGCAACAGCCGCGGATAGCTGCGACGGACGCAGCTCGTTGCTATGTCGCAGGCGAAGAGGGATGTGGAGAGGGGCGGAAAGGCGGCGACAGGGTTGGCAGGAGAGGTCTGCGGCCGCGGATCAGGCCGGGTCGGGCGCGGTGGGGGGGGATTGGTGTTTGGTGTAGTGACGCTCTGCAGCAGTCGGGATGTCGTGTCCGGCGACGGGCCAAGCTGCTGCGCCCCGCCGCCACACGCGCCACACTCAATACCTCTACGCGAATTAAGGTTGTGGCGAGAGCTTTGCGCGCGTGGACGTCATTTCAGCCGGTTTCCTAGTTTGCGCGCTGCATGATTTAACTCCCTTTCTTCTTTCTTTGCCCCTCCAAAACTCCTGGTTGGTCTCGTAGCCCTTCCATCGTCCTTCTGTTCGTCCTTCGCCCACTTCACGTCCAACCATTCGTCGTCGATTCTCCTGCGAAGGCGCTTCCTGAGACGCCGTTTCAGAAGTTCGCAGCCTCGATCATCCCCGGCCAACCATCCGTCGCGATCAGCCACCTGACGCAGCCCGCCAACGCAACACTGCTCAACGCCTGTTTTGGCTTATAAGTCGCCGCGGCCACTTCGCAGGTCGCACCCATCATCTTACTCCCCTAAAGGCATCTCTCAAATCTCCTGGGCTTCAACACAACATTGAGATCAACGCCAATTCATCATGACGCAAGCATTAGGCAAATATGCAGCAAAGAAGATTCTCAGCAAGCACATGGACAAGTACAAGGACAAAGACCCCTTGCCAAACAATGTGAGTTTCCTCCAGCTTGCAAACGATACATTAATTAACATTATGCTCCAGGATCCATACTTCGAGTATATTAAGCGTCCCGGCAGGAACGGAAAGATGAAGACGAAGAAAGTCAAGAAGCAAGTTCCTGACTACATCCCGGAACATGACGCCATCATTCTTGCCAAGATGCGCCAACGCGCCTACGCCCTCGACTGCTGTCTCTTCTCCATTATGGGTGTGCGGTTTGGTTGGAGTAGCGTCATAGGCATTGTCCCCGCAGCTGGTGACATGGTAGACGGTGCCCTTGCTTTTCTTCTTATTCTGAGATGCTGGAGAGTCGACTGTGGAATATCCGCTTTTGGAAAGGGTTGCATGCTTTTCAACCTCGTCTTCGATTTCCTTGTCGGTCTTGTCCCGATCCTCGGCGATATCCTCGATGCTGGCTACAAATGCAACACAAAGAACCTGCGAATCCTCGAGCAAGAATTGGACAAAGCCTACAGGCCAAAGGCAACTCCCGACCCGCCGACGCCTGCCACTGTTTACGAAGACTTCAGCAGCGATGATGAGCGCTTACCGACGCGCAATGGCGATGGAAGAACTGAACGATATGAGCCCAGGAGACCAGAGCCAGCGAGGCAGAAGACAGAGACCCGCGGCGGACCTTCAATGGAGAAGAGCCGCGGATGGTTCAGCAGCGGCAGTAGACGCGAGCGTGAGCCTGATCTTGAACGGGGACACGCCTCGAAGTTCTAAAATGTTTGTGATCGAGCGAGGCGCACTTGGGGTTGACTTGTTCTGTTTTGAGTTCTTTTGTTGCAGTTTAGTTATACTGGGATACCCTGGGAGTATTGGTTATTTGCGGGCCAAATGAATTTCCACCGTAATGGCCTTCCTTTCATTAAGTATCAGTAGACATCAGCCAGCCATGCATGGTTGAACTTGAAATTCCAATGCTTCTTCTACTCATCATACGTGCTCAACCATGTCGCTCTATCGTTCCAATTGCCTACTGATTGGCAACAATGGTAGAAACGGATTGAACTGGATGGTATGCATTTGAACAACTACTGAACGGAGCTCATGGCTCGATGTGAGACTATTTATAGAATCTATTAATCTCGTTTACAACCATCAAATACATGTGTGGTCAAAGTGTTGTCTAATCTTTGAGCTCGGAGCAACCTGAACAACTTGCAACTCTCACTTTCTCAAGCGCCTATCAGAGCGCATCCTAGAGCATATCTTACCAATCCAGGATCAATTACTAAGTGAAGATGAAAGTGATTGTATTCCTTCAAATCGAAAACCAATGGCATTATGATCATGTGTAATACATTCGCAGAAGAGTGACTAGACAATTTAGAAGGACAACACCTTGTCCAGCTACAAGCTTTGTATCCTAGACGTAGTTGAGATCTGAATCACATACATACACGTAACGAAGGAACCATTCTCACAACAACCCAGATATACACTGACGCAGGTTGACCCAGTCCTTTTATTGTTTTGCGCTAAACTCTCTAGCAGTCCGAACATACAGGTTGAGAGGTGAGATCGATCTTTATCCAGCATGCGGGATAAGGTTGGCCCATTTAACATCTTGATATGTACCAGCAGGTGGATCTCTTAAACTTGCAAAACCTTCCACAAGGATATAAAGTCTTGCTACAACATAAGTAAAAAAGACATAAAAGGTTATTAGTAAGTGTGCCACCATAACCACATCAAAAAAAAGGTCCAAAAGCTTTTGCAGGAGCCGTACAGTCCTCCTCCCACTTTTCCTCTTTACTGATGTGAGGTATATATACCGGAACAAATCCATTGAATAGAGATTGGCAAGGACGTCTAGCGGTAATGCCGCTAGGACGATGCCGGACGCACGCCAACACCATTTCTCAACTGTTGTGGGGAAATATGCTGCCCAGGCAGAAAGGTGCGCACCGCCATAAATGGCACAAACAAGGCCAAAAGTGATCCAGTGTCTCCCCAGCCCTTCCGCATCTTCAAACTGTGGTGCTCGACGGTCACTCTCCAAAACATGGGTCGCACCATCGATCTTCAAGTTGCTCCGTTTGAATACAATGTGTGGCTTCGCGTACCTGAGGATTTTGTTGTACTGCGGGAGCTCCTCGTCGGACTTGGAAAGCGCGTCTCTGTGTCTGAGACGGAGGCGGTCAAGTGCGCGGTTTGCGCGTATGTGGTGTTCAGTGATTTTCTGTGCTGTCTCAGGCGTTCCATCCGCCTTCCATGTAGGATCCTCGAAGTTGTTAAGGTCTTCTTTTTGGATATGTTTGCTTCCTAAATTGTCCAGACAGTATTTCACAAGCCCAAGTACTGTGCGAGGAATAGTGTAGTTTGCGCTTGCATGCGCAGCCCTAACTTCTTTGATTTCAACCTGATCAAAGCGACGATCGGTGAATATACCCCAGACTGTGTCCTCTAGATGAACGTCGACAGCAAAGAGAGCAGCAAAGTTGACTACGTTCTCGTCCTTGAAGAAAATGGGTTGTCCGACATCGTATGGTTTGTCTATCCAGAAGAAGTACATCAGAAACGCACAGACGACATGCGTCAAAACGTGTATTTCAAGGAGGGTGAGCGGGAGTCCTTGAACAAGCCGTGCCACGCACTGAACAATGAACCATCCGGCTTGGATGCAAACAAGAAGCTTCGCCACAATATTGGCTTTGCTTTTGTCAGATATCTCACTGTTTGAAGTCTTCGGCAGAATCCCCGCTTTGGCCAGTTCAAGAATTCCATCCAGCGTGAAGGTAAGGCGCTTTTCAGGCCAGAACGATGATGAGTCCACTGCAAACCCACCGCAGACCGCGAAAAAGGCTTGCTCAATCGTCCAAGGCTCGAACTGACTGCTAGTAGAAGCTTTTGAGTAATCCAGGAAGTCCGTGGAATCCAATGCGGCCGGTTGGGAATAGAGAATCGGAGAAAAGCACCCGGAGGCCTCTTCCAACCTACTGGGCGCGGTGCTAACCCTGCAAGGACGGTAGAACGGCTCCACCAAAGGTTCCAAACACTTCTCCCCGTTCTGCGTCTTAGCTGCCAACGTGTTGATCTCATTCCTCAGTTTTCTGACCGCCCGTCTTTGCTCCCAAGCGCAATACAAAACCAGTTCGGGAACACAAACGGCAGCTATCATCCATTTCAAGCGGCGAAAGAAGGTTGCCTTTGGAGAGTTGTGTGGGCTGATGTTCGGATGATAAGCTGTCCAGGCGCATAGAGACAGCGTGGTCAAGCATCCAAGGATCAGGCCCCAGGTTCCTCGCCCTGTGGGGCCGGAGACCCAGCCTGATTCGGCATCGGGGGTGGGATTGGAATTATCAGACTTTCGGGGAGAAAGAGTAGGACGAGCATTGCTTATGGAGAATATGAAAAATGTAGCGAGTAACGATATGGTCATGGCCGATGGCCCGTGCAAACAGTAGCACTGACAGTGAGTGTTTGTGAATGGCTTCTCGACAGAGAGGCCATTTCTGCAATCTTAAATGGAAGGCTGGGAGTTATTCTTGGAGTCGTCGTTTGTTATTGGCGGTGGGGCCTACGGGTACACGCGCGCGGCTAGACCGTTGACTCGTGAGAAAGAGGCGTCGTGCTTCAATTTAGTCATGTCTCGACCTCCACGAACATGCCCAGACTTACAGCAAACTCCAAACATCCACCGGGGCAGAATAACGATGAAAATGAAAACCCGACTGCTACATGGGGGTGGTTCCATCAACTCCACCATGAAACAACTGCTCGGGCAGCATCGGGATGGAAACAGGGCCCGCCTGCTGCGCTCATTATTTTTTTTGCGGGTTCCTAGCAGCTCCCCAGCCTCAAAGATATTGGTAAAGCGTACGTGGATGATGAGGGAATTGCCGGAGGAAAGAGAGGTACCTCACACACGACGGCTCGTCAGGCCATGATTTTCGTGGCCGTGATAATGGTAATTGACTGATGGCAATAGTCGCGCACCATTCACAGGGCGGCGTTGACATGATCCTATCGAGTCAAGCCGGGGCCGGGGTAATCGGCTTATCAAACGAGCCGCAAACGGCGAGCGTAGGTACGTCAAGCCTCACCCACACTTCTTCCTTTTTGAGGAGGCTGATAACAGGTGTACTGAGGACGAGGAGAGCATGTGAGAGCGGGATGATGACGATGATAATTGTTGCTGTAGGGCGATAACCCTGGGTGGTGCCTACCCTGCCCTCAGGGCCTACCAAGGCTGAGTAGGCAGCTACTCTAGAGCGGCAGCTTTCCTCAAAAACATTCACCAACCCAGCATGATTGTCACGTCAGATGGCAGCACCTAGCAACTAGCAACACTTGCTCGGAGCAAACAACCCACCCCAGTCGATCCACTCCGCACTCTCTCGGTGTGGAGCATCTTACCGAATTCAAAGATTGATGCAAAACTGATAAGGCGACGCCCCAATCTCCAGTGTCACCGTGGGTGACATCCCCCGGTCGCGAGGCTCGGCTCCAGTTTAGCTCCCCCCGGTATCAACCTCCGCCACGAGCCTCTCTAGATATATCTCGGCCATGTCTCCCCGTAATGCACACCACTCCTCCTCTTCCTCCTTCGCGGAATCGTTCCAAGGAACCACGGCTGTCCCGGAGCAGGAACCTCTTCTCCCATCACTTTCTTCTTCCTCTTCTTCAACATCTCCCACGCCACGTGCTCAGCGTAAGCAGACGTCATCACGCTCAAAGCAAAGCCCCCTCGAGTCGTCCTTTTCTCCTCGATCATCTTCGAAATCTTCTCTCCACCAGGGCTTTGTGCGCTTCTCCGCCATGGAAAAGGTCAAAAATACCAAGTTAGCCCACTATATCGACAAGTTGGCTGTTGAGGCCGAGCCCGGCCTGACCAGCACGCAGCTGCTATTGACAAACCATGATTTGAAACCAGTGGAGCCTGAACGTCGACAATGGCGCTCTTGGAACTTCGTTGGCTTTTGGGTCGGTGCGTAGATGACCCCTGCTTGTTCTTCCCTGGCATCTGCTGATAATTGAACCAGCCGATTCTTTTAATATCAACACTTGGATGATTGCTTCCTCGAACATCGCCGATGGCCTCTCATGGTGGCAGGCGTGGGTTTGTGTGTGGGTGGGCTACGCTATTTCAGCTTGCTTTGTCTGCGCCACTGGACGTATTGGTGCCACCTACCACATCGGTTTCCCCGTTGTCAACAGAGCCTCTTTTGGAATCTGGGGTTCACTATGGCCAGTCTTCAACCGCGCAGCCATGGCTTGTGTGTGGTATGGCGTACAGGCGTGGATTGGTGGTGAATGCGTCGAGTTGATGATCAGAGCCATCTGGAACAACTGGAGAGACGTAAGTCAGGTGATATCTAATATGAGCTGAGGACTGATGAGGAAACAGGACAAAGTACACAACGGCATTCCCAGTTCCGGTACCACTACGGTCAAGTTCGTCAGCTTCTTTTTCTTCTGGGTTGGAAGTCTCCCCGCGCTTTGGTTCCCCGTCCATAAGATCAGGCATCTGTTCACTGTCAAGGCCTACGTCGTACCTGCCGCCGGCATTGCCTTTTTTATCTGGTTTGTGGTCAAAGCTGGAGGCGTCGGACCCATTGTCAAGCAGCCCGCAAGCGTCCATGGAAGCATACTCGCGTGGGGTATCGTCAAAGGCATAATGAGTTCCATCAGCAACTTTGCGACGCTGATTGTCAACGACCCCGATTTCAGCCGTTTCGCAAAAAGGCCCCAGAGCGCATTATGGTCCCAACTCCTCACGATTCCGATCGGTTTTGCCATAACCTCCTTCATCGGCATCATCGTCTCTTCGTCGGCGACAGTTATCTATCCAGGTTCCGAGCCTGTCTGGGACCCTTTGCAGCTTCTTCACAAGATTCTGGACCACGATAACAACAGCGCAAACCGCTTTGGCGTCTTTGTCATTTCGGCCGCCTTCGCTCTGGCACAGCTTGGCACGAACATTGCCGCCAACTCCGTCTCCGCTGGCACAGACATGACGGCGCTGTTGCCACGCTATATCGACATTCGACGTGGCAGCTACATCTGCGCTCTTATTGGTCTCTGCATGTGTCCTTGGAATCTCATGTCTTCCAGCAACAACTTCACGACCTACCTGTCCGCCTACTCGGTCTTCCTGTCGTCCATTGCTGGCGTCATGGTCTGTGACTACTATGTCGTTCGCAAAGGCTACTATAACGTCAAGGAGCTGTATTCAGCCCGCAGTACCAGTCCCTATTACTTTGCCTACGGTTTCCACTGGCGTGGATACGCTGCCTACATAGCCGGTATCCTCATCAACGTCGTAGGTTTTGCTGGTGCGGTAGGAACTAAGGTACCCGTCGGCGCGACGTACATCTACAATCTTAACTTTTTCTGTGGCTTCATTGTGGCTGCATCGACATATTGGATCCTCTGCGCTGTTTCTCCGATCCCGGCAACCAGCGACACGTGGATGGAGGTTGGCGATGAGATAAACGACATCACAGTAGCATATGATGATCGCACTTCGGATGGCTATGATGAAGAAGTTGTGACGGGCAGCAAGGCCGCTGAGACGGGCGAGCTACAAAAGGTGTAGTCGTAAGTGTTTCGAGTTTTTTACGATTTTGTGATACCATTTCTTCTAGACGCCAAATAGATGAAGAACCAACAGTGTACTCTTTTCTTTTTTTGTCTTATTCGAGTGTGCATTTAAACGATTTGTATGAGAAGCAACAGCAACTTGCGATCGTGGTCCACAGCCTCCAAAGATACAAGGTTAGTCAGGCTGCTATGCGTCTCCAACTGAAACTCATTGGCGCACCTTAGCGACCATGTTCATCGCCTGACATACAACAACCCTCGCTTGAGCTCTTATGTTCAATCTCGCCTTCAGACACCTCATTGTCACCCTCGTCCACTTGTATTTCGTCTGGACTGGGATAACTGTCGCCGCTGGATTGTGATCCGCCACTGAGCTCAGCAAGCTGGCTCTTCAGACCGGCCAGTACTGTCTGCAGCCGTGCCTTAAGGTCTGGGTTGCGTGCCTGCTCCATCTGGAGTTTCATCTCAGTTATTTTGATCCTCATTTCTTCGACGACACCGGTCGACCCGTCATTCATCTCTTCTTCTTGCTCACAAACCACTTCGTCAATTACCAAGCCGGATTCGAATGACTTAGCGAAATCCTCAGCCATACGCCTGTCCTTGATGGCAAACACTACTTGCAATCCGTCCCATCCCTCGCCTCCATCAAACGCTCCCCCACGTTTGCTTTTACCTTTTCTTTTTGCACTTCCCGTCCCAAGAAGCACTTTTCTCCAAGCCTTGGCAATTTCCATGACCGGATTACCATATGCACCACAACCCCAAGCTCCTAACACGACCTTATCTGCGCCCTTCATCTTCAAGATTCGCATCACAGATCTCATCTTGCTGAGCACCAGCTCCCGATCTTTGCTATGCGCGTACGTCTTTTCTTCGCTCTCTTCACCATCCAGGTCGGGAAAGCGAAGCATGCCTGCTGTCACCACGTCTACGAAAAACGACTCTTTCTTGCTCAGCTCTCGTGCCTCATCCGTGTGGTCGCGAAATACCAGCACGTCCGGTGTGAACACGCCGCCGATCTCAGGCAGCCGATAGAACGAGTCGCGCAGTGAGGGATACAATGTTGAACGCATGCAGAGGCGTTCTTCCTGGGAAGCGGCGCCATTAAGAAAACCGCCGCCGGGACAGAGCGGCGAAGCCATGTTTAAGATGGCAATTCTAGGCCGCTTAGTTGGGCTACTAGGAGAGTTCTGATATAGTTGCCGGGCGGTATCAAGGGTTTCGGCCACCTGAAGTGTAATTTGCATAGGTTCTTTAGGTATGGCATTGTCGGACTTGACCTCAGTGTCGGAGGCGACAGGCTGAGGGTCGACAATGAGTTCGGCGGCGTCAATGCCTTTACGGGCGCGGGCGAATGAGGTAAGAATGGCGGGGATGGTTTTGTTGATGGTGGCTCTGGCCTGTTTAGAGCGGGCATCACGGCGGAAAGCCTGTGGCGGAACGACGACTGTAGGTTCAAGACGACCCATTGCTGGAGATTTTGTGACTTGGTATGACTGGGTGCTGGCCGGAGGAGGTCAAGCGCTGTGACCGAGCACCTTGACGTCCGCCATAATAGCAACTTCAATGAGGAACAACGTGGGTAGGTACCTAAGTATGAATCTACGGGTACGTAGTTAACCGAATTACGTGAAGTGATATCGTCGCGGGGTCTCAGGCCGTAGTAGAGTAGGTAACGTCATCGGTACCTATCCTCCGACTACGAGTACGGGATTAATGGCCGCGACGTAGTAGTAGCTACTAATATAGTAAATAAATATATATACTTTTAAAGCTTTCTACCCTTTTTTTTAGGATATATTTAATATACAGTTATAGTAATAGACTACTAATCTAATAATTTATATAGTTATTTCTATAGATATTTACTAAGATACTACTAAGTATATAGTATACTTCTTTTAAATATTTTCTACTAAAGATAAATATACTTATATAAAAGTCTCTCTAAGATATATATATATATATATCTTAAATTTTTTTTAACTATATATATATATATATAGTAATTTATTATAACGGCTATTTAATAAGATATATTTTTTAAAGTATTTTCTAAGATATATATATTATTTCTAAGATAAATATATATATCTTAGAATTTTTTTAAATATGTATATATATATATATATATATCACTTTCTTTTTAAAAATATACTTAGTTATTTGAGAATATATTTCGCTTTTTTTAAGAATTTTTTTTTACTTTTTTAAAGAATATATTTTTAAAAATATATCTTTCTTTAAATGAATTTATTTAAGACTATATTTTTTTAGGAGTATACTCTTTAAATAATATATTCAATTTTTTATAAATATTTATTAGTTTTCTTTAGTTTTTTAGGAGTTTATTCCCTTTTTAAGAATAGATTTATTTTTTTTAAGAATATATTTTCTAAAAAAATATTTCTAAGATATATAGTTTTTATAATAAAATACTATATATATAGCGTAAACCTCTAAGATAAATATATTTATATATCTAAGGAATACTATATATAACTTAAAAATTATATAGAAAAAACTATATATCTTAGTAAATAGCCGTAATATTTCTATATATTATAATATATTATAAAAATATATATCTTAGAGAGACTTTTTTGATATAAATATCTTAGAAATATTATATATATCTTAAAAAATATATATAAAAAAAGTTACTATATATCTTACTAGTAAATAGCTAATATATATATCGAAATCGGCTATTTACTAATATATATATTTAAATAAAATTTCCGAGATATATATAGTATTTCTAAGATATATATATCGAAAAAGTCTATAAGATATATACTTTTTTATATTTCTCGCTTATAAATAAGTATATTATAGTATATTATATAAAACGGCTATTTACTAAGATATATATAATATTTCTAAGATATACATATCGAAAAGGTCTCTCTAAGATATATACTTTTTATATATTTCGCTTATAAATAAATATATTACAGTATATTATAAAAGCATGTGTATCTTAGAAAAAACCGAAAAATATATATATCTTAGAAATTTAGCGAAAAATAAAAAAAGCGTGTATCTTAGAAATATATTCCAGAAACATATATATCTTAGAAATTAGTTCAAAAAAAATTGTATATCTTAGTAATATTTTTTTTAAAAATATATATATATTGCTACAAATAAAAAATATATTCTTAAAAAACCGAATATACTCTTAAAAAAGCAAATATTCTTAAAAAGGCAAATATACTCTTAAAAATATCGAATATATTCTTAAAAATATATAGAATGTATTCTTAAAAAAATACATTCTTAAAAATATATAGAATATATTCTTAAAAAAATACATTCTTAAAAAAGCAAATATACTCTTAAAAAAGCGAAAATATATTCTTAAAAAAAATCGACATATACTCTTATTAAATTCTAAAAAACTATTAAACATATTCTTTAAAAAAAATCGAAATAGATTTTTAATAAATTCTAAAAAAATTGAAATATATTCTTAAAAAATAACTAAACAGAATATAATATATATATTTTTATTTAGAACATATTCGTTTTTTTAAGAAAAATTTCTTAGATATATTCTCGAATTTCTATAAATACTTATTAGTTTTTATAAAAATTATTTTTAGGAGTTTATTTGCTTTTTAAGAATATATTTGCTATTTTTAAGAGTATATTCGATTTTTTAAGAATATTTTTCTAAAAAAATATTTCTAAGATATACAATTTTTAAAAACATATTTCTAAGATATATAATTTTTTTTAATATATATTTCTAAGATACACGCTTTTTTTTATTAAATTTCTAAGATATATATATTTTTCGATTTTTTTTTCTAAGATACACATTTTTGGTAGTAAAATACTGTGTATATAGCGTAAAACTCTAAGATAAACATTTTTTATATCTTAGAAATACTATGTGTATCTCGGAAATTTGCGAAAAATATATATATCTCGGTAAATAGCCGTATATAAAATATATGTATCTTAGAAAAAAAATCGAAAAGTATATATATCTTAGAAATTTAATAAAGAAAAAGCGTGTATCTTAGAAATATATATTAAAAAAAATTATATATCTTAGTAATGTTTTTTTAAAAAAAGAATATATTGCTATAAATAATAAATATACTCTTAAAAAACTAAAAATAGTCTTAAAAAGTAAATATACTCTTAAAAAAATTGAATATATTCTTATAAAAAACTTAATTTATTCTTAAAAGAATATATTCTTAAAAAGCGAATAAACTACTAAAAAATTAAAAAATCGAATATATTCTAAATAAAAATATATATATATTTAATATAATTACGCTATTATTATCTAATTTAATTAAGTTTAGCTTCTTAAAACTTAGAATATATAAAAATAAATAGTTTAATTAGGATCTATATTCTTAAAATTTAGAATTTACGAAAATATTTAGTTTAATTAGGATCTATATCCTAGAACTTAAAAATACGCGATTAATTTTATAGTTTAATTATAATTAAAATTCTAAAATATAGAACTAGACGCCTAATATTTAGTTTAATTAGATAGGCGCCTAATATTAGAATATAAATACTAGAACCTTCCTTTCTTTTATTTATTTAAAAAATCGACTATAGAGCTATTTTTAATTAGAACAGAGTTTTTAACTATAGAAGACGTAAGAAAACAGTCCTTATTTTACGTTACCTATCGAGGAGAATTATAGAGAATAAAATTAGCGATTCGAAAATATTATGCTATATTTACCGTAATCTCGTAGTAAATAGCTATCTATTTAAGATATATATCTTAAAAAAGCAAGGTATATTTTTACTTTTTTTTTAAGAAGATATACTCCTATTTCCTTTTTTTTTTAAGAAGTTATACTCCTATTTCTTTTTTTAAGAAGTTATACTCCTATTTAGCTTTTTTTTTAAAGAAAATATACTAGTATTTATTAGATCTTTTTATTATTAAACGGATTATAAATTATATATACCCTTAATCTTCCTACGAAAATTAGAGATATTCGAATTTAACTAAGTTCCTTATTTCCTATAGCTAGGAATTTATTATAGATAACCTAGTAATTCGCCTACTATAAATTCGATTAAATAAGCGAATTTTATATAGAAAAAAGGCTCTATATTAGGCGGTTTAGAGAGCTAAAGATTCGATTTCTTCGAGTATTTAGGGCGACTAAAACGAAATAAATCAAAAATTTTAAGTACTATTTTTTTTATTAAAAGTTTAGTTCTGTTTAAATATACTAACTATTTTTAGCCTTTTTTTTTAAAAAAAAACTCGAAGAACTATAAGTAAAAGGAGGAGGCCTCACTAAATTTAAAAGAAATTTAGAAATAAAAGAATTCTAGTAAATTTTTTTTAATAATTATTTAGAAATATATCTCCTTAAAAAAAAGCAAAAATAAGAGTATATTCTCTTAAAAAAAAGAAACAGGAGTATATCTTCTTTAAAAAAAGCGAAAATACTAATATATCTAATAAATAGGTATATATTTCTTTCTCTAGACGTATTTTTAGAGCTAGCTATCTTAAATTTACGCGAACATATTTTAATTAATACTGCCTATATAAGAAATTAACGGCTATTTACTAAGATATATATAATACTTCTAAGATATACATATCGAAAAAGTCTCTCTAAGATATATACTTTTTTATATATTTCGCTTGTAAGTAAATATATTATAGTAAATTATAAAAAACATATGTATCTTAGAGATTTAGCGAAAAAAGCGTGTATCTTAGAGATATATTTAAGAAAATATGTGTATTTTAGCTATTAGTTCGAAAAAAGTTGTGTATCTTAAAAATATTTTTATGTATCTTAGTAATATTTTTTTAAAAAAAAGATATTGCTATAAATAATAAATATACTCTTACAAAAATTAAATATACTCTAAAAAACGAATATATTTTTTTAAATATATATATATATATGTATACTCTTAGAAAGTAAATATATTCTAATAAAACACGAATATATTCTAAAAAAATATACTCTTAAAAAAAAAGCGAAATTTACTCTTAATATATTCTAAAAAATCGAAATAAATTCTTTTAAAAAAAATAACTAAGTAAAAGATTTTTTTATTATAAATATTTAAGAATTTTTAATTTCTTTAGGAGTTTATTCGTTTTTTTAAAAGAACATATATATTTCTTAGGAATATATTCGATTTTTTTTAAAGAATATATTCGATCTTTGAAGAGTATATTTTGTTTTTTTATTTTAAGAATATATTCGATTTATTAAGAATGCATATTCTAAAAAAATATTTCTGAGATAAATAATTTTCTAAGATACATTTCTAAGATATATTTCTAAGATATATAATATTTTAATTTTTTTTTCTCTAAGATATATATATTTTCGAATTTAATTTCTAATATATATATATATTTTAAATATATTTCTGAGATATATTTTTTAGTAATAAAATGCTATATATATAGAGTGAAACTCTAAGATATATGTATTTATATATCTTAGAACTATTATATTTATCTTAGAAATTTTACGAAAAAAATACATATCTTAGTAAATAGCCGAGAAATGAACTATAAAACACGTTTTACTATTTATTAATAGTAATATTATTAGATTTTAATAACAATATTATTCTAATTTGTTTTAGAATCGCTATAGGTGCTAGGAAATAAAGAGAATTAGGTTTAATTTCTTTAATTTCTAGAAAAGTCTCTTAGTTCTACTAAAAAACGAATTTTCTCCTATAGAAATTAACTAGTTATACTAAATTCTAGTAGAATTACTATTATTTTAGATCGAGGAAAAGGACTAGTTCCTATAGTAGCCGAAATTTACCTAAATACTTAGTATTATTCTTACTAGTAGTATATTGCTAAAAATAATACTACTAGTTTTATTAGTAAAACTACTACCCTTTATCGTATTATAAGTTATTTTTTTTAAGAAAACATATTCTAAAAATTCGAGTTTTTTTAAGAGATATACTAACTAAAAGAAAGCTTTACTATAAAACTATCTAACGAGAATTTAATAGAATATTTTCGTAAATTACGCAAATCGACCTCTTAGCTATAGACTATATTCGCGAAGTTCCTATAGATACTTAGTTAAGAATTTAGGTAATAAGGGAATATCCTAGATTTAGCTAATTTACATTAAATATCTTAGAATCGGCTAATTCTCTATTCTCTATAGAAAGATCTCTACCTATTCTCTATATAATAAATTAAATTTATACATTATTTTCTATAAATTTAAGATTTACTAATTATACCCAGTAAAAATTTAATATTAAATTATATATAGTAAGCCTTTTTTTTTAAGAAGTTATACTCCTATTTCCGCTTTTTTTTTAAGGAAATATACTTACTCCTATTTCTTTTTTAAAAAAAGAGAATATACTCTTGTTTTCGCTTTTTTTTTTTAAAGAAAATATACTCCTATTTTTACTTTTTTTTTTAAAAAGAAGATATACTCCTATTTCTTTTTTTTTTTTAAAAAAAAAGAGAATATACTCTTATTTTTACTTTTTTTTTTAAAGAAAATATACTAATTTATTTAATAGTCTCGATACTATTATATCTATTTCTAATAGAGAATAGTAAATTAGGCTTATTTCTTAAAGAATATTCTTATAAAATTTTTATAGAATATAAACTCCCCTATCGATATACTTACGCCCTAGCTACTACTTTAGAACTAGATCCTAAAGATTTAATTAATTTTAGCTAGAAAATTAATTCTTATAGAGTAATTTAATTACCCTAAAAGAGTTCTTTCTCTAGTACTATTTAATTAGCTAGAATCCGACGATGCCTAGCTAAATAAAAATAATATAAGAAAGAGAAAGCTAGGGCGACCTCCTACTAAACGCCTATAAAAAGAAATAGTAGTTAGTCGCTATAATCGCCTAGCTAAATGGTAACGCTAGGAAACTTTTAATTAGTATAGAATTAATCTTAGAAGATCGAATTCTAGGAGAATAAGAAGATAAAATTCGAGTTTTTTTTTTTAAAGAAAATTCGAATTCTTTAGAAAATTTAGAAGAATTTTAAGGTTTCTCTAAAAATTTAGCTTTAGAGAATTAGTCTAATTCCTAAGTTATAATGCTTTCCTAGCTTATATTTAGGTTATAGTCGTAGGAAGAAGAAGAAGAGATTAATTTTATATAGTTCTACTTTTAGGCGTTCAGGTATTCTATTTAGTTATTTTTTTTTAAGAATATATTAAATAATTTTTTTAAGAATTTATTAAGAGTATATTTCGCTTTTTTGAGAGTATATTCTTGCCTTTTTAAAAGCATATTCTTATTTATTTTTAAGAAATATATTTGCTTTTTTGAGAATTTATTTAGTTTTATTAGGAGTGTATTTATTTTCTTGTAGCAATATTTTTTTTTAAAAAAAAATATTACTAAGATACATAATTTTTTCGAACTAATTTCTAAAATACATATATTTTCTTAAATATATTTCTAAGATACACGCTTTTTTTTTCGCTAAATATATAAGATATATATATTTTTCGATTTTTTTTTCTAAGATATATATATATTTTATAATATACTATAATATATTTATTTACAAGCGAAATATATAAAAAAAAGTATATATCTTAGAGAGACTTTTTCGATATATATATCTTAGAAATACTATATGTATCTTAGAAATTTTACGAAAAAAAAAAAAATATGCATCTTAGTAAATAGCCGATATATATATTTCTAAGTAGCTTTTTAGATATATTTATCTAAGAAATAGTATATATATCTTAGGAAAACTTAAATATATATATATATATATTTTAAGGTATAGTTTTTTCCGCATTAAACTACTATATATTTATAGCTAAAATCTAGAACTCGATATATATATCTGTTAGAAATAACATGTGTATCTTGAATATATTCGTCTAAATCTGTGTTAGTAGCCGCAACTATTATTAGCAGGGAGATCCTAGGAAAACAAGATAATCAAGTATACAACCATCTATCTATTAAGATAGTATTGTATAGCTATTTACCAATTGTTAAGAAGAGCCTGTCCCCAACGTCACCTAACCCCGGCTTGATCATGCCTTTCCCGTCTGTCTCCCTGTCACAACCGCCCACCCATACCTCGACGCCCTCAGGCCAGCTCTCGGCTGCCTTCCTCAAGCCACCTTCACTCGCAATCACGGCAATCAACAATACGCTTTTGACGCCCCAGTCTTTGAGCGTCTCGATCGCCGCGCACGCCGTTGCGCCCGTTGCGATGACTGGGTCTACTACAATAGCCAGCTCGCTGGGCCTCGCGCTGTCTGCATCCGCCGTCGAGGGCCGGTGATAAGGCAGGTTGTTGTAGTACTCGACGGGCTGAAGCGTTGTCTTTTCGCGATAAAGGCCGAGGTGGTGCACGGGGACGGGGTTAGGCAACACTGAGAGGAGTGCATCGGTCATGCCGAGACCAGATCGGAGGATGGGGACGAGGGAGATGCGGGAGGGGGTGATAGTGTCGACAGGAAATTCATAGCCAAGGGGCGATTTGTCCTGAAATGTTCGTTGGTGTGGGGAAGTGGGCGGAATGTGGGGAAACCTACCGTGCCTGCAGTAGTGCTCTTGAGAGCCCGTGCGAGCGCCTCGACGCCGACAATAGTGGAAATCTCATGGATCAAAGCCTTGGTGTCACGAGGATTGGTGCTGTGAGATCGGAGCTGGGAGAGCTTCATGCGCAGGCATGGGTGAGTGGAGACATGGGCGTTTGACGGCAAGAACGAAGTCATGATTGATGGATGACGGTGGGTGAGGAGCGAGGTACTGGGGCTGGGAGGACAGAGAGGCTTTTTTATCTAATTGATATGTGGTCAGGTGTTCATGTAGCTGATAGTTATGTACATAGCCATGTACCTATCTCGCCGGCGGCATGCACGCCGGACGGGCTGCCGTCGGCCTACGGAGTACAGGGCATGTACTTCGTACGACAGCTTCCCTGTGTCGATCAGATCAAGCGGTGAAGTTGGGTCGTGCGGCGGCGACAACAAACGACAAACGACGACGACGAACGACGACGACCACGATGCCACCCGAACTACCACTACTAGTCTGCTACTATGGAGGACGGGCTGGACGGCAGGCGAACGCCGGGCCGTATGTCGCGCAGGAGCTCGCACTTTGACGAACAACGGGCTTCCCTGCGCTCCTCGTGTGCTTCTACGCATCTGCATTCGCGCTCCCAGAGCCGCGATCGCCTTTCCGACTTCAATCCCGACCAGCCGCGGCCAAGACGGAAGAGCGGGAACAGTCTCGCCAGCTTCTCGGGCAACGTAATGTCCCGCGATGAATATACCATTCCCAACGACTATCGATACTTGGACGACAATGTGGCATCTCTGCCCGTAGACCACTATCAGCAAAAATCTATCGAGGACGAAAGACGGAGGCCCAACCGAGCAGCCCACGACGCTTACAGCACCCCCGCAAACTACGGCAACCTGGACGAGGTGACAGCGCCGTCCCCTGTCGACCTGCGGCCGCACAACTCGCTGGAGCACGAGATGTCTCAATCATGGTCCCGCAGAGGCCGCCGCAGCATGGCGAAAGCCAGTTATGGGGTATCAGACCAGCCCAGCGACTTTGAAGATGAGTATGAGCCAAGCGCAATGGGTCCAGTAATACCACGCAGCAGAGATCGGCCTTGGGAACACAATGCGTCACGAGCACAAGCCCAGTATCGCAGGGACAGCCATATGCCTTCAGACGACTCCCACATGCCTGCAACAGAGCCCATGAGGCCTCTGGTCCAGAACGAGCGTGCATCCAAGTTTGCAACCGAGTTGTACACTGTCTCATACCTCGTGTTCTTCTCCATCTTTGGCACTCTTGCGCGCCTCGGCTTACAATGGCTGACCTTCTATCCTGGCGCGCCCGTAGAATTCAGTGTGCTATGGGCCAATTTCAGCGGATCACTCTTGATGGGCTTTCTTTCCGAAGACCGACAATTGTTCCGCGAGGAGTGGGGAAAGCCGACAAGCAACTGGCCGGAAAAGGTTGCTAAAGACGATGAAGAAAAGGCGCTTGCCGCGGCGAAAACAGCCCACGCCAAGGTCAAGAAAACCATTCCGCTATACATTGGCCTCACGACAGGCTTCTGCGGCTCCTTCACTTCGTTCTCCTCCTTCATCCGGGACGTCTTCCTTGCGCTGTCCAACAATCTTACCACACCTATTAATCATCCATACACTGGCACAGCCCCAAGCACAAGCAGCACCGTCCACCGCGACGGCGGTTACTCATTCATGGCGCTCGTTGGCATCATTATCATTACTCTTGGCGTCTGCATGTCCGCGCTCAAAATTGGTGCGCACCTTGCCTTTGCTCTTAACCCTTACGCGCCAACCTTTTCCTACCGCTTCACGCGCCACCTGGTCGACAATCTGGCCGTTTTCCTTGGGTGGGGATGCTGGGTCGGTGCTATTTTCATGAGTATCTGGCCGCCTGACCGGCCTGGCGGACCCGAAGCGCGCCCCGGCGGCTGGGCAGCCGAGACATGGCGGGGCCAAGCGGTGTTTGCGTGCGTGTTCGCGCCGCTGGGCTGCCTGATGCGCTTTTACGCCAGTCTGAAGCTGAATGGCATTGCGCCGGCATTTCCACTAGGAACCTTTGCCGTCAACATCTTCGGCACGGCAGTCCTCGGCATGGCGTACGACCTACAGCATGTGCCGCTGGGCAGGCAGGCGAATGTGGCGGGCGGGGGGCGGGTGGGGTGCCAGGTCTTGCAGGGCATTATGGATGGGTTTTGCGGCAGTCTCACGACAGTCAGCACATGGGTTGTGGAGTTGAGTACGCTGCGCAGGGGCCACGGGTACGTGTATGGGACAGTCAGTGTGGGGGTTGCGTTGGGACTGCTCGTCGTCATCATGGGCAGCGTGAGGTGGACGACCGGATTTAGCGTGCCGGCATGCGTGACTTGAGTGTGTAGAGCATGTACGTGTAGATGGCTTGTATAATGGTGGCCATTGCATGACGAAGCGAAGCAAGATTTGCGCGCTCCTTCAGCCACCAGATTCCCTGTTTGGATGAAGCGACAAACAAAGGCTGGCGTCATGATCCGAGGCCGGACCCCTGCCGCCGATCCTGCTTGCCATATAGAGAGCGCTATGACGTGGGTCCCGATTCTGGGGTAGGTCGCAGTCACCACTTTGAGCCAAGGCATGTTGTCCTTCTACCTTGTGTAAAGGAGGGAGGCCAATTGCACGCTGATGACGTCGCGTCGTGCAACCCTGCGGCTTGCAACAATAAAGCCCTCGCCCTCTGCTCCTCCTCCCACCTCACCAATACCCATACCCATTAACGCTTTTTCTTTTTGAGATACCCCACCCAAACCACCACCCGATTCGATACCCGTAATTGATACCGCCGATCGATCCTAGCCGCTCTACTAATCCATCCTGCATCATGTCTGTCAACGTGCCCGTCAACCTCCAGCAAAAGGAAAAGGATGTAAACACGAAGCTGCAGCTCTACGGCATCTTCTCTGGTGACCTTCACCACGTTTCGCGCGTCCACTCCCTTTACTGACAACTTTCCTCTTCCAGCCTTCTCGAATGGCAAGGTTCCCTCGAACAAGCAGATCGATGTCGCTCTGAACAGCGCCCTTGTATCACGAGCTCTTTCATCGCCTTCCAAGAAGCTGTCGCCCGAGGGCCAGAAGCTCGTTGGCGATGTGAAGGAAGTCATTGAGGCGGCTAAGATCTTGCTCCTCACTAAGAACGAGGGAAACCTACTGCAGGACTTCATTTGGCAAACGCAACTCACCGGAGCTGATAACACGTCAACCCCCCGTGCTTCTATTGGCAGAGATGAGGCGAGGCAGCACGGCAACGAAGCTCTGGATGGTCTGAGGACTCTGGGAACGCTTATTCTCTCTAATGGACAGTTCAGGAAGCTACGTAAGTGAAGAAAAACATCGTTTTCTGCAAAATACTAACGTCTTTGCACAGTCAGCGATGCCACGGTTCTCCTCCGCGACATTGCTGGTGACGCCGCTACCAAGACTGCGAACAGGGTCAACCCTACGGAGGAGCAACTCAACCAGATTGATGACCCAGCAGCTGATGATACTTGGCACGATGTGCCATCCAAGGGCGATCTGAAGGAACAGGCCAGAGGCAAGTTCCATGAGAACAAGCCTTTTGGTCGTGACGAGGCGAAGAACGCTCTCGGTGATGCTGCTCAGGAGGCCCATCCCACTGGTTCCCGCGATCCTACTGATGTAGCCGACACAGCTGCTCGTGACCAGCGCTACGGTGGCGCTTCAGGTGTCGATGCTCAAAGCGGTGCTCGCGCTGGTGTTGATACTCTGAAGCAGCATACCCGTGAGAACGTTCCTGATGAGACCCAGGACCGCCTCCGCGAGAGACGCGAACGCACCACCAACTATCTCAAATCCAAGATGCCTCAGGAACGCCGTGAGCAGACCATTTGGCGTCTCAAGAAGATGGTTGTGGAGATCCAAGGCCACCAGGACTGTAAGTGTACCAACATTTTCCACTTGAGCCCACAATTTCTAATTATTTATAGATATGCGTGCCATCGAAACCCTCCTTCGCCTTGCCGAAGAGTACACTGGTCACTCTAGGGATCTCGTTGGCCAGACCAACGAGACCGTTAAAGGTGCCCATACTGATGACAGTCTCCAAATGGCTGAAGCTGACTTGAAGGTGCGTACATAGGATTCCTTGGGAATAACAACCAAATGCTGACAGACCTTAAGACTCTCATCGAGCGCTTTGCTAATGGCACGTCTCTCGATGATGTGTTTGACTCTATCAAGGCAGTTTACCGTGATGCCGACAAAGATCCTCAACTCAAGGGCTGGTTCAGGCATCTCAATGCCTACATTCGTCGCTGCCTCAAGGAGCAGGGCTACGTTATGCAGGATCAGGCCACCGAAGAATGGAACCAACTTTACGACGAAGGCCATTTCCTTCTTCGCGACCGCTACAGGAACCACACCGACCGCGTTCTCGACGAATTCAAGTTCATCGGCCAACAGTTTGACGAAGACCCGCAAAACAAGGCCTTCAGTGAAGCCTTGCAAAAGCTATTCCTTGATCTCGGACAGGACGAGAATGGACAGGCTGCCTTCAAGCCTCATCTTCTCAAAGACCTTACCGAAGTCATCGTTCCCGCAATCTTCGAGAACATCCGCTACGTTCCAATTCCCCGCATCGAATACAGTGATCCAACCATGGATGCTGTCGTCGAAAACCTAGTCGTCGAGGGTGACAACCTTGCTCCTAACGTTCTTGAATGCGCTAGCGACAACCACTGGCGCTGGGGTCGCAAGAAGATCACCAGCAAGAACAAGAACAAGGTCATGCTTTCTGTGTCTGGTGTGCAGATGGACCTTCGTGACGTTAGCTATTACGTCAACAGGAAGCAAGGCTTCCCGTCCATCAAGGATCAAGGTATCTGCGATGTCTTCATGGGCGGCGATGGCTTCAGCTTCAAGGTCGCCGCGGAGACAGCCGACAAGACCGACCGTCAACACTTCTTCAAGGTTAACAAGGTGGATGTCGATGTCAAGAATCTCAAGCTCAAGATGAAGAAGTCCAACCACAAGCTTCTCTTCAACCTTGCTAAGCCTATGCTTATCAAGGTCATCCGTCCTGCCCTTCAGAAGGCCCTCGAACAGCAGATCCGCAACAACTTCAACCAGATTGATGCCTTGCTCTTCGCTGTCAATCAAGAAGCGGAGAGCGCCAAGGCTGAGATGAAGAAGAACCCTGACCCTCAAAATGTTCAGAACATCTACCAGCGCTACGCTTCGGCTGCTCAGAAGCAACTCATGAAAGCCAACCAGAAGAAGGAGCGTGCCAAGGAGGCCGTTGCGGACAAGAAGGTCAACATGGCCGTCACTCAAAACGATTCCATGTTCCAGAACATCAGCCTGCCAGGCGGCATCAGTACGAAGGCCACGGAGTACCAGGAGCTCGCCCGGAAGGGTGATAAGTGGGAAAGCCCCATTTTCAGTATCGGTTCCGCTAAGGAGACCTCTAACCTTCCACGTGTTCCCCGGGTCACCCGCAAGCCCCATAATGTCAACACAGGTGGTGTGCGCGGTGGCAACCACCCCAACGCTGATGAACCTTACTCCCAAGGCAACGACACTGGCAACTTCAGCAACCAGGTCAACCAGGCCTTTGACGGTACCAACGATTACCACAAAGGTGGTCTGAACGGCTACTCTGGCGTTGGTACTGGCTACCAGCAGAACAACCTTGGACAGCAGACTCAAGTCGGTCCTGGAGCTGGCTACAATGGCACCGGTGCTGGTAATCACACCGTCCTCGGTGCCAACAACCCTGTCTACAAGGGTCTTGTTTAACGCATCTCTCCTCGGGCCCTGAGTCGGATCCTTTGCATGATACCCGAGCTCTTTGTTTAGCAGACCGATGCAAATCTTTCTTTCTTTGCGTGCTTTCGATCAGTTTTTTGTTCACGATACCACTAGCAACATGCGTGGCGTAATTGGGGAGACCGTAATAGCGAGATGGTGCGTTTCTTTGAGTCACAGCAATGGCAAGCCAAGGTGGATATCCGAACTGCTTCTCTTTTTTGTTTACCAAGAATACTCCTTTCGTAGGATGATCTTAGGATCGTCTTTAGTTTCCTTCGAGATTCTCTTCACTTTTGTTAATCAACATAGCCTATGCATGCATGCATAATGTCTTGAAGTTGAGTCGTGCGTGATGTAGTGTGTAGAGGGACCTGGCCGTACTGTCCTTGTGTGAAACGACGGGCAATTGAACTGTTAGGTTTTCTCCCATTTATGTAGCTGGTCCACCTCTACTCTTAACCGTGTCGTGGCATTCATCTGAGCGGATGATCTCCATACTGTGTGCTTGAAAATGCACCCAGATACCATGACGGTCCGACCGATATGGAGGTAACGGTGCGTCTCGCGCAATTCTTCCGTTGGCTTCCTTTGGTGCGTTGGTCATTCCACGGCCACCACTGCCCACAACCATATCCCCCTCGATATCTTGCCGGCAGCACGGGCTTGACGGAGCTGGAGTCGACGCCGCTACCGGACGCCCAAAGCTGGTGCGTGAGTTTGTGGCGTATGTGTGGCACCGAAGATGGGAGCTTTGTTACTATTATTATTCATTTTATTTTGTTTGATTTTTATTTCGATTCCTACTAGGCGGTTGTACGTGGTAGGATGCGGGCGTGCGCTGTCCAGGTCTGTCTGAAACGGCCCGTCACGGAAGACGGTGAGGGCAAGCTGGAGGTGAGCTGGCGAGAGACGTATGTACATAAGTACTACGTATGGTTTTGTCGCATCGCATGACCGATGATGGCTCGCTGGACCCCTGCTTCCCGGGCGCCACCCCGAGCCAGAGGGTCTAGGAGCGAGAATCGCGGGTGGTGCCGTGAAAATCTGGCCGCAGCAGGGGGAGGAGGATTGGATCTGCAGCACAGACAGAGCGGCTCTCTCACCGCCACGACCGCTCCTCGGCCGCGATGACGCAGGGGAGGCAGAGAAAGGCCGAAGAGGAAATGTTCTGGAAGGACGGGGTGGGCAAAGGTCGAGCGCTGGCTCGTTGGGCAGGCGGACCGTTGGGGCCGTTGGCGGCGGCATCAAGAGAACAGGCGAAGAAGCAGAAGAAGGAAATCCAACAAGTCATCGCCTAGCCGACGTCTGACTAGCTGCCAGCACATTATTAGCACAGCCCAACGTCAGAGCCCGGTCGGGCTCGCTGGTAGTAGGTATGTATGTACGTGTGGGGCGCATCCCCAGAAGCCGCTAGCGACCAGCTGCAGCTGCCATCTGCCAACATATTTACCATCCCTACCCGCTGCCGGCCTGGCCGCTACCTTCCTCCTGCCTATTACCACCGCGACCACGACCACGACCACGACCACGACCATCACCATGGAGGCTCTGTTGTCGCTCTCCTTCGACAACATCACGTCCAAAGACAGCGCCAAGATCCGTAAGGGCCTGCGCCAGATCGAGGGTCTGCTGGCCCAGATCTGCCTCAAGTCCGGCGACGCCTCGACGCCTTCCAAGCACAAGCGCACCCAGTCGGCCGTCACGCCGTCGTCGACGTCGGCCCCCAAGCAACTCGACACGCTGGCAGAGGACCCCGCCTTCAGGGAGTTCTTCAGGTTGCAAGAGGGCTTTGAGTGGAATGGTGAGTCCGGCTTTGCCAGACGCGTCGCCTGTTTACTAACATGTTGGCGCGCAGTTGCCACACGGCTTATCACATGCCTCGAGAGGTTGCTTGGTATGGGCAGCAGTAAGTCCACCCTTCCCGCCTGAAGCCGCCTAGTTGACCATGATTTCCGTAGGCGGCCAAAGCGATATGCTCATCCTCGCTGCCCTTGACCTTCTTCAAGGAATTCTCCTACTCCATCCGCCGTCTCGCACCCTCTTCAGCCGAGACATCCACATGAACGTATGACATACTCTGCGCCCGCCCCTTACTCCTCAACTGATCCGCGTGACTAGCTCCTCCTTGATCTCCTCGACTGTGGCGACTGCCCCTCGATCCAGTCCCGCACCATGCTCGTTCTCGTCACTGCTTTGCTCTCCACGCCCGCCAACACACGCACTTTCGAAGCCATAGATGGCTTGCTGACGGTGACGTCGCTCTTCAAATCGCGTAGCACGTCTAGTGCTGTCAAGCTGAAGATCATGGAATTCCTGTACTTCTACCTAATGCCCGAGACTCCAACGGGCGCCAAGGGTCATTTGCTTGAAGCCTTTGAGAAGCGCAGCCACGAACACAAGCGCGAAAGCAGTGGAAATGGCGGCGAGACCAGGACAACCGAAGAAAAGCAGGCGTTACTGGGACGCTATCTCAGTAATGTCGAGGACCTGGTGCAGGACCTGAGAGAGAATGCCCCGTTCAGTGAGGGGCAGGTGGGCGTGGCTTGCTGATGACTAGGCGGATGCGGTATGTGGGATGCATCTGTGATGGCTCCTTGCCCTGCTTTGCTGGGACGTCTGCATCACTACTTGTAAGCCTTCGTTGTTCTTGCTGTCATTTTTACCTTTTTTGCTTTTCCATTTTCGGCCTCTTCCGGATTGTGTTGGGTAAGCGTGGCGTATCTATCTTGCGGGTTTTTGGCACAAGCGGCATGGCGAGGCGCACGGCGAGGGTATACGATTATTCTACATGACCATTGGGCGTCTTGGAGAACCTGGGTTGCGGCATCTTAAAGGGAATCAAACGGCGGGCTTCTTCAATATTTTCAGACCAAGAATTGCTCGAAGTACTGTGGTGGCGAAATAGTGCAAAAGGCGAGGCATGCTAATTGGCTGGCTCGCTATACAACGGCGGAGGCGGACTCCAGCTCCGACTAAATATAGGTAGGCAAACTGCACGGTCGTAGATCAGATCCTAACTACGTAGTACTCTAGTTGGCCGCAGGCCTGTCGGAGTCTATTCCGAGTACAGTTTTGCTCGACTCCCGTCTGCTCCGTCCCGTTGTCCCTTGCCACCCTCGCACGTGTTGTCTGGTCCAAACTCCCGCCACATGGACATGGGCCGGGCCGGTGCTTCGCGCCTTACTTAGCTTATCTAACACCTTGGGGTCCAGCGGTATATCTTGTGTGGTCCGTCCGGTCTTTCCTCACTATGTCTAGGGCCATGTTCGGTACGCACTCTCCACTCGTCTGTAGCGCCGCTGCTAGCCTTGCTGGACACGCCCTGCCGCCCTGCGACGCTTGTCAACAACAGGACTTGGCATGCAGACATGTCTCAAACGACTCGACGCGCTGTAGCGAATGCGTAATGCATGGTCTACAATGCGGCTCTCAGGAAAGTCTGTCTCTCTCTTTCTCTCTCTCCTCCTCTCCTCTCCCTTGGCTTACTGGTTCACTAACATGAAGAACAGGAGACAATATCTGTGCCGAACGGGAGCGGTTGAGGGTGGAGCACCTCGTTGCCCTGGAGACTGCTGCCCTAGGTATTGCCAAGATGCAGTCGATTAAACGCCAGCAAGAGCGGTTCGAGGCGCGGGTGATCGAGATGCTGCACCGCGGACTGCACACGCTGGCAGCGCTAGAAGAGATCGAGCGAGAGGAAGAGCGGGAACGAAAGTTGGCGGAATCCTTTGTGCAAGAAAATGGACGGGGAAAGAGACAATCGGGGCGTAAGCGCAAGCGTAATGATGGACCTGCCACTTCCACGGCGCAATCAAGCCTGAACCTCTCGCAAGCTGGCCCTGGCTCTTCTACAAAAGTTCAATCTCCTATAAAAACTGGAGCAACACTTGGCTCTGCAGAGCATTCTCCGGAACAGATCCCATGTCTTGGGTCACTCGACATCCCCTTCACTCCTTGCGGCCTGGTCTCTGACTCCCCATTTTCCTGGAATGGTATCGATTTCGGAGGACTTGTTGTTGAGCAACACTCTGCTTAGTTTCGGCGCATCGTCGTGTCTTCTCGTTGGGGCAGCTACCGCAGTGTGCCGGTTCCGTTCGCCCTTGGAATGATGACCATCTGATTTGGCTTCTGGTAGCTCTCACAACTTCCTGCTTAGCTAAGAAGAAGAGATATACTCCCGTCGTGTACAGCTCCCCATGCCTGAGTCTGCTCTTCTAGCACACCTAACACTTACACTGTCCAGGCATGCCCATGTGTGTACCCTGTGCAGGACCGTCACATCCGGCATAACACCTGCTCACAACATATTCAACATACACTTGTATGGTGGCAGATTGAAGAACAACCAGAAAGGCCCGAAAAGCGGCGGACAGATTCGATTCAAGCCTTTGACCTGAAGTAAACTACACTGCTTTGTTAGATCGTAATCGCAATGCACAACAATCGGATAGAACGCATCGAAACATGGAACAGGTCGGCTGGTGAGTAAAAGGCTCTGAGAAAGTGGCCAATGAAGACAAGCAAGTAGTTATGGGAAGCTAACTTATGGATGACACTAGGATCCGAGTTGTGGATTAACAAAAACAAACAACTTCGAAGACAAGGCTGACCCGCAGGCTGATTGTGCTTTCTTATATGCACTGCGTTTTGCGTCTGTGCATATCCGCTATTTAGGCGCTCCGCTCCGTCTCCCCACGACATCCATCGCTCCTTGGCCCTCATTGGGCACCATAACCTCCTCGTGCCCTCGTAAACAGACACTTTATTTTTGACTTCATTCTGTCGTCATGTCACTCACTGTTTAGTCACATCTCACCAACTTGCCCTGCTCTGAAATTTTGACAGGTGTACGTTGGACGCCATCGTCACCTGCCAGCGTCGACCTTCTCCCCAAACGAAGACGGCTTCTTAACTCATGCTTGCTCTGCACAACACTGGTTGACTAGATAATACCAGAGTTTTAGAACAGCGACTAACTTAGTTCAGATACTTAGTCTCGTTGCTGTCACCCCAGTACTGTCCCAACAACCGATCGTTGCTATAGTCATCCTTCCTCAGTGCTCATCGTATTATGCCCGAACAAGCCGCCTAACCTGCGCTTATTAACCATTCGCTGGCCACCTCCACTTGGTGACCGACGTACGGACTGTCAGAGGAAGAAAAGAACCCAATATTCTCGACAGAGGCATATGCCCAATGTACACAGTTAGCTGGCGGAGACGGAAGTACATATCCCGCATTGTAGCCCACGGCGTCCAGATCTGTCTGTGTAGCGTCATACTTCGTGGAATTTGGATAGGTTGCTAAATAGTCAAATTTGGTTTTGCCAGGCATGTTAGACTATGTATCAAAAAAATTAAATCAGGCACTCGCTCAACGGGGTTGCATCAGAAAATGCTAACAGGTACACCGATAAAAGTCGAGAGGTGCTGCTTGGGATAGCTATTACTCTATACGTACCCTTAGCAAACATCGGTATGTGTGTACATAAGTTTATCTATATTCCGGTTGACACACAAGACACCCATATAATGCAAGTTGCCTTTGACGATACGCTGTGTGAGGATACGCCTGTTTTCTAACAAGGATGCTCATCGAACAACAAGGTATCTAAGTACGTGGATGGAATTGGGCTTGCAGACTAAACAAAAAAAAAGCCGACCTCTGCCCAAAGTATGTAGAGCCTTCCATGGAGAATTCCCGTTTCGGAAAGGTCTCTGCTGAGGTAGTGTCTATTTCTCCCGCTCCTTGAAGCCCTTCTCGTGCCTATTTCTCCCACTCCTTAAAGCTCTTCTGGCGCTGCCTCGAGTTCCAGTTGAGTGTTCTGGAAATGCTGTCGATCCAGTCCTTGCCCCTTCTTTCGAACGGAAGGACGCTTGGAAATGGGAAACGAGATGCCGAGACTGTAACGTAGTCACCCGGATGAAGCTCCACACTAGCGAACATCAGCAGACTGATTTTTCTTAAACGCATGCCAGGGCTCACCGTTCTCTTCCGTCGAAGCTTGCCCAGGAGCTGGTTCGTGCGTCGTAGGGCACGCCCGCTCGCAGTACGATGGTGTCGGGGAGGATGATAGGTCGAAAAGACAGCGTGTGCGCACATATAGCCGTTAGTAACATGACTGGGTTGTCCGGATGGCAAAGCGAGCCACCGGCTGCGAGGTTGTATGCGGTAGAGCCGGTAGGAGTCGCGACGCAGATGCCGTCGGCTTGCACGCTGGTGAAATGCTCGTCGTCGCCGAAGACTTCAATCGAGGACATTGCTAAAATGCACATATTAGAGCCTACGTATGGATTAGAGGAGAAAATAGCCTACTCGGATTTGGGCCACGATCCAGGACAATGTCGTTCAGAATGTTATGAGTGCCATCTGGATAATGCGTATGATTGTCCTCGCTCTCTTCCCCAATAAGCTCTTCTACGAGGTCGTTGAGTCCATTGTCGTTGTTCCTGCGCTTCTGGGACCGCATGACGGTACCTTCGAAGCGGAGTCGTAGACTGACGGTAATCCCATCATTGAATGATCTGTTCAGAGTGCTCGGATAATGCTCATAGTCAAACTTGGTAAGAAATCCCAGAGAACCCAATGAAAAGGCCAGAACAGGGGGGACTATTCTTTGGAATAACCAACTGGCATACAGTACAGTGCCATCGCCACCAAGCTACTCCAGGTCAGCAGTAGTCTGGCGATGTTTATCAGTGCCACTCACAGCTAGTACAATGTCAAAAGTTTGGGGACGAGTTTGACATAGTTCCACGGTCCAAAATCTCAACTTGCCCTTGGATGACTCCTCTTTGCAAAGTCCGGCCGCATCGAAGATTTTGTTGTCTCGCAACGTATCTTCCACATATCTTAAGCCGGTCAGAGATCCCTGCCAAAGAATCTGCAACTATCAAGGGATACTTACACAGTGTATTGGGCGTCCTGTTTAAGCAGCCATTGCGCTACCTCCCTCGTGTTCACAATAAGGCGCTCATCGTGCGCTTTCGTCAAAATAAAGACGTTCCGGACGTTCATTTTCAGCCTTATGTGCGCTAGCTTCTTGGCCAGCTCTCGGATCCCGAATGCCATATCTGATATTTGCTTCTTGGTAAGCAAGCGCGATTGGACTGCCTCCGTATCGTTGCCGTCCGGATTTTTGTCAGGAACCCGTTCCGACCTGATACCCTCGTCGCTAGGAGTATGGTTGGCGCTTGTTAAGTCGATATTCCTGTGCTCTTGTAGAAGCGTATGGACAAAGCAGTTGGTGTGTTTCCGCATGTGCTTTGGTCGCTGGTTCATGCTGGGGACGAGGGAGGACTTGCGCCGGTGGGCACCCTGGTCATCGAAGACCACCTAGGTTCGTCAGCCCTGCCACCACAGGGCTCGTGGGGAACTGGTATACTTCAAGAGCATGCTGGACGTCACACTCGCTGGGCGTGGCATCGGCGTCGTTCTCAGAGTGGATGTTAGCTTGACAGTGAAGAAATCGACATGAGGGTACTGTGGTACCTCGTTCTCAGGCTTGCCGTTAGGCGCCAGGGCAAAGGACTCGGGCAGGGTGTCCATTATGTGCCGTAGGGTGTTTTTGACCACGAAAAAGGTCTCGAAGATTGCTCTGAATCGCCTTGTTGCACCGTCAGAAGACGTCGAGTGATTGTCGAGTTTGACATGACGTACAGGAGGGACAATGACTCGCCGAAACAGAGGCGTGCATTCAGAGTTGACGCAAAATGAATCGCGCCTTGATGCAGGTAGGTATTTGGTCTGTACACGGTAGAATGCTAGGTATGAGGAATGAGTAGTGGCAATAATTGTCGGGCATTTATGCCTTACAGTAAGACCCCCTTATGCAGAGCACCCGGCAGTGGTGATGCTTCACGAGTCGTATTTGAACCCTAGTTACTGTAGCAACTAATGTTGAATATGCACCTTTTTGACCATCCTGTCTCCGCCCAAATTGTACAGTACACGGTTCCGCCATGCCCCGACCAAATTTTGCGTTAGCCCCCAAGGGTTTTGCAGTAACTCCGCCGCCGGCCATTTACAATGACAGTAGACATAATCTCGTCTAGCTTTAGACATGAAGATCGGCTGCCTCCGCAATCTTCACCTTACCCTCGTAATGTGCCAGTGCACGGACAACCTCACCACCAGCGCCTATTTCACATGTATTCGTCAACATTTGGGCATGATCAAGCAAAGGGGAAAATCATACCGGTGAACTTCTTAACCTGCTCAGGCGCGCGGCCGATGAAAGTCGAAGGGTCCAATAGACGGTCAATCTCGTCATGAATCGGCTGGAAGAATTTGCTGTTCCTCACACGCTCGATAAGGTCATTCTGACCGCCTTCCATCTTCACGACGTGGCTAGCTTGGTGACTAAGCACACGGATCTCCTCGTGAGCATCTTGCCTGCTATGACCCTTGGCGACCATGGCCACTAGGATATGTTAGCAGTTGCCGATTGATCTTCACGTGTGTTTCGCTTACTGATGATGTTTTCCGTAGCCATGAACGGAAGTTCCTGCATGACGCGACTTTTAATGACCTTGGGGTAAACTACGAGACCAGAGGATATGTTGTCAAGGAGAAGGCAGCAAGCATCGGCCGTCAAGTAGGCTTCCGGAAGGGTAATGCGACGGTTGGCACTGTCATCAAGCGAGCGCTCAAACCACTGCGCAGAGTAGGTGTGAAGGGCGTTCTGGGGGAGAGTCTGAAGGTGACGGCCAAGAGAGCACATGCGCTCTGAGCGCATAGGGTTGCGCTTGTAAGCCATGGCAGAGGAGCCAATTTGGTCCTTTTCGAAAGGCTCCTCAAGCTCCTTGAACGAGGCGAGATGGCGGATATCGCCACCAATCCTTTCGCAGGTTGCACCAAAGGATGCCAGAGTGTTGACAATATCCGCGTCAAGCTTACGGGAATATGTCTGAGAGGTGATCGTGAAGGCCTCGCGGAAGCCGGCCTTGAAAGTCACGAGGTCATCCAGACGCTCAACCTTGTCGTGATCGCCGTTGAAAATCTGCAGGAAAGAGGCCTGAGTGCCAGTGCTGTACGTATGATTAGATCAGGCACGGCATATTCTCTGGTTTCCTGGGCACACTTACGTTCCCTTGACGCCTCTGAATCTCAAGTCGTCGCGCGACCTTTCAAAATTCCTCAAATCAAGAAGGAGGTCCTGGATCCAAAGGGCGGCCCTCTTGCCAACAGTCGTCAACTGTGCGGGCTGAAGGTGCGTGTACGCAAGGCATGGAAGATCGGCGTACTTCTGAGCGAAGACACTGAGTTTGTGAATGGCGCCGCAGACCTTATGGCACAGCATATCCATGGCATCACGGTAGAGAATCAGGTCGGCGTTGTCAGTGACATAGCAAGATGTTGCGCCCCTAGAGATTTATATCAGCACATATACGAAGAGTGTATGACCACTAGCGCGCGATTTGCGATGTTCAGCGCCTTAGGTCTGTGATCCAAACTGGGCTAGCGGCGACAAGCACAAATTTCAGCTAAACGCTGGCTTGCTAATGGTGGAGAAGGCCTCGTCACCACCGCAAGATTGCGCGCACGAGGAATTCGCAGCTTTGAACATCGAGACCCCGAGTCCGAATCTCGAATCTCTCACAAGCTCGAGATGAAACATACCAGTGAATGACGCCAGCCGCAGCAGGCGCAGCAAGTCCGTAGGTGTGAACGTGAGCCATGACATCGTGTCGCCGGCGCTTCTCCTCCACAGCAGCTGTCTGAAATTCCTCGTCCTTGATCTCCAGGTGCTCCCGCATCTGCTCAACGGCCTCATCCGAGATGTCCAGCCCAAGTTCCTTCTCAGACTCGGCCAGGTATAGCCACAGCTTGCGCCATGTCGTGAATCTCGTGCGGGGCGAGAACAGCTCCTTCATGGGCTGGCCTATAGCGCAGAGGTAAAATGTCAGCTACGGTGGCGCAGGTATAGTGGGATGGGGGTTCGTACTCGAGTACCGCGAGTTGAGCCTGTAAGAAAGCGCGCGTTAGCAGCTACTCAGAATTGAAGCAATTGCGCCTCCCCCCTGGAGACAGAGGCCAGGAGTGCAAGCGCGAAGGACCAAGGGAAAGGAGGCTTACGGAGTTTGGTATATCTTCAGCCGTCGTCAGCATCAATGAGTCAACCACAAGGCTTGCAATTGGTGACTTACGCTGTTGTCAGACATGGCGGACGAGAGTTGCGGGAGGAGGGCGACTAGGGACAGAGGAAAAGAAGAAGTTCAGATGAGGCAGATGGGGGTAAAGGGGAGGGAGGACCGGACGTGCGCTGAGGAAGATCGTGACTAGTAAATGCCAAAAAGTGGTTGGTGGGGTACTTTCGGTCGCGTAGATTTTTGGCTCGTGATGCATCATCAAACCCAAAAAAAGCTGCTCCAGGGCCGACTCCGGATCGACGCGCCGCGAGTCATGCAGATCGATGGCGGACGGAAAAAAGACCTGGCGAAATTGTTTCTCCAGCTGCTTCTGCCCGCCGGCTGTCTGCCGTCGGGCACTGCCATGGGTCGCGGGGAATCGTCTTCCGTTGTTGACACGGCACAGCCGCACGCGGGGCCAGAGTCTAGAATTGCTTTGCACCTGATTTATTCGTCGAGAGGCCTCCGACGACCGGCGGCCCCCACGCTCATGGTGCCCGATGGCGCAATGCTTGGGCAGTTGTGCTCACGGGCAGTCTAGACAGGTCTACAACAATCATGTGGAAGACGATTTAGAGTTGGTTCAAAGCGCAACGAGGGGCTGCGTCACCCCGCAACTTGCAAGGGACAATGTGTGGAGGGGGCCGTAGCTCGTCGGCCATGTCCGATTCGTTCGTTGCACTTGGCACCGTCGATGCAGTTTAATACGGCCCGTTCCGTCTTTGCGACACAACCGATCCGAACCTACCGAGCCATCTCCGCTGCGTCTGGAATATTTGAATACGAGTACATCAACACGAGACCTACCTTTAGCCTTTAGGTAGGTAGAGTAGGTAGTCATCGTGACAGCCTTGACGTCATGGGAGGCATTACCAACAACGGCCTAGGTGGCGTTGAGTAATCCATGCGTGTCGAAGCACTCTTGCTTGCTTGTGAAGCTGTCAGTTCACAGTGACGTTTGCAGCAACATCTCCAGCTATAATAACCGGGTAGGTCAGATATCTTCATCCGTTCCGTTGAACTCGACACTCCTCAATCCACCATGAGCCAAATGCGCGCAGTAGCTATCACTGCCTACGGCGGCGTCGACAAGCTCAAGGCCGTACATCTTACCAAGCCTTCTGATCCGACCGGCTACGACCTTCTCGTCAAGTCCGCACAATCCCTCCGTCGCGAAGCACCCAGTCTCAACTAACATCCGGACAGAGTCAAAGCTTGCTCCACCAATCCTGTCGACACCAAAGTTCGTGCCGGCACATACGACGACTATCAACGTGACGGCAATTCACGCGATTATTACAACCACACCCCGAAATTACCCCAAGTGATTGGCTTCGATGGTGCCGGCGTGGTGAAAGCTGCCGGGCCTGAGGCCCAGGGAATCGGCTTCAAACTCGGTGATGCCGTGTACTACTCTGGCTCGCCAATTCGGCACGGCTCGAATGCACAGTATCAACTCGTGGATGCTAGAGCTGCAGCACGCAAGCCCGAAAAACTGGATTTTGTCGAGGCGGCAGCATTGCCACTAACGTGGATTACAGCATACGAGGCCTTGGTGGAGAGACTGGAGATCAAAGAGGATGAAAATGCAGGAGTATTAATAGTGAACGGCGCTGGAGGTACGTACCGTTTGTTTTGCCCATTACTTCACTACGCAGTCGCACTCGAAATGCCTAGCAGAGTCAATTTGCTATAACCAGTGCTAATTGTCCCGCAGGTGTGGGGTCTGTGGCTTCGCAAATTGCCCGGCACATTTTGCGCCTGCCCGTTGTTATCACAACAACTTCACGCGAGGAGACCACAGCATTCAGCAAGGAGATGGGTGCCACGCATACGGTCAACCATCACGGTGATCTTCCACAACAGATTCGTGACCTCAACCTTTCCACGCCGATTAAGTATGTCTTTATTACTCACCGTACTGAACAATACATTGCCCCAGCGGCCGCAGTATGTGCTCCCTTTGGAAAGGTATGCAGTATCGTACAGACGCAAGAGTTACCAATGTATGGAACCGAGTGGATGACAAAAGGCTTGACTTTTGTCTGGGAGTTGCTGGGTACGAAACCATGGTACGGCGTGGAGGTTGATAGCCATGGAAGGATCTTGAAGCAACTGCAGGAGTTGGTTGACAGAGGTGTTGCAAAGACTCACCTGAGGCAGCGTCTGCCATTGAACGAAGAAGGCGTGCGCAAAGCACACGAGCTGCTTGAGAGTGGTAAAGTAATAGGGAAAGTTGGGTTAGGCGTTGATGAAGGAGGATTGCTTGAAGAAGAGACATTTGCTTGATTGTTTGGGCGCCAGTTGATTACATCAGAGAAACCTACATGACAGTCGTTTTAGGACCGATGGAAGCATTTCCAGTGTTGAAAAGTCGTTCAAAAATGCACTCGAGTAGACCTTGAATCAAATGGTTATGAGTTACCGCAAATACTAGGAAATATAGACCTTGCTGACCGCATACGACGAAAAAAATTGAAAGATCTTACGGAAAGCCGACATTTTCGTAGTTATCCAGTCTAATTTTGGCTCATGGATAGTGATGTGTGCCGTAGTGTACGATTCAAGCAACACCTTCTAAAGCGTGCGGACGAGGCTATTCGCCGAACGGACTTACATGCTCCGAGGTATCAATGTGGATGGGCGAGTAGGTTCCGTTCCGTTTCTGCATGGTCACATGGCGTGCCACGAGGTCAATATATCGTCTCAAAAGCACAAATAACCAACAGGATTGAGTCGTATTGGAAGACGGAGTGTCCTCGGGTTGTTTCATGCTCCGACGAGAGCAGACAAGCAAACGTGATTTTTAACATTTTAGCGGTTGGTGTGACCGAGAGTGAAATGCCAACCAATATCGAATAGGTAACAGTACGGAAATGTTCACCGGTTGCCTGGAGTGGCAATGAATTCTCGTGAATTTACTTCTGGTGAAAACTCTCCTATTATTGGTGTGGTGATAATGGATAGCTGATGTGAATGGTGGTGCGTAGAGTTAGCTGGCGGTGTGCAGGACTTAACTTACGAACCCCGACAATCGACAATCCTCACGGTCATCTTGACACAAAGAAGCCCATTGTTTAGTTGCGCTCGGTCAGCGCTGACGTGAGTATTTGCTGCTATACGTACTCTACGTGTAGAGTATACGTAGGACCTACCCAATGTCACTGCCACAGGGCTCTGTTGCGTCGTTGATCCGCGGCATGTTGTCATGGTCATCTGCAGTGCACGACGGTGCGACGCTCGTCATCATGCGTCGCCGCTGCGAAGGAGTAGATAATGAAACGTTTCTCTTGTTTCCGGCCCTTTTCTCGTCTACTTTCGTACTGCGGCACGCATGCCGTTGGAAGGGAAAAATGCGAAGACCGACCGTAAGCATTTCGTACATTAACCTACCTAGTTAATAAATGATTGTGAAAAGGCTAACGTCTGATTTATGGCTTCCAAGAGTCTTAGTACAAGTAGGGAGATGATGGAATTCGCAAAAGAAATGCAGCCACTCGGCTCCGCGCCCGGGTCCGCTGCCCTCCCGGACTTGTTTGCCCGAGATTACTTACTGACGTCGGTTTGAAATCATCGGGGCATTCGCCGCCTCCCCACCTACCACATCTCACAAAAACCCCGTCACGCCCCAAACTTTATCAATTCAAAGGCTTATTACTGAGCGTCTCTGAGCATTTCGTTCGCCGCGTACTGATAATGACTACTGACACACCTCATAGCCTCGTACATGTTTCGAGCCCGCCTCGCCGTTACCGCCGCCAAGCTTGCAGCAACCACACCTAACTTCAATGAAGGATGTAGTTACCCCGGCCTGCGCCTGTGCTTTTTCCATATCCTTCGATAATGCCTTCACCAAAACGCCAACTAAGACTGTTCGACGCCGCCGCCCACCGTTTGATCGTTTCATCGTCATCCCCAGCACGCAATTAAGGAAAGAATACTACCCAGAAGAGCAAGGGAAGAGTGAATAAAACAAGACAAGAGAAATCAAGAAGGAAAGAGAAGAAAAGTAGGAAAGAAAAGAAAAGAGCGCGAGGACTCTCCAATCTGCATCTATGGTATCCACGAACTATACTCTGCTCACGGCTGAAGCAAACTAGTCCAATCATCTTTGAGAGGCTCGCTGTCGGCACTGGCTGACCTCGACCGAAGACTGCCATTTCCGCTCGATTCCCTGAGTTCCCGATCACCAGATGCATCGAGATGAGACGAACTGTACCCAGACTGCACGCCGGAACCCACGCTGGAATTTACGCTGGAACCGACGCTGGAGAAGCTTGGGCGTAGTGCCGCTGGTAGTTCCCCCATGGCATGCGCGTTCGCACTCACGCGATTGCGTAATTGCTCTGCAGTGCTTTGAATGTACGCTTGGATCGGTGGGAAACGGCAGTCAGTGTGCTGGAACACCATGTTCTTGAGCCGGAACACCTCTTCGCTAAGCTCGGCTACGTGGGCCTGCAGCAACTTGTTGTGAGCAGACAGGTCTCTGCACTGCTCGTCCAGGCCAACCATCCACTCCTTCTTCTTCTGCCGGCATTTGTGCGCTGCTATGCGGTTCCTCTCCAAGAACTGTTCTCTCTTTGCGTGCTCTTCGGGATCTAACCCATCCATTGTCTCAGGAACTTTGCTTTTGCGGCTCCTTTTCTTCGGGGGAGGCGAAGCGTTCTTCGTCTTGGTCGACCTACGTCTCTTGTTGTCCCGTTTTAGGATAGTGGCCTCCATATCTCCGGGTTCTTCGCTCTCGCCCCTTCCCACTTCGTGCGATGAGGCGGTCACGGCAATCTCCTTTGGAGAAAGCTCATCTGGAGGTGTGACCTGGCCGTATTGCTGGCGTGAATTTTGGAAGTCGGCAAAGGGAGATGGGAAGGACTGTGCAGAAAAGAAGGAATTTTGTTGGGGTTTAGAGCTTGTCGTCTCAAAGAGCATAGTAGGCTGGACCGTTGCCTCTCGCATGTCTTCCATGTATGAGGAAGCCGAAACGTCGTGTGATGTCGCTGACGACTCAGGGTCAAAGCGGAAAGCCTTTACTTGGTCCATGTCGTCAAGCCCCCTGTTAATGTGATCGAATTCCAGTGTACCAGAGCAGTTGAAGTCGGTCAGGCTATCGACACGGCCGGTCGTGGGCTGTGAGCCGTACATATACCCAAGGTTTGCCGTCATGGCAGCGTCGGGGGAAGCGAGAGAGGGATGCTGTCCGGGATGGAGGGGAAGCTTTTTCGAAGCGGAGGTGGGGCTCTCGATGGCAGCTGCAATTTTGGATTGCACTACCGAACTGCGACGCTTCAAGAGTTTGTCGGCCGACAATTGCATTTGAAGGGCGGCAGTGATGTCGCAGATGAAGTGAGGTTGCAATGGTGGTGTTGCGGATGGATGGGGGGGAGTTGTGGGCGGGGCTGGAACACACGGGTGTGGAGAACTGGCAAGCGACCTAGTGCCAAGCGATGATGGATGGTACGGTCGATTGGATTTGGACGTGGAGCTGCTAGCCTTGTCGTGGGAAGAATGAGGAGACGGTCTTAAGAGGCAAGGCGAGTCGGGTGCTAGCAGGAAAGCGTGCCTCGTAGTGGGAGAGCTAGAGTAGCGGGCGATGATGCAACGGTACTGGCTCCGACCAGGCAGGGGCTTATTGGCTGCGGAAGCGTGTACCGGCTGTCTCAACGCCTCGAGCAGAGCGATTTGCGGGGAACGGCGAAAAGACGTGGTCGGGCGGGCGCGCGTGGGCGTGCAAGAGCGTGCAAGGGTGGGCGACGGGCAAGGACTCTTGAGCAAGAGGTAGTGTAGTAGGTGTGTAGTGTGTAGGTAACTCTCAGTGAGACAACGATGCAGGGTACCCTGATGGGCAGTGCATGAGGGGGGAAGATGGCGGAAGGGACTCCGTTGCGATGGATTTTGTCGGGGTGAGGGTTCGGGGGCCCAAACATTCCCATCTGCTGACAATGCGGAAACCAAAGATTGCGATGATGGCGCCCCCGCTTTTCCGGTGACATCACCGGGGCCCGATCACCGATTTTGCCAGCCCGCCCATTGCTCGCCTAGCGTCCCGCTCTCGCCTCGTCCTGCCCTGCTCTGCCGCCCTTGCTGGTGGCCTGAGAGCCGATGTGACGCAGGGCTGCATGTGAAGAATCAAGGAGAAGCGTCCACTACTCTAGCTACCTTCCAATGTTTCCATGAGAGCCTCCCTTCCATCAACGGCCAACGGCAACCCCGCAAAAGCCGGCGCCGGCGCAGATCCCGCTCCCGCGCTTTAGCCATGTACCGACTGGGCTAGCTGCCCCCCCTGGCGTCACGTGATGCGCGTTTGAGCGTTGGGCCTTGTCGCGGCGGGCCTTGGGCGCGGAAGATCCCGACGCTCATAGGAACCCTGGCGGCTGGCCGCTCGCAGCCCACTCCATCTCCCCAGCAACCTCCCACCCGCCGCGTCCGGCCTGCTGCAGTCCCAGGCAGGAGAGAGCTATCCACCATCCGGCCTGCTCCTCCCCTCGGCCATGTCCGCGAGCCTTGTTTCCACCGAGGAAGTCGCCCCTGGGCAGTCATCGGCACGCGAATCGCCCGCCTTAGGAGTAGACGCATGTCCTACCTGCGGAACCTCCTCCTCGCTCCTGCCGGACCTGGATCCGACTGTCGCCGCGAAGCGCATCGTCGAGCTCGAGGCCCAAGTAAGGCTGCTCACGGACAAGGCCACCTCCGCTGGTACGTCGCTCCGCCTCAAGCATTGCTGCGCTGCTGGCTAACAGCCCCGTAAAGTAGACAGGATTGCAGATTACGAGGACGAGCTGCGCCGTCTGAGGTCGTCGCAAACGGCGGGCAGCAAGCGCTTTTCAGTCGATCCCGCGCTTGCCCTTACACCATCCACCAGCATTGCTTCCGAAGACGGCATCAGGCCCCATACTGCTAATCCAACAGGCGCTGCTCCTGCCTCGCGCATGTCCCGCTTTTCTTCTCTCCTCACGCGCAAGTCCATCAGCGGCCCTTCCTCATCCGGTCCCTCCGTGACTCCGCTCCCGTCGGCCCTACCCCACAGATCGGATGATGATGAGCTTCGCGATGCTCTTGAGAAAGAGAGATGCCTTCGTCGCGACGCCGAGACAAAGGTTTCCGCCATGAGCAGCGAAATTGAGGAGCTTAGCGTGACGCTTTTCCAGCAAGCGAACGAAATGGTGGCTGAGGAGCGCAGGGCCCGCGCAAAACTGGAAGAGCGCGTTGCCGTTCTGGAGAAGAGAGACAAAGAGAAGAGATCCAGGCTGGAAAGGCTCGAAAATGCCGTTAAGCGAATCGACAGGGTCCGTGGATTGCTGGCGACTTGAGAATCATGGAAACCCACAGACGGCCGTTGCAAAACTTTCAGCAGCAGGGCCCTGTTGAGGGGTCCTCTCTGACCATGGGGCACACACAGGGTCTCGTTCGCGAACCTAGCGGGCTGAGACACTGCACTGCCCAAAGGTGCCATCGGAACCTATTGGCAAGATGAGCACAGCCAAGGCCTAGTGCTGCGGCTTAATCAAAGCGCTAATCAGATCCCGCAGGAGATGGGGCTATCCAGAGCCGCCAAACTCCCCTCTGGTTAAGCCCTGCAAACGGGGCTGTGACTTACGCATGGCACTAGCGAGAGCAAACAAAGGTCTCTAAGACGCGCAGCTGGGAGCCGGTCTCTCAGTAGTGAGATACGAGGCACAATACCTGAGGTGTAAGGGACTAAGCGATAGGGGAAGAAGAAGTGAATGGAGGAACAGACAACAATGCCAAACCCGCTTGACGGGAAGATGGCTTGGAAAGTCTACTGGTAACGTAGCCTCAGGCTGTTACAATATCTTGGAGACGAAGCAAACATAGACAGCGCAACTACAGGAAGCAAGCTTTGGCTGATGGCAAAGACCTCGTCATGGCAGTAAAATGAACACCACGAACACAAGAAATAGCAGCAAGAATGGACATGGTGTTCGAATTCAAACCCTCACTGAGACCCATGCGACACTACAAACCAACCCGCCGCCCCCTACCGCCGTAATTGGAACGTTTTCGAAATATGGACGTAGACAAAGGGCGGGGCATGTTCGAATCGGTGGTGTCAATCTTTAGCGTGTGGTTGTGGAAGCGCTTAACTACGCAAACAGGAGTAGGTTATGTAGCAACATCAAATGTCAGCCGAATAAAGCTCCTTCTACCGTAATTGTACAGCTATCGGGTTCTGCTGTTTCAAATTATGAGTTAACACCCCCAGAACAAACCGTTATCGGCTACTTCTGGAGCTGTTCTTGTAGAGTCGGCCCCGATGGAGTTGATCGGGTCTCAGAACCTCCCATCGGATGACAGGCCCACAAGCGGTGCAAGCACACATGGAAGGTCGCCTCAAGATGCCGCATTTCGAAAGCGTCAAACGTCATCCGGCTATGACATTATCTGCTCGGAGCCAACTCCGCGGCTACTTCAGCCGGCATATCATACGCAAGCAAAATAGCTGCAGGTTCCAGGTAAAAACAACTCTCAAGTGGAGACTCTGGGAAGATCAGTACTGGGAATGCACATGGATAGGTGCATCCATTGACGTGATTATGACCTCGCTGGCACACTGGAGGTCTCGCTCTCGCAGCATGGTGATGTAGACTTATGTATGCCGAAAAAGACCCTGACATTCACTTTCAACGGTCCTATAACGCCTATGCCATGCGTGTGCAAAAAGAAAAAAAAAAACTTTGGACCCTCATCTTCAAGACCCACCACTTTCGCTTTTCGTGGATCAACAGAATGACGATGTTACAGGTGCAGCTTCGATCCTTCACCTATCCCAGCCGAGCGCTCTCAGTCGTCCTTGCTACTTGTAAGCCTTTTCCTTTCCTCGCCGTCCTGTGGCCCCGCACCACTGGGGCTATCCAGCTCATCGTCAGACCATTTGTCGTCATCGCCAACCGCAAAGATTGTATCGCCATCCAAGCTCTCGCGCGGAAGGTTCGACGGTTTCTGTGGGCGCGGCGCCGGCAGCGGAGATTCTGAGCGGTAGTGCTCGGCCTCTTCTGCTGGCGTCGTGTTTCTGTTAACCCGGTCGTTTGAGCGGACAGGGTCGTAGGCGGGCGGGTTGACGCCGCCATGGCCTTCCTCCTCGTCAAAACTGTCGCGAATGGATGCGATCTCGAAACCTTCATCATCTTGAGCAATCTGTAATACTTGTTAGCATTGCGGGCATTGTTTTGTTGTCCAAAGTGTGTATAGATTTCTTTTACCTCATCACTCATGGCAAAGCGTCTGTTGTTGGCTGTCGGACGCCAGAGGTAGGCTATGAAACCAACGTCCGCGAGGTAGACAAGGTTGAGCCAGCCGTCAAGCACGAACCAGCGCGTTTGCCAGTGCGTAGGCGCAAAGTCCGGGTCACTGGCTCCAGCAAAGGCAAACGAGTTGAAGAAGAAAAAGCCAAAGATGACAAGGATACTGCCAATGATGCACCACCAGAGCTTCTTGTACATGAGCGCCTTGACGTGCTGTTTGCGGTCGGCCAAATCCTTCATGGTCAGGTTGAGCGAGTTCAGGGTCCAGATATAGAAGGCCGTGAGCGAAGCGGACAAAGGCAGGATGACCAGAAGGACGAGCGGGCCGGCATCGTCGGGGCGGATGGTGAGCGAAGCGACGGCGTAGACGACGCCGAAGACGAAGTGCGCAAAAGCGAGCCAGCGGACGTAGACCATAGTCCTGCCCAACGAAGGCTTGACGACGCCATAACCCATGCAAACTATCAGGAGCAAGAAGAAGGAAAAGGAATTCCTGCCGGCGTTCAAAACGGATACAACAATCATGAATACCTTGGTGCCCACGTTGTTGCCATAACGATTCTGGTAGTCGTAGAAGCCCCAGGTCATGAGCATCTCGACGACCAGGAAGATGATGATGGCAGTAATGTAATTCTGCACGGGCAGAATGTCATGGCGATGCTGCACGTACAAGAAGGCCCAGAAGATGCCGATGACGGCGTAGACGATGGCGGTACCGCCATAGAATGGAAGCTTGGCGATCTGAGCGGCGGGAAGCTCGCCATAAGCGTTCCTGAATTCGACAATGGCCGTGTACTCTTGCTCTCCGCCGGTCCATGTTTCGACGCAGTAGTAGCCAGTCTTCTTGATGGGATAGTTTACGGCGCTGGGCGAGGTAAGGTCGATGGCTTCGGTGCGAATGAGGCTCTTCTCAGTCTCTTCGGCGTTGTCGGCAAGGAGGAATTTGCCCAAGTCAGCCTCTTTGCAAAGGCCGCTGTCGATGTTGGCCGGGTCGCAGATGTATTGTCTCTATGCACGGAGTCAGCAGTGTCGCGGGGCCCAGGCGGCGCAACGCACATCCAGATAGTCGACGTCGTGCGGCTTGCCCAGGAGATCGCGGTCCTCCCATTCAAAGATGAGCAAGCTGACGATGGGCTTCTCGCCCTTCTCTATGGCAATGTTGTCCTTGACAAACTTGACGAGGATAAAGGGGTCGACCTGGCCGCCCCAGGACTTCTTGCTGTACATGCCGGAGCATTGCTGGCGGTTCTCGTCTTTTTGGTTCTGGCGGCGCCGTCAGTTCTGAGCGGGCGAGTTGGCGGCAAGACATACAAGCTCGACTTCGGCCGCGTGGACTGCAAGCACAGAGGCCAGCAGCCCGGCGAGCGCGTAGGTCCATCTCATTGTGTTCAAGCCTGAGATGGAGGTTACGTTGCGGGAGCTGATCCGTCGGGGCCGCGTCAGTTCTACGGCGCAACGTCGATCGTAACCCGCCCCGGAAGATCCCGCCCGCAAGGCTGACTGACTTTCTTCAACCCTTCCCCACGCCTACTATCAATTTTATAAAATACTCCATGCAGCCCGCCCGACTCTGCCAGCGCTGCCGCCAGGCCGACGCTACCGTGCTGGCTCGCTCCCAGCACCTCTGCAAGTCCGTTTCCGCCCACCCGGAATGCCGTCCGCTGCCCGCTGACCCGTTGCCCAGAGACTGCTTTACCGCCTACATCCAGATGAAGGCCGTCAAGCGCATGGAGTCTTACGCCTACCAGGTCCGCTTCAACTCCGCCGAGCAACGCACCCTCTTGCTGCCACTTTCGCTCGGCGTCTCCTCCACCGTCCTGCTACAGTCGCTGCACATCCACCTTGACAGGCAAAAAAGCAAAACCGGCCGCACCGGCTATGCACTGCACATTCTTTTCGTCGATACTTCCGCCGTCGAGCCCGACACACCTGATGCTGGTCGGCTAGAAGCCCTGAAGGAAAGATTCCCCGGGCACGCTTTCAGTAGCATCCTTCTCGCCGACATCTTCGATAACAGTGAGCCGCGGGAGTTGCTGGACATCCCCGAGGCGCACTTTCTCAAGGCCGAGGACTTACTGAAAAGCCCCCAAGAAAAATTGGAGAAACTGATTGTTTCATTGCCGTCCGCAACAGCTCGTGCGGATGTCATAACCATTCTTCGGACCAAGCTTATCACACGCTTCGCACAACAGAATGGCTGCGAAGCAGTGCTCTGGGGCGATAGTACTACCAGGATCGCGGAGAAAACTTTAGCAGAAACGTCCAAGGGACGCGGATTCTCCTTGCCCTGGCAAGTAGCTGACGGCATGTCTCCTTACGGCATTGCTTTCAATTATCCCATGCGCGACCTGCTCAAGAAGGAGCTCACTTTACATGCAGAACTTACTTCGCCGTCCTTGACCCCCTTGATCCATACGCAAGCCGCAGTGCAAGTTTCCGCTAGTGCCAAAAACACTACCATCGATGATCTCATGAAGCAGTATTTCCAGGAGGTTGAGCAAAATTATCCCGGCATTGTTGCAAACGTTGTTCGTACATCGAGCAAGCTTGAGGCAGCTTCAGTTACCGAGAGTAGATGCAGTCTATGCAGCATGCCAGTTGCCGATGCGCGCTTCGGCATACATGGCTGGGGTGGTGACCAGGGTGGCAATGGCGCTCCAGATGTGTCTCGGTCGGCGCAAGAACACCTGTGCTACGGGTGCACAAGATCTGCGCCACAAGCTGCAGGATCGCTCCAATGAGGTACAAACCAATAAGCACACGGGCGTAAGAACGAATCAGACCCTCATGGCGATGCACAACCTGCTTCCAATAATTCTTCATCTATGTTCGGAGTACTGCTTATGCGAAGCTCCCAATTCGACTTATGCACAGGCTTTCATCGAATATTGTAATTTTATGGAAAGCAGTATTCAAAGATGCACCACCACCAACGAGCATTCGACCAACGTTATCTCGATGTCTCAACCATTTAGGACTTGATGACGCACAGATGAGGAACTCTACGAGGCGGGTTTTCCATCATGACACTCTCAGAACCATCTGTATGTAAGGATGAGAGCTTACTGAGTCACGACATCTGCCTTTGCTGTGACAACACCCCAAACTCCAGTTATTGCTGCATTCTCTGCATGAGCAGCCCACAGGGTTGTAGTGAGTGGCTTTCCCAGACAAGGCTGTAAGGTCGCTCTGGAAGTAAATGTTCAAACATAGGCGTTCAGAATACTAAGTGCTTCCAAAAAGGAACTGTTTATCCATCTTCTTGTGCCTTTCACGAACAACTGTTTAGAATAAATCACCCACTCGCTTAGAAAAGCATGCTGAACGGACGTTTTCACATTCGTGTTGTGTCTCCATCTTGCCTTATCTGTTAGCATTTCCTATTATCGCTCCTGGCAAGTTCCTGGATACCCTTTCAAGATGTTGTAACTTTCGACAACTTTTGTCTCCGTTAGCAACATTAGCAAAGCTTTCCAGCGAAATTGATCGGCAGGTTAGCACTATGACAAGGTCCCTTAGTAATTGTTGTCTGTCTTTGGACTGTCTCCACATTTGGGAACGCACAGGTTGAGCCGGTGTTGCTACAAACGAATATGTTGCAAAAACCAAGGAAGACGACGTTTACAGAAGGATTCCAGGCCACAGAGGAAAAAACGCATCAGGAAGGCCGCCAAGGTTGCTGCTCCCGATATCAGAAACGCATGACGCGGTCAGGCGCGCTGCATCAACGGCACGGCCTTGGACTATGTCGGACGGACCGTATCGGGCGACAGCCGAGGTCATACCTAACTATGGCCTAGCATTACGGATCAGACGGGTATGTGTGGTGTTTGGTATGTGAGGCCGCTGACTGATGACGAGAGGCCTATAATCTAGTATGCAATGTGCACTTGTGCGATTGTACAGTACAGACCTAAGTATAATTAAGACCACGAACGGATAAGTGCGTCACGGAAAATTGGTACAGTAGGTAGGAGTATGGTGTTCTCGACGCCGTTTGGGCAAAGCGGCACCTACCTACTTATACGATCTTATAGGAGCCTGTTAAAGGCAGGCTATACGGCATTGCGCTCTAATTCCCCGGCGGGATCAGGCTGCTAGTCTTTTTAGTCGCAGATATTTGATAGGCCTAGAAGAGATGAATGACTTGCATTGGACGGTCCACAAAAGCCACAACCGCGAGGGATTCCGTGAACGGAAGCTAGATAAGGTACAACAAGTAAGCCGTGACATTGCCAAGCTTGGGACTCGAGATTATTCGGATACATAATGCGGAGGGAGCAGATCGTGGCGGCGAGCGAGATGAGGCTTAGCTTTCTTTGTGGGCGCGCGGAGATTTGGCGTTGGATCCCTGCGGCGATGAAACGCCAGGCGCAAGGGGTTCAACAGCACGGAGGTCGCGACACGCCTGCCAGAACGTCTGACGGCGCTTGCCAAAAAGTCCCAACCCGTCATCATCTTTTGTTGCCCGCCGATACACGTCTCTACCATGAGACTCGTCCCGTCCTGTCCCTAGGCCCGCTACCTCCCCTCCTCCCCACGCCGACGGACAGCAACAACATTCCCCGGATACCGCCTTTCCTCCCCCCCCCGAGGTCCTCCGCTGCGTGCTTCTGGAAGCACCGGGCCACGATGACTCGCCCGAGCATGATCAGAGCAGGTGAGCTGAAGACAATGGCTCCGGTGCGCGCCCGTCACTGACTCCGCAGACACGATCGACTTGCAGAGCCAGAATGCACCCTCGGCCGCCGACCACACGCGGCAGCCAACTCAGCCCGCGCCGCTCGGCATTGGCCCCGCCGCACCGCATCAAGCCGCCGCCGTCAGACAGGTCGTGGAAGAGCGCGCTGAAGAAGAGGGGGGCTGGAGTGATGCTCAAGGCGACGATGATCCGAACGGCGCTGACGGGCACGCGACGCACCTCGACACCGACTCGGATGCCGACGACGGCGACATGGCCGACTCTGAGACGGAAGATATGGACGACGACATGCTGGACAAAATCTCCAGTTCTCCCTCAATAGACGATGGTGGGTATTCTTTACCTTCTGCCCCAGCCTGGCCGGCACGCACCTCTTCCTTTTCGCCAGCCTCTACTCCTCCCCGACAACATCCTTGCAGCTCTTCAGAAACAAACTCTTCATCACCTTTTGTCGCAACACCGCAGCATCTCCCACTTTTCTGCCCTCCAACGCAACACCCTATTTCATTTGAAAAGCCCCGCCCTTCACCACCGTCTTCCCCTCCGCCTTTCTATTCTACGCCCTTGCATCTTCCACTGCAATTGGGAGTGCAGGTGGACCCTTTTTCGTCAGCGGATCATCATCGTGAGGGTGAGTATGTGGGGACCCGACTGGATCCGGCCGCAACCGTGCACGACGAGGGTTTTGTCGACGACGACGACGACGACTGCGAGGACGAAGGACACGATACGGTAGGATCATTACCGAATGAGGGTTTCCAAGGTAACAGATACGAAAACGATGAAGACGCCGAACATGAAATCGAGGACCAGGAAGACACGCGTGTATACCTGGGAAACCAGCTTATCGAGATCCGCCCGCTTCCACCCATACCGATTGATCACGCGGACCAAGATAAGGACCTTGATGATATCCAGCTAGAAACTCGGTCGAGCTCTCCAGCGGGTTCTTCTTCGTCCTGGCAGACCGACAGCGATGCCTCCAGCTGGGATGAAGATAACGATGATGATTCCAATGACATTTCTTTTTCTGACGACTCTCGCTTTGTCGACAGCGGTTGGGGCGGTGAGTGCTTACGCGAAACAGAGGACATCGATTTCGAATTCGTTTACGCTCTCCATACGTTCGTCGCTACGGTTGAAGGGCAAGCAAACGCCACAAAGGGTGACACCATGGTATTGCTTGACGACAGCAATAGCTACTGGTGGCTTGTTCGGGTCGTCAAGGATGGCATGATCGGTATGTCTAACAGCGAATTCATTTCGGAACAATATTCATGGAAAGACAGGATACCTTCCTGCGGAGCATATCGAAACACCAACCGAACGCCTGGCGCGGTTAAACAAGCACCGGAATATCGACGTAAGCCATCTAGTCCAGCTTTGTGCTTGCCCATGTCTAACAATTATTTAGCTTGCGGCGGCTATGCTCGGTGACAGCGCCGAGAAATCCAAGAACCCATTAAAGAAAGCAATGAAAAGAAGAAACGCCAAGACGGTCCAGTTTACTGCGCCAACATATGTCGAAGCGTCCGATTATGACTGGTCTTCAGATGAGGAGGATGGCGAAAGCGACATTCTCGGCAATGGCCAGGCCCAATCGGACGATGGAGAAGAGGAGGAAGAAGACTTCGAACAGGATGAGCAGGTTAAGGTCGAACCTTTGAGGATCGGTGGCAAGAAATCGGATGATTCTGAAAATCCCGATGCTTCCGCCGAAGACAAACGTAAGAATCCCAGTGATCGGGCAAAGGCGTTTGGGCGCCTAGGCGCAAGATATATATACAAGGAGATTTTCGAGCTGACTGTTGATGGTAGTGGACCCGAAGATAACACGGAATGGCACGTTACGGAACACGGACTCTTTCTTCAAGGACGACACTACCGAGACCAGGAAGATTACGTTGACACCAAACCTGCTGAGGGACGATTCCAGTGCATCTACTGTGAAGTCCACTGAGAGCAGAGAAAGAGCCGCGAGCATTGACAGCTTGGAGAAAGAGCTCAAGGGTCAGGTACAAGAGAAAGAGAAAGCGAAAGACGACAAAAAGAAGAAAGAGAAGAAACCGGGAATGCTTAGAGGGCTTTTCGGCCGCAAGGATAAGAAAGGCAAGTCTGCTGAACCTGAACAAGAGGAAGAGAAACGTTCTGAGGAGATATCCCGAGAGTCGCTCTCAAGGGATTCCGAAGAAACCGGCTCGCCGAAGCAAGAACCGAAGCAGGAACCCAAGCAGGAGCCCAAGCAGGAGCCCAAGCAGGAGTCTAAGCCCGAGGTTGGGTCACCAGAGCAACAACGGAAAAACCAGAAGCCAGTTAAAAGCGCTGCGCAGAAGGCCAACGAGCCGAAATCCACGACGCCAAAGACACAGCCGAAATCAATTCTCCAAAACTCGGCAGCGAATATAGCGGCAAACGCAGCGGCCGAGGCCACTATGCGCTTGGTGGAAGCATCTCCTGAGGTAGAGCAAGCAGCAGAAGCAGAACATGCGCGAGGAAAGTCACCCACGGACGCGCAGCAACAACAACAGCCACCAGCTCAAGGGAAAAACACCACCAGCCGAGCCAAGCAGGCAATAACTAACGTTCTCAATACTGGTTCCAACGTACTTGGTACTGGCTCCAACGAGGAACAAGGGCCAAAGATGCCTCCGCGGGAAAAGGTCAAGAAATCCAAACAACGTGTGCAGTTGGATGATTTCGACTCATCCGCCGACGAAGAACACGAGGATCCTTTCGCAGACCAGGAAAACTACCAAGCTCAGCACGAGCAAAACCACATTGGAGCCCGGCCAGAAGAGGCCAATGGAAATGCTTCTGCTACCCGCATGGACGTATCTCCCATCGACACGTCTCACCCCGAGCAGCCGCCTGCCCTCGTTGGGGATACATCAAGCCAGGACGACGGCTCGATTTCTCCAGTCTCTCCGTCCGATTCGCCTACTCACGCCAACACACCCCACCCCGCTGCGGCCTCAACCCTTCACCTTCCCCCTGCGGCCTCAACCCTTCACCTTCCCCCTGCTACGTCGCCGCCGGCTGGACCGCCTCCCATGCGCCCCAGTACTGCGCCACCAAATCCACTTAAAGAAATCAACACAAACATACCCAACTCTCCCAGCCTGGCTTCAGGCGCTGACAATCCTATGTCGGCGCAAAGCCTGCCTGCCTGGAGTGATGCCAGCCTGCGTTCGTACTTGGACGATGGGTCGGATATCAGAGATATGCTCTTGGTTGTAAATGACACAACTGGAGTTGTACCGGCCGGTCCTGAGCATCCATGGATGGCGGGGTTGTTCAAGCAGGAGCGCGGCAAGGTCAAGGAGTTAGGGACGCAGCTGGACGGGCTACTAGGCGAGTGGCTGGTGAAGAAGAGAAGAGACAGGGAGCGGGAAGTCGGGGCAGTGTCTCGTTAAGACCCCTACTTGTGCTACAGCTTAAATGCGGCCTGGTTTGTATCATACCCTTCTTACTGTTCGTTTTTGTTTGTCTTTTTCTGTATTCGGTCGTTTTCTGGAGCCTTTTGGAGCGGGAGTATACATACCCGGCCTTTGTTTGTGGCCAACCTTTTTCTCTTCAACTCGAGGTGTTTTTCTCGGAGCCAACCCGGACGAAAGGTCGGTGGGTCTGGCACCTTGTTTCTGTTCTGTTCAACCGCTGGTCTTCACTTTCTCCTGAGCACTTTTTCTTATATCCATCGCAAAGGCGCGAGGCAGGAAGACTATATGATGTGGGATGAGCATGAACATGAGTTGCAACATTTGCTATTCTCCACCTGAACCCTTGAGAGCAGGCGATGATCGATAGAGGGGTCTGGGACTTCTTTTTTTATTCTTCTTTTTTCTTTTTACTTAGCTTCATATTTTGCCTCTCTTTTCTTTAATTTCCAATCTGATCAACAAGCCGGGCTTTATTTTTCAGACCCGGATTTCTTAAACAGACTTTTTTATTCTATCTTTTTTTCCTTTTTCTTGTTCCTTTTGCTTTGTTAGGCTTGAGGCCCACCACACGCTCGTGTATTTCTGATTTTCCTGTTGTCATGCTACTTTTGTTGTTCTCTTTTTCCTTCGGACTTGTTGACTTGATTCTCGACCGAGAAGGGAATACAGAAAGGTACTTCTCGGTCCTTCCCTTTTGTCATTTTCATCATACCCAATCGTCCAAGCTACAATCGCTTTGTTAACATTTCCTTTTCTTTTGGTGGATTCCAAAATGCATCGTCCGCGCTGTACTACGCTCAGGCGGACAGAAAAATAAGCCATTCGTGCAGCACTCTTTTACTTTTTTTTTTTTTTTTTTTTCTCTTCTTTTTGCGCTTTTGGGCGGCTTTTACTATGTAGTATACCCAGCCTTTTCTTCAACTTGCAGTAGGGTAGGGCGTTAGGACGTCGGGATGTAAAAGGATTCAGGGTAAAGAGATAGCAAATGGAGGGGGTGCTGTTGATGGCTATTGTCTTTGTGACAAGACTCGCAGATACCTCGATTTTCCCGCTTGACACTCGCTACTACTAAAGCGACGTTGGTTTGAATTGAATGTCACGTCAGGTCCGTCGGCTTATGGAGATCATGCACAGCTGACGTGGGGCGGAGTTGGCTCATTTCGGTTTCTTGGCCGGGGTGGAAAAAGGTGAGACGGTTGATGAAGGGGGTGCACCATAAGCGTAGGTGAGAGCTGGAGCGATCAGGCTGTCCATGCGTCCCCATGCCAAGGGTTTCCGGGGTTTTGCCAGTCGGTGCTGATGCGCTAGCAGGAGCCTCCCACATGCCTCCGAGCCTTCGATGCGAGGGGAAGTGAAGCAATGCAGGCCTATGTAAAACAGAAGCATGTTCATCCATCCCTCCCCGCACGCACCCGAGGCTGTTCCACCATCCCGGCTTCCCCGCAATGCTTCACCGAAGCGAGACGACACAGCAGTACCAAGCCAATGCTACGTACGCAGACTGGGCGCATTAGCATACTGTAGAAGGTGACGGAGGTGTAGTGGAGCAAAGCCTGTCGCTGCCTCGTTCTGATCTTGAAGAGGCAACGAATCACGACGCGGGAGATCGGGGGTAGAAGCCGCCGCCGAGCGCCGCCGACGCGCCGACACGCCCGCGCGCGCCATGTGCTCACGTCCGGAGGCGTTGGTGGCTTCGGCGACGGATTTCCAGGCGGGCACTGCGGCCGCGTAAGCCGGGCGAGGTGAAACGGCGCAAATCCATGCTAATAAGGCGACTGTGCGTCCAGCCCAGCGTTTGCTTTCATCCATTGGAGCGAGAACACTCTTTCTCTGAGATATGCGTTGTGTATCCTGCGCTTGAGAGTCATGGCGTAGCAGTACTTGGCCGAGTCGGCGCGAGAACGGACTTGCTCGCTATACCAAGTTAGTAGGCGGGGGTTAGCTCAATCAGCGCGCGCGCGGTTTTTGATGGGTTTAGAGTGAAGGTGGCCCAAGCGATAGTGGAACAAGCACCCGCTAGCAGCAGATGGAGTAAGCACAGTAGGTTTAGCTTCTCCCTTCACTACGTCCAAAGTTATTGTTCTCTTGTAGCTTTCCTCTTTCGGCTAGCACCTCTGCGTTGGCAGTGAAGAAGTGAAGGTGAGGCGATTTTCGCCGCGCCGAGAGGTGAGATTTGGTATACGTCTCCCGCCTCACTTCAACTCCCTTTCCGAGTTTTCACCCTGAAGGAAGACCGAAGGTATTCAATCCGCATCTTCCACTCTGCCGTTGCTGGGCCTAGATGCTTTTCGTATATGGCTTCATTCTGAGTCCATCAGACCGCAGCGAGCCTACCCGGAAGTCTTTTCACGTCACTTTTAAGCCGAACCCTGAGGACATACCTAGGCATAGGGTCTGATGCTTGAACAGCTGCTAAAGATGTCGTATTTATAGCACCAACTGCAACTTCGCATTGAACACTCAGGACCTTTTTTGTTCAGTCAACTATTGGCATTAATTGGAACCAGATTGTCGTGTAAATGCACGCTGAGACGGACACGATCAAGTAAACATCTGGGCTTCAGTAGCTTATGTAAAATGTCGAAGTGAATAATGACATTGCAGAGACTACAAGCTCTGCCTGAACAAAAGTATAAATACCCCAAATAAATGCGCCCAGCCCTTTTTTCGAGTTTGTCTGACCAGCCTACACATCCTATACCTATTCCTCATCCTCATCCTGCTCCTCCGCACCGCCCTTGAGCTTCTCCACATACTCCGCCGCCAGCGCCTGCACGCGCTCCCGGCTCTTCTTATCACCGTTCTTCTCCTCCCACTCGGCCCACTTCTTAAAGACGTATTTCGCCCTACGCGCCTTCATTTTGGCGCCCGCCATACGTCCATACAGCTGCCGTACGTTGTCCATCTCACCGCGCGCCTTCTCCAAGTCCACAAACATATCCCACAAGTCCCAGCGCTTAGGCCAGGTGCTGAGGAGTCCCTCGAAGATGGTACGGCCGCGCTCAGCGTCACCGTTGGGGGACTGGAATTCCAAAGCGGCAAATTTGGAGGTGAGTTGACGGTGCAGATGCGCAGGCACAGATTGCGTGGCTCTTGGCAGCAGTTGGCGCGCGCGACTGGGGTCGTTGAGAGTAGTCATGAGGAACGTGGCGTAATTCATCCAGAAGCTAGGATTCGGCGTGATGGACTTGTTCTTGGTCATGGTTTGGAAGAGAGAGTCTGCTTTCTGCGGGGTTGTTAGTATTCGTATGATATGACGAGAATCAAGTGAACTTACCTCATGCCTGCCGGTGCTGGTGTAGATGGTGATGAGCTTGTTATGCATCTCCTCAGGATCGCAGTATTGGCATGCCCTCTTGAAGACCTCATCCACCTTCTCCTCATTTCCTTGTTCGATTTCGAGGTTGAGAAGTGCAGTCCAGATGTTCATCTTTTCCTCTTCCTCACGAATATTGATTGTCTTGAGAGCGCGCTCAGCAATATCTTTAGCCTTCTGGACCTCGTTCAAGCCAATCTGGAAGGCCATATACTGCATCCAGAGAGCCGAGTTGTTCGGCTGACCAAGAAGGAGTCGCTCGAAATCAGCAACGGACTGGGGACCAGCAATGTCCAAATCTCCGGTGCGATCCACCTTGATTTCGGGCCGCTTCTTCTTCTTCTTCTTTGCAGCCGCATCGTCTTCATCCTCAGAACCGGGCTCAGCGCCAGCATTGGCTTCCAGGGTGGCACCAGTCCAGTCGAAGCCAGAGGTGCTGAGACCAGCAACAGGCTTGGTGGGAGCAGAGTCGACGTCCATCTCATCAACAGACTCCTCGTCCTCGCTCTCCTCCATGTCCTTGACGTTAGAAAGGTCGATTTCTTCGTCACTCATCTCCTCATCCTCGTCATCACTTTCATCATCATCGACCTCAACGCCGCCGTCCGTGTCCTCATCCTCACTCTCTTCATCCTCGTCAGACTTTTGGAAGTAAGAGGCCTTCAGCCCGAAATTGACCCGGCGCTTCTCTTGGTCAATCTTGAGGACAATAGCCTTGACAGCGTCGCCCTCTTCATAGAGCTTCCGCACGTCTTCAACCTTCTGGTCGGCAATCTCGCTGCGATGGCACAAACCACTGACATTGCTGGAATTGTCCACTACAATGAAAACACCGAAGTCTTCCACCTTACGGACCTTGCCAGTGACCACCTGCCTAGGCTTGAGGTCATTGAAGGTGGTAGGCGGGACATAATCCTTGTCAAGCATGGACGCCTTAAGCGAAATCTGCACATGGTTAAGCAGAGGGTCAACGGCGACAATCTTGCCAGTGACTAGTTGGTCAACCTCAAATGCCGACCGCCAGTCCTTGATGAAGGAGTCCGAAAGGTCGGAAATACGGACGAATGCCGTCACGTTAGACGAAAGACTAACGAAGAGGCCCTTCTCAGATACGTTCTTAACAAAACCGCGCACAACATCGTTGACCTTGAGCTGTCTGATGTTGGCAATTTGAGGGTCCTTGACCGGCAAAGAGGAGCTGAGAACCTTGGAGGGTCGCAGACTAAGAACGAGCTTCTTGTTGGGAGCGTCCACGTCCAGAATGCAAACACGGACAACATCATGCTTCTTGTGGACAGTAGGGTTGGCCTGGCTATAATCGTCGGAAAACTCTGTAAGCGTGACAGGGGCAGAAACCGTTTCGCTCAGCTGGACCATAATATGGCGTTCCGTAACCTTCGTGACACGTCCTGGAAGGATTTGACCAGCTGAGAGGTCTTGAATCTTTGTCGGTTTCGACGCAGCCGCAGAAGTCGCGGTAAGATCCAATCGGTTGTTGGAGGCATCGACGTTCTTTACGCGCACCTTGATGGCCGAACCGACAGGGAAGTTACCCTGTACATTGTTGAGAAGAGACACATCGTCCGATAGATCCATCAAGTCAATACGGCCGCGAACATTGGGAGAAAGGTTGACCCAAACGCAGTTGTCGCTGATGTTGTTGACGAACGCGATGTGTGAGGAGCCGATTGTCAATTTGTCCATTGAAAGAAGATCGGAATCCTTGGTCAGGTTGACAGCCTTGGCGGTCAGCTCAAAGACGGGGGTCTTTCCGGTTCTGTGACTGATAGGAAGGAAGCGGTGGTTTCGTGCATCGTGAATACCGATGACTCTGACAGGGACATTCTGCTTGGCCTTGAACTGGCGCAGAGGATGCTTCCTATCTTTGATGTTCTCCCAGCTGTCAAATATTTCAGAGACATCAACACGGCCCTGCAAATTATCCGCCAGGTGAACATTGAGTTGGGTATCCTTGACGTGAGTGATGCGCGCGGTGGTAAGCTTGCCGAAAGTCAAGTCAGAGATTGAGGTGAGCTGTTCGTCAACAGGGTTGAGAAGGGTTTCGTCCTTTGCAGCAGATTTCGATGACGCGGCGGTAGCTGTCTTCGACGTGACCTCCTGATCATCCTTCATAGTCACAAGGAAGCGACGCTGCTGGTTGTCAGTCGCCAAAACCTTAGCGGAGATTGACTGATCGGCACGCAGGCCGAATTCAGCTGTGTTTGCCATCTCTTCCGGCATTTGCGACTTCAACAACAGACCAACCAGACCTCCGGCAAATTCTACGAAAACACGCTGACCATCGATGTGGCGGACGAATCCATTGACTGGTTGTCCTTCACGAAGGTCTTCATATTTCGCGACCAGAGAGCCTGCTTTCGCGGCTTGCAGAAGGGTGGGCTTGTTCGTAAGCGTGAGCAGAGGCTTCTTGTCTGACTTGCTGAGAACGACCAAGTCCTCAAGAGTCTGACCGACACGAATGCGCTTCATGCTCGACTGATCCTTCTTCTCGGAACCGTCAGTGAGCTGGCCGATTCTGATAATACCCTTGATGCCTGATCCCTCCAGCTCGACAGTGATTGTTTTTTCGGACTTTTCTGACACGGAACCCTTGACTACGCTACCCACTTTGAGCAAGTCGTAAGCCTCCGTCATGGCAGCACCTCGAGTAGTGGGGTCTTTGCAGGAAACGGTCATCTTGTCACTCTCTGCATCAACATTGATAGTATGGACTGTGACAGTCTGGCCAATCCGGAAATGCTCAGATGGATCTTGAATGTAGGCTTCACTCATCTCGGAGACGGGTAGGAAGGCCTTAAGATCACCATAGAATTGAACAATGGCACCAGCCCGAAGGATCTTGATGATCGTACCAGGGGCCTGTTTACCAAGGACGACGTCTTCGTACTTCGACCAAACCGGTGCCTCGGAATTGACCAAAGTCTTCTTAAGAGTGAGACGAATTTGACGCTTTTCAGAATCGGTCGACAAAACTCTCGCGGTAACTGCCATGCCTTCCTTGAACTTCTTCTCCGGATGCTGCAAATGGACGTCCGCAATGTGCGCTTCGGAGGCCAACCCGCTAATTCCTTCAGCGAGGTTGACAACTACAGCGCCTTGGCCCTTGGCAGTGATGAGCACCTTCTCGACCTTGCCCTTTACGACTTGGCCGACCTTGACGTCGTCAACGCGCAGGAATGGTTGCTCTAGAACCTTGGGCTCCAGAGAGATGATATAAAGGCCGTCGATCGGGTTATAGCCAACAACACGAGCGCGGTGGGTGGAATCCAGCTTGTAAGCACCAGTTGACTCGGACAAGAAGTCAATCTTTTTATCCGAAAGCCTCGAGATATGCGCAAAACCTGGGACGCCCTTGACACCAACATCCATGAACAGACCGAGGGTTGATTCGACCTTCGTGACCTTAGCCTCTTCGACAAAAGCAGAGATTGGCAGGATGTCGAGCGGTGCCTTGGACTCGGCGGATTGCCGGTTTGTAAGAGAAAGAACATGATCCAGCACGGAGATGCCCAGCTTGCGACGTTCGCCCTCGGGGAACGTGCAGATGATCCTTCCCCTGATCTTTGATCCAGTTTTGTATCTGTTGGTGATATCTTTTTGGCTTTCTCCAGCACCTGCGTGGATGATATCGGCAGTAGCATCGACCAGTCCCATGACCTGGCCAGCCAGACCGGTAATCGTCACTTCGGTAACCAGCATCTCCACCGCAGTACCGGGCAACAGCACATCAATCGTGGGCGCCTCTGTCAGGTAGTTGGTCTTCTTGACATTGCCCACCTTCTGGTAGTCCGCGGAGAGTTTTACGATCTTTCCGTTGGAGCTAAGACCGGTGATCATGCAGAGGAATACCGCACCCTTCTCGACCTTGCTGTGGTCCACAGTGTATCCGACCTCTTTTGCTCCCATGAAACCCTTGATGGCGCCATCGGCCAAACCCAAGTCCATGACAAGACCATGATCCTCCACGCTGACCACAGAAGCCTGCACCATAGAATTCACCACGAGATCCGACTTCTGGATGCGATTGTTTGCGTCCTTTGGGTTTACCGACAACTCGATACGCTTTTTGCTCTTCTGTGACGTCTTAGAGTCGTCGCCAACAGAAGTCACGGTGGCGCGCAGGTACTGTCCCAAGCTAAAGATGTTCTTCAACTCCAAATCATCTTCACTGGACTCCTCTTCCTCATTTTCGCTTTCCTTATCCTCACCCAGCAGTGCCTCTATCCGTTCGTTGTATTGGTCCGATACGGCGGTCAAGGGGACGAATCCGACAAGATTGTTTGGCAGAGAAAGTGCGATGTCTTTCGACGTGATCTGCGTGATCTGTCCGAGGACCATGGAACCCGGCGCAAGCTTCTTGTAGCTCAAACCTTCAATCCTGAGTTCCGTCTCTTTCTTCTCTGCGCCAGCACCACTCTTGCGGTCCTTGGACTTCCTCTTCTTCTTTGCTGGCTTTGCGCCTTCCGCGCCCTCCATGTCCACATCATCATCGCTCTCACCACCTTTGGGCGCGCGCTTGTTCGATTGTTCGAAGAGGACGTCGCGTGTAGCCTCATTCTGGATCTGCTTGTGTTCAAGAGGAGTCAAGACACTGGCGCCACCACGGGGGAACGAGCGCTCCTCCTGCTTCAACAGCGACGAGACGGGTAGAGGCTTGTCTGTCTTTTCCCCGGTCTTCGCAGGCTTCGAGTTTCCATCCTGAGGCGTGACATCGGACTTCCGCTGGCGCTTGGCGGCGCGGTCGTCGGCGGAATGCTTTTGCTTTTTGGATCCGGCGGACTCGCCGTCGGCACCCCGCTTGATTGGGGCCATGGTTAGGGGGTAAGAGGAGGCAGAGGGTGTCTGGCTTGCAGTACTCTCTTGCGGCGCATCGGCGCTCTTGCGTCCCAAAATTTTGGCGGAAAAAAGATGCGGCCGGCGGGCCGACGTCGGGAGCAATTTAAGGGCGCCACACGCAAAAACGCGGAGACGCGCCTGTGTCGCGACACGCCACGGCTGCACCTGAGCGCGCTCGGTCCCCCCGTCGTCCTGCTCTTATTCCACAACCACATCCTCCAATGCTACCGCCTCCACTCTCTCCTTGCATTTCATAAACTGGGCAAGCAATGGCCGAATCTACCGCCTTTACCTCCTCGCAAGAGACCCTCTACGACCATCACCTCCCGTCTTCACAGACATTTGCGTCATCGCCGCCCTCCCCGACGTCCTCGAGGCCGGTCCACTCCAAGAAGCCCAAGAAGCCCCCGCCCATCACGCCGAAACGCTTCAACAAGTTCTTCACGCCCCGCACTTCTTCCAGCAGCATCAGCCAGTCCCGTTCCGGACGCCAGTTACGCGATATCACTCGTAATGCCGTCAACCGTAGGCGGTCACCAAGGAGACATATAGTCTTCTCCGAACCTGCCTCTACCGGTTTTGAAAATTGCATCACCCCAAAGCTCGAGAACAACAAGAAGAGGAAGCTCCTCCCCTCTCCAGAGAGTTCGCCCGTCCAGCCTTCCCCGTCCAAGAAGTCTCGTGCTGCCGTTCAGACAGTCAAGTTTGACATCGCCAAAGATGTAGTCGACGTGGACTCTGATGCCGAAACTACCATCCTGGAACTGGAAGAAGGAGAGGAAGAGGAGGAAGAAGAAGAGGAGGAGGAGAAGGAGACGAAGGTTTCCTTGCCAATTCGAAGAGCCCCATCATCTAGTACTGCTTCGCGTCTTCTACAACGCTTGTTTGGCGGCCGGAGAGCTATCGGACGAGGCCGTGTCTACGATCACTGCACGGACTGGCAAAGCCAAACATCCAATTTTTACAGCAGACCCGAAGATTTGTATTCTTCCGGCAGTGATTTGCCTTTCTGTACTGCTAGTTGTAACAGTAAGTACATGTTTTGGTATAAACCTATTCTGCCTAAAACTAACAATTTGTGTAGCAAATTCACTTGTTGCTATTGGAGATGAGGATGGCAGTGTCTCGTTGTTGGAGTCTGCGAAAGACAGCACCCCTCCGTTCTCACAAGCGTATATCAAATTACGACCCCACAGCAATGCTGTTATGGACCTTGCCTTTTCGTCGGATGACTTCCTGTTAGCCACAGCATCTGGTGACCAGACAGGACATGTCATTGATGTCCGGACACAGCAGAGCACATATGTCATGGGCGGCCAAGGAGGCCACCATTCTTCTGTAAAGCAGGTTTGCTTCCAACCCGGCAATGACAATGTTATCGCCACTTCAAGTCGGGATGGAACTGTTCGATTGTGGGACCTCAGATGCAGTGGCTCGGAAGGAGCTATCAAAGATCTCCGCGTGGCTTTCGATGGTTCATCATCCCCTTCCGAGCAGAAAATCACTTACGCGAGCACTTACAACACGATCTCTAGCGCACATGCCGAGAGACAAGCACAGAGTTCCGCGTTCACGGTGGCGCAGATGAGCATATCGCAAAAGGATGGGCCGTGGAGGAACGAGGCTCCTGGGAGAAGGGGAGATGTCTCTATCACCGCTCTGTCTTTTCTAAATGTTCCGGGGAGGGAGCACCTCCTGTTGACCGCCTCTGAGGCATCAACTGCCGTCAAACTGTGGGACATTCGTGGGCGCTACAACCGGCGCGCGATGCCTATCTCTACGACCAGCCAACCCGAATCCCACAGCAAACACCGTCATTTTGGTATTAATAGTCTATCCTTATCTGGCGATGGTGGTCGCCTCTACGCTCTCAGTCGAGACAACACCATCTATGCTTATTCCACAGCACATCTGGTCCTTGGTAGCGCACCAGAGCTTTCGGGTACCGTCAGCAACCGCAAAAAGCAAAGCGGCACGGACAAAATTGGGCTTGGTCCACTGTACGGATTCAGACACGAGAGGCTGCACGCCACAAGCTTCTGGGTCAAGACATCGCTTCGTAAGGCCGTAGCAGACAAGACCGAAATGCTGGCCGTCGGCAGTAGTGATGGATGCCCAATCCTCTTCCCAACCGACGAGCGAACCTTCAAATGGAACAAATCCTCGAGGTCGACGGATAGTAGTACGCACTCTCATTCATTACTTTCCGATCGCCCTTCTACGAAGAGAAGTACCGGCAGCTTTTCGGCGCGCATGGCAGATACGGTGCCTATATATGACCTGGGCACTCCTTTGGTTCGCGGTCACCAAAGGGAGGTTACGAGCCTGACGTGGACGAGCGAAGGAGAGTTGGTAAGTATTGGAGACGACTACACGGCCAGGTGCTGGCGGGAATGCCAGCGCGAAGCGAGAGAGTTGAGAAACTGCGGCGAGAGCGAAGGACGCAGGTGGGGGTGTGGATGGTCTGAAATGAGGGCGGGATGGGATGACGACGATGATGACGAGTAGTAGGGGCCTGATGAAGCGTGGAAGAAGTAATGACTGAATTATGGCAAGGAGAGACAGGGCTTTTGGATGCCATGGCTGCGCAACAGTGTCAAAAGAGCAGGCAGGCACACTTGTATGATACCCCCTCGGATCTGTTCTCTTGAAAAACAATCGCAAATCGCGTACCGGGTCGTGTTGGCTTCTTGGCTTTGTAGAGGTAATACGGTGGTCTACAGCTCTGCTTGTTGTGACATGTGGTTATGTGTCGACTGAGATTGACAATCTCATTTGAAAGTCTCCTATCGACACGATTTCATCTGAAGCATTTCGCCCTGTGTCTGGAAAATATCGAATTCTGTATAGATAAAAAGGCGTCTGCCCTTACGTGAAGCATATTTCTGAGACATGTATGACAGATCCCCGTCACCACAAGAGATTCGTCAGCCACACCCGAAACGAAGCAGTCCCACAGCACAACAGGCGGAAGCAAGCCATATGAACACGCAACAAAAAATGACTGCTATTCGCAGTCCTGTCTCCATCCAAAGACAGCACCCCCTCTCTTCTACCGGCATATAGCGACGCCTCGCTCGTCCCCATAAAGCAAGCTGCCTCATGGCCCACCCCATTCTACAACGCCATCACGCCACCCAAGCCCGGGACCCCGCGCGTCACAGCAGCCAAACACAGGCGCACCATACGAGCGCTTGTCGAATCCGCGGAGCTCACTGGCAATGAGCACCCAAGCCTATTTTCCCGTCCCTGGTATTGCTCCTCAAATCGCCAAGCCATGCGCGTCTCGCCTCATTTCTTGCCCTTTTTCTTCTTCTTGCCGCCGCCGCCGCCACCACCGCCAGCGGTAGGCGCGGGCTTAGCGGCGTCGGGGTTCGGCGTGTTGGTGCCGGTGTTTTGGTCGGTCGGGGGCGCGTCGGGCATGGCGATGTCTACAAGGTTAGCATGGTCGATGCAATTGCAATTGAACAACATACCCTCGGCGACGTCTGGCAAGGCGGCCATGGACCTCGCCAGCTTCTCCAGGCTCGCGACCAGGCGGCCCACCTCCTGGGCCTTGCTGGTCTGGTACTTTAGGCACACGCCCGACGCCGGGTCGTACGTCTTGAGGGTGAGGGCGGCGCGCGGCGTCGCGGGGGCGGGGGCCTTGTCGGCATGGGGCGCCGTGGCCGAGGCGTCGCCGGCCGGATCGCTGGTGGCGGATTTGCGCACGCGGTCCTTGGATTCCTTGCGCTTGATGATCGAGTACTTGGTCACGATGCGGGCCTGCGGCAGCGGCGGTGGTGGTGTTAGCGATTGGATAGATAGGAGGGAGGGAGGAACATACGGTCGTGGGCCGGGCCTTGAGCAGCAGAGCGGACTGCTCGTACCACTCGGCGCTGGAGGTGAAGTAGGGCATGACTGGGTTGAGGATGGAGGAGCCAAGTGCCCGTGTGAGGTGCGTTTTCGCGGGGTCGGCGGTCGGCGGCGGCGGGTCATCGGGAGAGGCGGTGCTGTGGCTGAGGGATGTCTGCCTTTGGGGGCCGCCTGACTCACCGTCACTGACATATAAACAACACTTGGGGACTCCACTCTCCCAATTCAAGAGCTAGGAACACCATGGGTGAAATTCAAGACGAGGCCCAAGACTTGCTGCGCCGATGCAACCAACTACTCTCCGAGCTCGACCAGTTCGAGCAACTGCTCACCGGGACCAAAAAACCTCCCGTTTATGGCCACCGCACCCTGATGCAAGACACCCAGGCCGAGAAGCGCTTCATCGAACGCCTTCTACTGGACTCGCCAGAGAGCGGCGGCCGCATCAAGCACCAGCTCAGCTCGACCAATCTCGCCTCCTACGAGGCCATCTGGGCCACCGTCAAGCAGTGCCGCGGCCTGGTCGCGCTGCGCCAGACCTTCTGGCGCAACCCCTCGGAGCCCAAGCCCTCGCATCGCGGCCTCTCGCCTGCGTCCAAAGCAGCCGCTGACCGCAAGAAGACGCGCGACGGCGTGCTGGTGGACGCTGTCGTCGAGGGCGGCGCCGAGTGGGTCAAAGTGTCGGCCATCTCGGAGCGGCAGCTCATCTTCCAGATGGCGCGGCAGGGCTGGCACAACGACTCGGACAGCGACAGCGACGACGAGGACTCGGGGCGGCCTGGCCCTGGTGCTATTGACTTGGATGACGACAGCGACGACGACGAGGACGAGGTCGGCATCGTCAAGACGGCTAGGGCGCTGGCGCGCGCTGCCCGCGCGAATAGATACAAGTACCGGCACCCGCGCGTGCGCCTCGTGCTGGTCAAGATCACCGAGGGCCGGATCAAAGAAGTCGACGCCCTCCTCGCCCGCATCCGCAGCAGCACCGGCATCGAGCTAGAAACGTCCTCTACCACCACCACCTCCTCCTCCTCCTCATCACCCGCGCCCTCTCCCTCTCCCTCGCCCACGCTCACCACCCTCCTGCACGACGCCACGCACGCCTTCACCCCGACCCTCAACATCGACTGCACGCTCCTCGTCGCCCTGGCCTCGGACATCTCGCACTCGCGCGTCGCGCCCCAGCCCTGGTACCCGGGCGCCGTGCGCGCGCAGATCCGCGACGAAGCCAGCAGCGCCCTGCTGCCGCGCGCGCTGTACCCGGCCCTGGCCGGGCGCCAGCTCGTCTGCACCGCCGCCGCCGCGCGCCGCATGCGCGAGATCGTGGCCACGATTGGCACCGAGACCGAGGTGGCGCGCGCGGGCATCCTGCTGGACGGCGGCGGCGGCGACGAATTAGACGCAGGCGAAGCAGTAACGGCGGCAGAGGCAGAGGGCGCGCCGCCTTCCCTGCTCGACCAGCTGCAGGCCCTCTCCATCCACGCCGTGCCCGCCGACCTGCAGCTCCCCATCCGCATCGTGCAGACGCCCTACGACGACGCCGACCCCTCGGCGCAGGACCCGGACCCGGCGCTGCCGCCCGTGGCGCGCGCCGTCGCCGCCAAGCTCACCCCGATCAACCGCTCCATCTTCCTGTACGGCTGGGCCGTGGGCGCGACGACGCTGTCGTCGAACGGGACCGTGGCGCGGCAGATTGAGGGCCTGGTCGAGCGGCACCGCACGCGCGACGACGAGGTCGGGCCCGACGTGTGGGTTTGCCCGGTGGCGAGGAGCTTGGTGGCGAAAAGGGGGAGGCGGGAGGACAAGGAGGAGGACGGAGGGGAGGAGAGCGATGGGGATGGTGCGAGTGCGAGTGGGAGTGTGGGTGTGGGGGAGAGGAATAATACCAAAGAAGAGAAAGACACGGGGAAGAAAGAAGCAGAATCGTAACCATAAGGAGTTTCGAGGGATTATCGAATTAACATTAGCGGGCTCCAACTAGCTAGGTAAAGCTAGCTAGCTGAAGAGCCGCGGCGTATGTATATACCCGTCATATATAACCGGTGCTGTTCTATCGTGTGCGGAGAAAGAAGGCGCTCATAACATGCGGCTCGTGCAAAGACGGCCGCGAGAAATCCAAACAGATCAATCCACAAGCATGTCAACCATCATCATCACAACCGCTTCCTCAAATTTAAACGTGCACGACCTTGCCGTCGTCCTGCATGCCAATCATGGCGCCCCACGCCGCGCGCGTCGCCGCGTCCGGGTAGTCGGCGTGGAAGAGCATGTGCCTGCCGTCCCACGCGACGTCCATGCCACCGGGGGCCTGGAGGCCAAAGTCGCCCGTCTTGAGCAGGGGCTCGGGCGCGCGCTCGTAGGGGCCGTCGATGTTCTGCGCGCTGGCGTACGACACCGTGTAGTCGGGCGAGCTGTAGCAGCCGCTGCTGAAGAAGAGGACGTAGGTCGAGTTGGCCGTCTTGATCAGCACCGGCGCCTCGACAATGCCGTCGTCCGACAGGCCCGAGTTGTCCAGGATCTGCTTCGGCTCGCCAATGAGCGTGATGCCGTCGGGGCCGACGGCCTGCAGCACAATGGGCGTGGGCTTGATCGGGTCAATCGTGTTACCACAGCCGCCGTGGCCCTTGGCGTTGCCGTTACCAATGCTGTTGCCTGGTGGATGCGTTAGTTATTTGTCGCCTCGATAAATTAGATATAATAAAACTAAAGCTTACCGTCGATCTTGTAGACAATGTAGCGCTGGCCACCCTTGCCGCCGGCACCCCACAGCAGGTTCGTCCAGCTGTTGTCGGCGGCGTTGGCCAGGAAGTTGGAGCTGCCAAGGCCCCAGCCGCTGCCCTTCTTCTCCCAGTTCTTGAAGCCGGCCGGGTCGATGGCGCCGCCCTGCTCGAGCGGGCATGCCATCTGCGTGTCGATGGGGATGTACGGGCCCTTGACGTCTATGGACTTGGCCGCACCGATGCAGTGCTTCGAAGGGTCCTTGCGGCTCGCAGCGCTAAAGTACATGACGAAGCTGCCGTCGTCGAGCTGCACGACGTCAGGTGCCCACGTGTTCTTGGCCTGCATGGGGTTGGCGTCGTTGAGCGGCTTCCCAAGCGGCTCGGTCAGCGGCTCGACCAGCTGCTTCATGACCGGCAGGTCGACCCAGTCGGGCGGGCTGGGCAGGGCATCGACGCCCTCGAGCAAAGTCCAGTTCTTGAAGTCGGGCGACTTGGCCACCTGGATGTGCTTGTCGGCGCCCTGGGTGCCAAAGGCCCACCACATGTTGTCGACATGGATGATGCACGGGTCGGCAAAGTTCTGGCCCACGACGGCACCGGACGAGATGTACGTCTCGCCGTCTTGCGAGTCGGAGGACTGGGCGTCGGCACCCGCCACCGGGAGCGCGGAGCTGGGCCAGGCGAAAAGGGTCGAGGCCAGGAAGAGGAGGGCTGAACTAGGCAACATGATGGCGGAAGACTTAACTCGAAAGTAATAGAAGGCCGAAGGAAGGGACAGAGATAGAGTGGTATCTAGCCTGGTGGTCCAGCAACCAAGCACGGCACTTTCGCCGCATCTATATACCAAAGCATCCAGCTCTTCGACAAGCAGCTTGCGGGGTGCTTAATTGGGGGATTAAGGTCTGCCCCCAAGGGCGTGCGTGGAGACGCGCAACCTTGTTGGCAGCAACACAGCCCATTCTGGGTACAATGTTGGCAGCATGTGGGATATCGTGCTCCCCAGAGAGCCTCAAGGCCATCTGAGCCACGGTTGATCCGCCCTAGCTAGGCAGCGCACGAGCGCGTTGTTTGACGTATGAAAGGGATGGAGAATTGAGATGGGTGGCTTCTTTCCGCATTGGGCTCCTAGCTCTTTCCTCATGGGCCAGATGGTGTTGCGCAGGTGATGGGGATCAGCAGCGGGCCGCATCGCGCAGAAGGGACCAATGATGCTACGGCCATGGCGTGGCACGGCAGCATCCTTCTCGAAGGCCCGTTTCCAAGGCCTGCGGACCCTGGTGTGTTGGTTAGATGGTGAACTTAGTAGCAAAACAAGCTCGCCGGGCCTAAGGAAGACGCGCCACGTGTTTGCTGTACGTGGTATGTACACCTCATTGGTAATACAAGTACAGCTCTCTACCTCACGGCGACAGCTACTCGGGACCTACCGTGATGACGGAGCGACCCAGCACGGCGTGACTCGATCTCGACCAGACCAAGGGGGTTCGACGACGGTGGCGTGAAGAGGAGCGAGCAGTTGAGCAGATCAAAGGGGGGGCGGTGCGGCGTCGAGACTGCAGGGCGATCAAAAGGGGAGACGCGTGCTGCTGAGAGCCAAGACGGGGTACGCGCAACCGGGGAAAGGACGGAAGGAAGCCCACACACGAAACAAGTTGCCGGTGGTCCGCGAGCGAGTGTTCGATAATGAAAACAGGTCAGGTGAAGTAGGTGTAGCTACCCATCTACCCTAGCGTCGTCATCGGCGCCCGCGGACGGCACTGTCGCCCTCACTATATCCGTCGACCCTATTGGCGCCTCATGCGAGGGGGCGGCATGCGGCACCTCCGCCACTACCGCCCTCCCGCAAGGCTGAACCAGCCCCTTTGCGCTGATCAGGAGACTGCCTCGTCCCATTCCACCGTCGACCGTGTGTGCGCGACTTCTGGAATGCCTCGCGACCAAGCTGCATCCCCCCCCCCTCTCCGGTAGACCGGTCACGCTTGCATGAGCGAGCAGGTCCTGTGCCCCTCCGCTGATCTTGATGCATGCATACAATACAACCCGAGCTATACTTGCGCCCGCCAATTCACCCCGTCATAGTTATGGGCTCCACGTCCCCCCACCGGCGCCCGCTGCCACGTCGATGTGGGCGCCTATCGCCTTCGTCAGTTGCTTAACGAAATGACGGCCTTCGACTTAAGAAGCGCATCCTAAAGCACATGTCTGCCGTCCTCATGCAACCATCCTGTCTCGTGAACCAAGCCGTCGTTTATCGACGCAGTGGTAATACTGAGTTTGCCTAGCTTTACACGCGAGAGAGATAAAAACAAGACACAAGCGTACTCAAGACATCCTCATCATCACAGCCCATGGAACCAAAAAGAGACAAAAGAACCATTCCGTTGTTTATCCGAGACGAGGTGAGAAAGCGCAGAGAAGCGGTGCCGGCGGCAGCCGCAACTGCTCGCCTTCATACCACTTCATGATGTTCTTCCGCGCAGCGGCGACAGAGTATGCACCATGCTCCTTGATTGCCCCGCCTATCCTCTTTCTTGTCAGAGCCATCTCTTCTCGCTTTCTGCTATGCCCAAGCACGCGAACGGAAGACAGATTCAAGCTTGCAAGATTGCTTATCAAAAACCCAAAACAAAGGAAAATGAGAGAAGAAGAAGGTCCGCAAAAACGCACACATAAAAAAGAAAGATAAAGGGAAGAAAAGGGGGCTTGACCTGCAACAGAGATCCGCCGAGAGAAGGTCAACAGAAAGCTCAGTAGCATAATTTTTCCATGGCTAGAAAGCAGAAAGGAGATAAAAGAACCAGAAGAAGAAAAGAAAAATAAGAAGCAAGAACAGAAAGCAAAAGCTCTGCCTCTCCCAGCGGCAATGAATAGCAAAAGGACGGATGACGCAGGTTCAACCAGTCCGCCTCTCTCCTCTTTTCGTGTCTGTACCGGCCGTATTGGTCCTGTGACTGCCAACCGAACAAAAACGCCTTTCAGCCTTCCGGAAAATGTGGGTTGTTGTTGTCGTCCAAGTCTGCGTCAGTGATTTGATTGTTGATTTGCGATCGATCGTATTAAAGAATAAGATTAGTTGAGTCCAACTATGCGAAGGGAAGAAGAAACAGGCGCTTGAAAAACTGGTTTGAGGAGGGTATCAACGATCGGTGGCGTAGATGTGCATGTTATGTAAATAGCGGTACCGAGGTGCGCAAGAAGCCCAATGGGTCTATTTCCAAGACAAACGGACCTCCGCGACTGCTTGCTCTCAGGTACGCGCCGTGAGCCGTTGCCAAGGGGCCTGGGCAGCCGGCTATGAAAACTACATCGTTTGTTGTTGATGATTCTCTGGCGACAGACTTGACGGATCAATCGTGCCGAAGGACACGAGATTCGACATGTCGAGGTCTTCAATGGCGCTGTCGTCGAGCGGCGACCGGAACGGTAGCGAGAGCGACTGCTTCGAGTACATCTCACTCAACGACATGCCATCGTCTGACACTGCGCTCTCGTGCGCCATCGGGTACAGATCGGCGGAAGAAGCTCGGCCCAAAGAGGTGAGCGGAGGCGACTGATTCGCGATAATCGGGTCACCATGACTCATGGCGGACAGTGGGGACACGGACGCTTGAGGGATGCTCGACTGATCGGGCAGAGGAGAGAGGTAAGGCACGCTGTACGGTGTGCTGAAGTTGGCGGCCGGAACGTTGTCAGGACCGGGATTCGACGTGAAGAAACCTGGCGTGCCGTAATCGGACGGCGAGTTGGCCGTGGTAGCGGACATCGGGTACTGCCTGTAGTCCATGCCGTAACCGGCCGAAGTGTCAATGCTCAACTGGGGTCCAATCGGGCCGTTCATGTTGTGGTGCTGAGGTATCGGCGCGAAAATCTCCTGCTGCGGTGTGTAAGGCGCCGCAGGATAGGAGGACGGCTCGGGCTGGATGAGGAACGAAGGCATGGGGTTTTGGCGCAGCATTGAAAAGTCCATTGCAACTGGCACCGAGCGACTCCGCTGCCTCTTGTGTCCACGTTGGGGCTGGAGTCCGCCGCCCATTTCGAAGGGGTTAGGCTGGTGGTACGCAGACGCGGGATTGTGGGGGTGGACAAAGTGGTTGGGTTGCGAGGCGGGGCGGTGGTTGACGGGAGAGACAGGCGCGGAAACAGCGAAAGCATTGGGATCGAAGAAGTTGTGCCTGTTCTGGAAGGACTCCAGAGAGACGAGCTTGGCGAGCTGGCCGCTGAGGACCTTGGGGTGACCACCGAGGTGGTGGACCAGGACCTGCGAAGCTTGCTGGTCCTCGGTGAAGTCGCCGCACTGGTAGAAACCACCAGATCCGGAGGAGTCCATGAAGAAGTTGGGCGGCCTCGTCAGCTCTACAATCAAGCCGCCGGGCCTCTGCGAAGCGCCCTCGGCGGCGTTCTGGTCGCCAAGCTCCAGAGAAATGTTCTTGATGTACGAGAAAGGATACTCAATCTTGTAGCCAGCGGAGTCGTTGTTGATGTAGTAGGTGACGCAGCACTTCTCGGGCGAGTAGAAAATGACGAGGTCCATGGCACTCTGGCCGACGCGGCGCCACGAGCCGATGCTCAGAGAGCGGCATGCGAAGTGATGGATGACTGATGGCGAGTAAGTATGCGCGCAGAGGCAATGCAGCATGACCAGACGCGATGCGACTTACCGACTTTGGAGGAGCTGGTCTCCGTGTTCAGCAGCATACCGCTACCGTACGAAGCCATGCCGCCGGTGCGACCGAGAAAGTCGCGGCCGAGGCCCTTGCCAGACTCCATGGCCTGGAGCGCCAGGTAGCGGCGCATCGACTCGGGGATGTCATTGCAATCCTCCCCGCTCTCAATGCTCTTCTTCGCAATGTTCTTGATCTTGGCTCGCCTGCGGGTTAAGTTAGCAAGGCCAATGGGGCGGCGCCTAAAAAGGAAGAACAAGGTCGGCGGGGGGCACATGCCTGTTCTGGAACCAGATCTGTACCGAGCGCTCAGTCATGTTGATCTCCTGCGCGATCCTCTCGCGAACGATGGCGGTGGGGGTGGGGTTCTTGTTAAACTCCATCTCGAGGGTCACGAGCTGGTCTTGGGTGGCGCGCTGGCGCTTCTGGTTCTTTTGCTGTTGGGTGAGGGTGCTCTTGCGCGGCGGGCGACGCGAGGCAGAGCTCTGCGTGGTGGCCGAAGCGGCCGGCGATGGCGTCGAGTTCATGGTTGGCGCGCCGGCTGACTGCATTCGGGGAGCGGCAATGTATATGGACACGGCAGCAGCGGCAGCGGCGGGGACGGGGCGGGGATGGTCCGGGGCCGAGCGAAGGTGACGGGCGTGTCGCGACGTTCGTGAGGGGGCAAAAGGACGTGGTTGGTCAAGAGGCGGTGATGGTCCGAATGAATGTAAAGGCTCAGGAGAGCATCCGGCGCGGGATGGGTACAAGGAGAGGAACCGCGAGAGGTAGGGATGTGCAACGTGCGGCCAGGCGAGCAGATGGGGCGGAATCAAAGCGTCTCTGACAGGAAGAAGAGGTGAAGATGGTTGGCCGTCAGAGGGGAGCGATGAAGCCGAAAAGGATCGAGGACCGGAGGCGGTGGGCAGCTGGGTCTAAGGAGGGGACGGGCGGCGCCCAAAATGAGTGAACAGACGGCCGAAAGGAGTGACGGCGTCGATAAAAAAACAGCGACAGCGAGAAGAGAAGGTGGTGGAGATCGCACCTTGGTCGGGATGACGATGGCAGCGAAATCCAGGCTGGTATGGATGGTGAATAGGCGTGTAAATGAAAGACGCTGGGGCTCGCGAGGAGGTTTGATGTTAAGGGGGGCGTGGCTAGGCTGCGTACGGAGGGAGAAGCCGACGACGACGACTCGCGCGACTCGGTGTTACAGGAGTGGCCCCTCACGCCATGGCCACCGCGGTACGGGGACCAGGGCGGCCGGCGCTGATTGGTGCGGCGGGGAGGCGGCGAGTGTATAAATATCTCACTGGGCGGCGGACGCCAGCTTTTTTTTTTTTTTTTTGGGGGGCACTTGTTGACCAGCAGCAAGCAGTCAGCAGTAGCCAGGGCCAGCAGCATCAGCAGCATCAGCAGCACCAGCACCAGCACCAGCAGTAGCCAGCCAGCTAGCCAGGTATTCATGCATTATTTTCTCACTCACATACACACACATACACAATGCAACCCGGGGTGTGTTGTTGTTGTTGTTGTTGTTGTTGCCATAGTAGTTGTTGGTGGTGGCGATAGTGCGTGTGATGGTGATGGTGGTGGTGAGGGTTGGTGGTGGCTCTCTCACTCTCACACACACACACTCTCTCTCTCTCTACTCTCTCGGTGGTATTATTTTTACCTACACACAAAAGTTGGGTTGGGGCTTGCACACACACTACGCCCTAGGCCCGGCCGCTTCTGCAGGAACGCCCGGCGCCCGCCGTCCGACGACCCAAGGGGGAAGCCGCGCTAAGCCCCGCCAGTCGCGCGATTCGCCGCTTTCTGTCGCGCCTGCTGCTGCCTCTGACGCGCCCCCGCTCCCCCTGTCTAGCAATCCAACCAATCCTTCCCCGTTTCAACGCGCCTTGGCAGCTCGTGTCATGCCTGGGAAAACCCGTGCTTCCTCCGCCCCGACGGGATCTGCGATCGGGCTAGGATGAATACTGCACCTCGACGCCAACCGCCCGAAAGATCTGCTCCCGTCGTTTCAGGTCGAAGCTGGCGCCCAGGGTGAACAGGAGCTCCTTGATGCGTCCCTCCCACAGCACTCCTATCCGCCACTTCTGGTCAACCCGGGCCTTGATCACGCCCGACACGTCGTCGTCTGCCGCCGTGTGACGTTGCTGTTGTTGCTGCTGCTGCTGCTGCTGCTGCTGCTGCTGCTGCTGCTGCTGTTGCTGTTGCTTCCACTCGGGCCGGATCAGCCGCGCCGCCCATTCTTCCACCTCCGTCTCCTTCCTGCGTTGCCACAGCTCGCAGCCCAGCTGAAGATCGCTTTCGTAAGAGTAAAAGTTGAAGTCGAAGCGAGAGCACAGCGAGACATTGTGCCCCGCTTTAACCGCGTATGTGGAAGACAAGCTGCCCATCAGCGGGTTCAGTGTCAGCGTCATCGTGTAGGGGAACCCCGTGTGTTGCGGCAGCGTCGTGAACCTCAGACCAGTGCTCATCCCGCCGCTTTTGTTCAAAATGCCGTAGTAGAGCTCGGCACCCGCGCTGAACATGCCGCTGACACGTTCCGGGCTGAGAGTCTTGGCTTCCTCCGCGGTGGGGTTTCTCGGATCAGGCCCGAAGTTGTAGAGGCCGCGAACCCCCAGCAGCGCGCTGTCCGTGCTGTACAGGTATTCCGTGCTGTACTTGCCATAGTCGTTTTGCACCACACCGAGAATCGTCCCGCCATTGCTCACGTTGGAATCGCTGACGCAAGCAATCCTCAGCTGCCGCGTCGGTGAGACTCTACGAAGGTACAACGCTTCGAGGGAGTTGGTCGGTAGGTAGATTCGCCCGTAGAGCGCCGTAGCTGGTCCCATGATCAGTGTCGCGCTTTTGCCAAGCTGTAAGGCCACTGCTACCTTTCCGATCTACCCGCCTTCCCCCGTGCCATATTTCCCACCACCACGGCTCATCCGGCCTCCTCAGCTCTTTCAAGTGGCGATAGCCTCGCACGAGGTGGTGCAGGTCTATATCATTGCTCCTGGACTTGGCATCGAGCGCCAGAGACGAATAGAGGTAGGAGAGAGAGCCATCGACGACGCCAATGGTGCCGATGGAGTATGACGTGGCGAAATTGGGCGACGAGAGGGAGGAGAGGTTGAGGCACAAGCCGCGAGGCGTCTGGAAGTCGAGGAGCGCTGGCAAGTTCACACGTCAGATGGCGGCGTCGGCGGTGAGAAGCGTAGGGACATAGGTACCTTGGGCGGTGGCCGTCAAGTAGGAGTAGGAGTTGTCATGGTTCCAGTGCGTGGCCTCGTAGAAGGCGTTTTGCACATAGTCCATAAACCCCAGCATGTCGCGCGCTCACCATGATGCCAGCGAGCAGGGTGGGTGTCGAGCGCGGCAGCTTGGGCTCGTCTAAAGCTGCGGCCGCGGCGCGCAAGACCTCGTGAAAACTTTCCCGCGCGATAAGATAACAGGAAATTTCAACTATCAACACCATCGCTCTTTCCCATTTCTCGTGCCCATTTCACCGCCAAAATGCCCAAGTCGAAGCGCGCCAAGGTCGTCCACCTCTCCAAGGTCGAGAAGAAGGGCAAGGAGCTCTCTGAGCGCCTCTTCGCCAATGTGCGCGAGGCCGCCGACGAGCACCAGTATGCCTTCGTCTTCGACGTCGAAAACATGCGCAACAACTACCTGAAGGAGGTGCGCGCAGAGTTCTCCGATAGCAGGTGTGTGCCTAGCCTCCTCCCCTCCGCTGCACCGCATGCGCACAGGCGGCGCTGTAACAATCTCTCACTGACTTGACCGTGCGTAGAATCTTCTTCGGCAAGACCAAGGTCATGGCGAAAGCCCTGGGCACCGACGCGGCCTCTGAGCACCTTCCGAACCTTCACAAGCTGTCGGCGCACCTTGCCGGCAATGTGGGACTGCTGTTCACGTCGCGCGAGCCGGCCGAGATCCTCGAGTACTTTGCCAACTACGCCCAGACAGACTTTGCGCGCGCGGGCGTCGTCGCTTCGAGCACTTTTGTCGTGCCAGAGGGTGTGGTTCACTCAACCGGTGGCCAGGTCCCCGCTAGTGAGGACACCCCTCTGCCGCACCCCGTCGAGGTTACGGTTCGCAAGTGGGGTATGCCCACCCGCCTTGACAAGGGCAAGGTCGTCCTTGACCAGGAATACACCGTCTGCAAGGAGGGCCAGACACTTAACAGCCACCAGACTGCTCTGCTCAAGCTGTTTGGCGTCCACATGGCCGACTTCAAAATCCAAATCAAGGCGTAAGTGGTCCCCCAGTCTACTCTGGGCCTAGAGAATACAGCATATTAACGGCTTCCACAGGTACTACAGCGCGGCCAGTCAAGAAGTCACAGTTGTCGATTCCATGGAGGAGTAGGCGATTTCGTTACGCGTGTTCAGCTCACTGAGAGCGTGTACTCTCATGGAAGCGGCGTTTGGGAGCATACGGTGTTGGGCTTACAAAGCCAGTCATGGGATGGGATCGATCTTCGTCGTTTGCAAAATATGGAATAGCCTCAAAAATTTAGAAAGGAGGCAGAATATATGTCAATTTTTCTTGTCCATTCACGGTCCGATTTTTAATTATCTTTCTTTCTGTTGCCTTGCACCCTTGTTGGTCTACATTGCAGCACGCGTGTAGCAACGATGCTACGGCGTAAGGAAGCCGGAATTGGCCTCTGGCAAATTGAACGAGCCTTAGTAAGGAACGAGCCAAGGAAACGAGTCGAAGGAGAAGACAGTGCTTACATATTAACTTCCAAAGCATTGATAGTAGTTTTTGGCGCAAATTCTGCTACCGGGTGCGCCCTCTGCTGGGACCTGAAGGACCAAAACCTTCGGATTTCATTGAAATCTGAAACTCAGGCGGTGTCCTTTGAGAATTGTTGGAAACTTCTCCAACTTCATTCCGCACCTCTGAGACCTGCTTCGAGTTCTCAAAGTTATAAGTGACGATAATGGCAAATATATACCACCCGGATATATACGCTTCTGGTACTTCGGAAACCCATATGGGTAATCTAGATGTTCCAGGATGTATTCAAAAATCAAAACTACAATCTCGAGGTAAGCTTATTTCCTCTATCCTAGCCTTTGTAAGTAAGATGCGACATCTTCAGCTCTTTTCTTCATTCTCATGGGGACGTGCTGTATGTGTTTCTATATTAGGTTTGTTCCCTTTGGTTCAGTCTCGTTGTGAACTTGTGCCGACCATCGATTATGGACTCCTCGCAGCTTCCGCCACCGACGACGCCGACGACACGTCTCGGTTCCTTTTTTTTTTATCCACTCATGGTTGTGAATTACACACTTCGGCTTAAAAACTCAATGTTAGATTTTGGATTTAGGCTCAACCCACATTCAACAGCCATGCAGCCCAGCATCGTCCCCATAGATAAATCACTATCACAGTAGGAGTACGCACCAAATGGTTCTCACCACCACTACTAACCACTGTACCCGGTCATCCCACATTTTGGGCTCCTTGTTATAAAGCTCTTGACGGACTTGGGACAGGTGGTGATGAGGCGAGGTGCTTTAGCAACATCATTGTGAAAAGCATTTTATTTGTACTGCGAATTCAATACATCTACAGTAGATATTGGTTTATTGGCGAAGACTGGAGATGACTTTAATTGCACCGGTATCAAAATTGGTCACGATTTACCCTAATGATCGAAGTTTTACCGGATACGCTCATCTCAAACTTCATAAGATGATTAATGTGCAGCAAAATACATAGTTGACCGGATACTCTTGTCGCCTTCAGTGTAGCACCCTAATACCGCATGCTGTCACTCACTGTTATTGATACGGCGAACGGGTTATACTTTATGTACCAGTCATGGCTCCTGGAAACATGCACACACTGAAGAAACATGGTGAAAACCAGCTATAATAGAGCTGCAAATTCGATAGAAGTAAGTCCTATTTCGTCTGCTAAAGAAGTGGGATCGTAACACTACATAAGTATGTTCGTATATATCAAAGAACACGGTATCAGAAGTAAAAGTTCTTTAGTTATTTTACTTTCAATATCCAATTATTACTTAAACAATGTCTATATACACTTGTAGAATATATTAATACATCTTGCCCTTGGGTTTTAATCCGGCTACAAGGCGACTTTTATATTTAATTCGTTTATTATCTGACATGCTATTGCACTATACCTTACGGACGAACTAAATCAATTCCAATCCTATAAAGTAGATGTCTTTAGTTCTTGTAATAACAGATTGTTATTAAGTATATACACGGTATACACTAATAATTAAAGAGTACTATATATATAGAGTGAATTGACGGTGTGGTTAACCGGTCTAAATCCTTCTAAGTATTACTTCGTACTTTATTTATCTTACGCATCTTCCTATAGCCTAGTTTATAAAATCTTGTTCGTAGGTAAGAAGCTTTCCTAGCTCTAATGTTTTTAGTGTAGTCGTGCTGTCTACGATTTAAATTTAGCAGCGCTTTTCTTAGCTAGTAGGTAGCTCATAGTATAACTCCGGGCTAGTAGTAGGCAAGCAAGAATAAAAAACCAATTCACAGTTCACATTCATTCCAATTTTCAATTCGTTACCTTCTGTCGCTATAGACCAATCTTAATGTCCCTGAAGGAACCACCTCTTGTATCCCTATACGCCTGGGTCAGTTAACTGAGCAACTGTCAGCTGCGCCTACTGGTGCTATTGCACTATTGCCCCTACCCGAACCACTGCCCTGTTGCTACAAGGTGCTGCCAGCGGTGGTAGCGGCAGTACATTATACAGTACAACAGAGAGTGAAGGCTACACCGCCACACTAGGAGCTACTCTTCACAATAAAGTTAAAGATCGATGCCACTGGAAGACTATCACTTACTTGTATTATGTTTTTCAACAGTGATAATAGATAATAGGAGTACCAGCTCCCCGCATCTTCGTATGGGGCGGTAAATTGAAGCATGAACGCACACATGCCTGCAATTTAACAGTGGTCACAAGCCATCCTTCTCACTATACCAGTCTATTCTTTGTAATGAAATAGATCTTTCTCTTGCTAAGGCTGTTGGGTTTACATAGCCAAAGATGATGGTGACACGAAAGACAACGACCTTCCGGGTCGCATATGGTTGGTATTATAGCAATTCCACCAAAGCTCCGGTTGCAACAAAACATTTGATAGGGTACAACCCATGAAATAAATGTATAATATGGTATGGTACGTGTTGAGGTTCAGTGGATGGATGGAAGCGCAGTTAAATGAATGTGGGAGATAGGTTCATTCGAAGATACTCCGTATTCCTAGCAAGAACCTTCCGCGTTTGACGTTGTTGTTCCTATGCAAAAGATAAGATCTTTATGAGATAAGATATTTGTAACGCCCTCGTGTGAACGGACTCTTATCATCTGCTACGATCTGTGGTAAACTGGTATTGAAGTGGACTCCTGGTATTCTTCTGGTACTTTGATGCATAAGTAATTCCACGAGCACTTTGAAGCATCACTTCACGATTTCTTTTTTTTTTTTTTTCTTCACCTACCGGCCAGGGTCCCAGCATGGATATACCGGGCCGTCCCCGCCTATCACGCCATGGCCACTTTCATCGGAGGACCTAGCGACGTCGCTCTGTTATCCACTAGGGCATGTTTGAGACATCAGGCACCCACTGTTGGACAGTGGTGAGTGGACCCGTTAGCTTCGTATCACGGTAGATATGTATGTTCTTAATGGACCTGTACCTGCAGCCCACTTTTTCCAATATTTTTGGTCAACTTACCAGAACATGCGGTGATCAATGCGACCTAGATAGTGACAACTTCGACCGCACGCCACGAGCCTCAACAACATGGGTCGGAAGTCTTTTTAGCCGTTGCCGGGTGATTGTGCATATCGGATGAACACATGCTGCATGTCCGGTGAAAAGCACTTCAGTCTTCCCTCAGCTGCAGAAATGCCGTTGTGGGTTGGCTCCAGGACTGTAGACGATAGCACCCAGACAGAGTAAATGCTAGCCATCCTCAAGACGCCGGTACCCTGTACAATGTGATGAGAGTCGGCATATTGATTGGCTGTATCCTCAAAGCGGATGCAGAGGAACTTGTACACAGCACTTCCCAGCACCGCGACGAGTTTTCCATTCCGGCGCATCTCTAAGATTGACAATGCGAGCAATGCGACACCGGAAGCCAGCATCCCGCAGTGATTGCTGCAACGTGTTGCCATTCGCGTCATCTATCTTGAGACCCAATGTCCACGTTTCTTTTGTTTCCAGCGCCTGCAGCGGCCGCAGCAGCGACACCATCTCCGGCGCCCGTGCCATGATCCAACTCGGCAGTACAATGCAGAGGCCAAAGTCACGTAAGTTGTGCATTCTGGCGATAGCGGAGCAAGCAAAAATCCAGTCGTCGGGGAATCTGTCACGGAGGTCACCGCGCAGAAAGTCTAGACTCTCGCCCGATGCGTCGTAATGGGCTAGGAATCTGACAAGCTTTGCCTGCAGCTGTTCACTATCGCCGCCAGGGAAGCGCCAGTGCATATGCAAGGAATGGATGGAGTCCCATCGCGGCCGTGATAGCATGTTATAGAATAGATTCAGAGACTTTGGAGTTTTGAATTGGAAGGTGTTAGTGCCGTATAGGAAGCCGGTGGCTTCGTGGTAGCTGCAGCCGGGACGTTCTTATCAGCTTACCGCAAATGCAGGCTGGTCGATAAGACTGACATTAGGCGACACGTCTGCAGCAACGCAACACTCTCTGAGACATGGGACGTGTCTCCCAGGTTGCCAGCCGCAATGAACCTGAACTTGTTGAACGACTCGGCGAAGCTCGCACAAGCATGGCATGCTCCCTCCTTGGCCAGCGCGCAGACGAAGTGACCAAAGGCATAAACCGGCGGCTGCATGTTTTGACCCAGGTTCTTGCGTCCGCTCATATGGATGCACCGGTTGCCCAAAGCAGCTTCCCAGATGATAACGCGAACATCATACGGCAGACGCAGCAGCGACGACGACGACTGGTGGTGAGGTGTCTGGAACATGGCCATGCAAGTGTGGATACGCTCGACGCGTCTGGTGGTGGATATGATTGATATGAGCGTGATGACGTCCAGGGGAAGCCGTGCGCCCGGAGTCCTCGATACTTTGTTCCGCGACGCGCTTTGACCCGCGCCACCCCAGACCGAGACCCCGCCCGAGCCGCGACGCACTGCCGACCACATTTGCACATCCCTTTCCGACTTTGTGCACTACCCAATGCCCGCCGGATATAACAGAGGCGGATAAAGTCTATTGCGGCGCTAAAGAGCCAATGATGGGACGCCTATTCCCACGGACCGCCGCTGCAGAATGCCCTGCAGCTGCCGAAATCCAGGGCGCAGGTACTGGAACAACTGACTCGGTCGCCACATGGTTCGCAGAGGATGGGATGTAGAGGAGGCAAGGACAAGGGTGTCAACATGTCGAATCGGACCCAATTCACCGCCAGTGTCCAATTTTCATCCATCCTGGAGCGACCCAGAAGTCCAAGACACCGCTGCGTGTTCCTATCCTTCCAAGACTGGGGGAAACGTGTCTGAAAGCCCACAAATGGCCGTCGCGATGCTGAGCCGGCAAAAGTCAGGAGCACAGGAAGAACAAGGAACATCTGCAAAGGCGAAAATACCGCTACTGAAAGAGGGCCTGATTGCGCCCCCATCTGCCATCGGTTGCGGGGTACCGACTATATCTGGAAGCGCAGCAAGTGGATCTGCTTACTCTGCACCAACATGGATCGTCTCTGTCAGGATGTCCGGACACGCGGATAAAATGTATCGTCATGAAGCGCTTCGTTGTGTCTATTTGATATCATCAAAGGAAAAACATCATTCGTAACAGAAAATCATGATGCCGGACCCCTTGTCCATGCAGTACCCCATTACTAGTTCAGACAGTTGCTCCTGCAGCCTGTCAGACACGGAAGGTTATCCGTTGACCCCGCCCGAGCAATCATCCACGGGAGGCTCAACTACCTCCGCAAAAGGAAGCGCACCTTTCCTCCGAGGCCGGCCTCGTCAAATCACCCAACGCCAATATTATGCGGAATCTCTTCATGCCTGAGACTTGAGCTCGGCCTCTAGTGATTCGTGGTCTTTCTCTGTCTTCGCCACAGCGAATTCGGTTGGCTGCAGTACGGGACGCTGCTTGGCGAACTTGACAGTCGCAAGAGCAGAAGGACTGTCGCGGAAGAGCAAGTCCAGCTCCTCGAGGTTGCGGCCCATGGTCTCCGGGTAGAGGAAGTATACTGAGACAGGGATGCAGAAGCCAACGACGGCATAGACGATGTAGTAGCGGTAACCGATGGTGTCGAGGGCAACGGGAGTGATCATGGTGACGACAAAGTTCCTGTGAAATAAATCTGTTAGATGCGCGTTCATTTGCAAATAAGAGCGGCCCGGATTACTTACCAGAGCCAATGGTTGGCGGTGGAGATAGAAGCCATGGCGACACGCAGGCGGATAGGGGCAACCTCAGTGCAGTAGAGGAAGTTGGCGCCCAGGAACCCAATGGGGACGAAGAAGTTGAAAAGGTAGATGAAGCAGGCAGCAGCGATCTGAGCAGCGCGGTTTTCAGGGCCGAAGGAAGTGCAGATGCACAAGCAAGTCATGCAGAGGGACATGCCAGCACCACTGAACATGAACACAGCCCGTCTGCCGAAGCGGTCAATGGTGAAGAAAGCCACAAACGACGAGAGGAACTTCCAGGTCAGTGCACCACCGGCCAGGATGCGCGAGGTTTCGGCGTCCAACCCGAGGTTTTGCTGGAACAAGATGTTCGTATACGTCGAGATGAGATTGGTGCCGCTCATCTGCTGGTAGAACTGGAGAAGGATACAAAGACCGAAGCGGTAGAGGAGCTTGTCTTCGCCCATCTTGAGCATATCCCTCAGTGATGCCGCACCGGCACCGGTCTCTTCGAGAGAGATTTCAATGGCGGAGACCTCAGCCTGCACTTCGTAAGAGTCCGTCTCGAGGCCCTTGAGGCCGGCCAGAGTGGATTTGGCCTCATCAATCTTAGCCCTGCGGACGAGCCAGCGGGGCGACTCTGGCAGGAAATAGATGGAAGCCATCAGGACGAGCGAGAAGAAGATAGGAATCGCGAGCGGCGGGCGCCAGGTGACAGGGCCCGTGTGGAACTCGAAAAATCCAAGGTTGATCCAGGACTCGAGAGTGTAACCAACGCAGATGAAAAGACCGTCCAAAACAACGTGCTTGCCGCGGTTCTTCGCTCCGGATGTCTCACTCTGCCAAACAGGAACCGTGGCACTCAACATACCGATACCGGATCCGAGGATGGTGCGTCCGACGATGAACTGAGGCAGGCCAAAGGAAGACGTTTGAAGAACCTCGCCGATGAGGGTAAGGACAGCAGCACCGAAGATGACGGCGCGGCGGCCGAACCTATCACCAGTGTAGGAACATGACAGAGCACCGACAAGAGCTCCCAGGGTGAAGGTGGAAACGGTGACGCCCTGAATGGTAGAGTTATGACTCTTGACAGCGCCTTTGGTATTGACAGTGTCGATTTCTGGGAAAGTTTTAACCCAGTCCTCGAGAGTGAGGAGACCACCAAGACCAGATTGGTTGTAACCGAAGAGGATGAAGGCAGGGCAGACAACGAAGATGATTTGGAGGACACTGAGAGCGTGGCCGCTCAAGCCAAAGAGGAATTGGGAGGAACCCATAGTAGGTGTGAGGCCAGGAAAACAGCGACTAGCCTAAGCAAAGGGTTCGGAGGGGAGGATTCTTTATATCCATGTTTTTCAACAAGCGCCCTGGCTGCTCAACCATTTGTGGCGGCAAAGGCCCCACAATCCCGGGGTTCCATCTCGAGGCTCACAGACCAAGCGGGTCGATGGTCGGATGACAGCGCTATCGCGGAGGATACGGCATCTAGGATGGCAGTAGTGCAGCGGTGCTGGAAAGTCCTGGCAGTGAGGGCAGTCGAGACCGGGGCAGCTGGGGCGGCCGTGGTACGACCGACAGCCGAGTCGCCGCCGACGCCCTTTTAACCATGTATGCAATGGTTGCCGGCAGAATGCAAGCAATCGGGTTCCGCTTGGGCATAGAAAACTGGGGCGGACCCTTCCTGAGCCAGCCAAGAAGGCGCAAGCTCGTCAAGCTCGTCAAGCTCGAGACGAGCGTGGCCAAGCCTCCAGAGGCGGCCAGCAGAAAAAAACTGACCACACGTATGGTCCAACGCATGAGCTAGCCCTACGCGATGGTGCCAGCAGCGTGGCAATGGGCAATGGCAATGACACAGAAATTGGAGGTGTAGATATTGCAGCTCGGAAACTCGGCGTTTCGCTGACGGGCGAAGGATGGATTGACGCATGGGAACGACGTACATACGTGTGCCAAGCTGGAGACGGCTGGTGTTTGCAAACGTGAAAGAGGGCTCCGTGGGCTCGTGGACAATGTTACATCTGTGGGATCTGAGGGCCGGGATTTGTCCAAGCACTCCGCGCGCAGGGTGGCCCCACCGGCTTTCGCGGAGAAGCCCCATTAAACTGCCGATTCTGGAAACCCATCCGCCACGGCCCACGAAAACGCGACGAAAACGATCCGGAGGCGAGAGGCTGCCCATGGGGTAGAAAGTGCGGGATGACAGTGGAGAGAAGATCTTGGGAATCTTGGACTGCAGAAAGTGTAATTCAACCCCCCGAACACCTCCAACGATGATTATACCCGAGTACTCGTCTGTGGCGTCGTGAGGCTCTGCTGGTGACGGCGACTTCCGTGGTCGCGGTGAATGGGTCACGCGTGCGGCGTCGTTGCGGGTACCGGCCATCGGCCATCGGCCCTCAGCTACGAGCTCCTCCATGGAACTCCCCAATGCGCAGAAGAAATTTTTGATTTTTTGTTTTTTCCTTACACAACCAAATGTCGCGTGGCCCCCGCCGGGTCCCGGTTTCCGCAGCCTCGCCAACAGCCAAGCACTTGGCGTTGCCCCCTATGGAAATTCGACCAGACGCCTTCTGGGCTTGGCCGCCAGACAAGCTTGATAGGCGCGCCCATCAACGTTCTCACGTTTCCGCCGTTGCGGATCTTGTTTTTCCCGCCGCATGCGCCCATTGCCCACGTCACGATAGCCAGCCTTGCAACAAACATGTTCACTTCTACTACATACGAGTACGTGGCACTCTCATCATCACGGGACTTGTCGCTCGCACCGTCTAGGGCCATGTGTCCGAACCCCTCGTCATCGTCCCGCCGATCTGCCCGCGCTGAGCAATCCACCCCGGCTGAGAGGCTGAAGGCCTGAGACAAAGCGCGCGGCCATATCCCCCAGGCTGTGTGGGGGTCCGTCTGTTTGACTGACTGCCGAGCCGGTGCCGGGCCGCGTACCTGCGTGGAGTCTCTCCCACGCGTGATGGTTGCGCCTTCTCATGCCGCTACCTATCTGCTAGTAATCCTACTCGTACGGCCGCCCAACAAAATCTCCTGCCTCTGTGATAGCCTGTCCTGCCTCAGTGGCGGTCGCGGGCCGCGCCAACGGGCCGCCCAACGATCCAGGTTCTAGAACCCCTCGGAGAAAGGCACCACAGATTGTTGCACAAATCAATCGCGTACGAAATTTCCATTCGAAATCAATGCGACTCACTCTGCATCTCTCCATTCTTGCCAGACCAGGCGGGATTGCGAGGCATTTTCCGTCCGCTGCTGCGAGGACTGCGCACTCTCTTCAAGGGTCTTGCAGCGGGTGGCGTGGTGGATGTGTCTTGATAATACGGGCAGGGATTAATGATCAATGAGATGGCTGACTGGTTTCTAAACGAGCGCCGTTTACACACAGGCTGATAAGGATAGATTTTTGTGCCCCCTGCCGCTGCCGACAACGGGTTACCTGAAAGAGATGACTGATTGGTAGGGATGTAGAGCCGCCTACGACTATCACGAAACGAATTTCTTCAAAGCAAAACGTCATCCATCGCTATAGACATGAAGATCCTCTGCGATCTGCACGCCATCAGCTATGATGCGACGTTCATTCCAAGAAATGATCACGACCTGTCCAATGTTACATGCATTTCTTGCCGGCTTTAAACCACAGATCTCCGAGATGTGTCCGTCTGCCACAACGGTTCTTCTAGATAGTCCTGGAAGGTCTTTATCATTACGAGCTGGCGCTGACGCATGCAAAAGCAGTCCTCCGTTCATGCACGCTGCTTTTGACTCCTACCTCGTTCTGCATACCTTTTTGCTGGCCGACATCGGGACTTCGCAGAGTCACTGTAACCTTCAGGACCGTGTCTACACCCAGCCTGTGCTCGCTTTATTCGAAGTTCTACATGAAGGGGCATTGTGGTTGAATACCATACGTTTGTCTGGCTGCATATCAATTCCCACGTCCTCTCCAATGCTTACAGCCTGCTCCCTTTCTTTCAAATACTTGTGAATAGATTCTCGTCTAACTTTCACAATCAACAGTTGTTCATACCGAAAAATCAAACCTTCTCCCTCTCGCTTCAATTCGTTAGACATTCGACTACAAAGTTCCAGCTGCATGGCTATGTACCTATCAGCCAGTATATCCTTGCCACTCGAAAGCCGCCAGGTTGAAAACTATCGTAGGGCGGCCATATAGACCAGCCCATATACCTCACATCTGGTGATGAAGATATTGGATTCTTTGGAAATGTACGCTCAAAGTTCATGCCGCCAACCCATCCGCCACTGTAACTGTCGCCGCGAATCGTCTCAAAAGCTCTGGTTCCAGAGCTTCTTACCTATTACCCCTATTGGATCTCCGTCTCTCATGTGTAAAGTCTGGGGGAAGAGGGATTGGAAACACGTCCTTGGAACTGATCATGGTAGAAGGTGAGCAGGGTGTAAAGTGTGAGGATGCATCCAGCGGCTTTGACGGCATTCCCACACTTCAACTATTTCTGTCTGTTACGGCGGATTTGAGATCCGAGGCATAACCTTTTGCTCACTGGAAACGTACAGATGGTTTGTTGTGTTGTAATTTACAACCGTTGCTGAAGGGCTTTAGACTTTGAGCTTGCGCGCCCATCTACTTCAAAACGCGTATAACACTGGCACCAATCTCACCATCGACCGTATACCCGCAAAACACGGTGCGTACTCGCTCACACTACTCAGTGCGGACCGCTTCTCCAACATCACTACTGCCACTGCCGCTTTCGTGCGAGAAGTTGCATGTATCTGCCTCCTTCCTGTCTCAAGAGGAGGAAAGGTTGAGGTGGGCGTCCTCTACGCCTGAGCCAATACGCGCATCGCCATCGAGCCATCACATTTACTCATCACGTTTCTCAAATTCTGCTTTCAGCTACTGAAACAGTGGGGGTGGTGGTAGTGTTGGTGGTAGACTGTCATCAAATGACAGCAGAAGCAGCAGTGACAGTGGAAGTGGCAGTGAAACGGAAAGATAAAAAAGAGTTGGATGCTGATGGTACGCCTGACGCTGGATAGTGGTAGCGTTGTTGCTAAATACGGTCGGAGTTCACTGGGCTGCCGCTAACGGCACACAAGACAGCGTCAGCGGGACGCCGTGTTGCTTCTCGCTTCACTGTTTCCTTTCTAACACTACCGCCAACCCTACGTCCCCTCTCCCTCCCACTCGACTACAGTGTCGGCAGAGCTGAAGGGCAAGACATACGATCCACCCCTCTTCGACCAAGCGTATTACACCTATTGCCAGTTCCCATGCTCTTTCCATTCTGTCTTTGACTTATGGCAGCCACTCGATAAGCTTAGGCGCGAAGAGGGTTATGTCTATCCCGACGAGGTCAAAGAAGTTTGTAATCGGCTTGTGCTGGTGTGGCACTTTGACTTCGGTTAGCAGAAGTTGGTGAACCTGGCCTCTGGAACTGCGGAGCGAGTTGTCCCGACGATGCGCTACGAGCAATCTTATGAAAGTGATGGATATTTTGAATGGGGCGAAAGAGATGGCACTCCGGGTTTGTTTGGGTGAGTTGAGGGGGGTTGAGGGTGTGAGATGGAAGTGAAGAAGATGAAGAAGGAGGTGTGAGGATGATTGGTGGAAGTGTGGCGTAGCGGAGATGAGGAAGCTTGTAAGTGTGAAGGTGAGTGTTGTCTTTGATTTCGGCCTAATGCTTAGTGTCTCGTGAGTGTGAACTCTTACATTTCGAGTTGAAATTGCGAACATAAATTTTCGAGCCGCTTAAATCTGATATATACCAGTATCATGGACTCTTTGAGGACTTTCATATACATCCAAGGACTTCCAGGAGCCGGGCTCCCTGTCTAAGATTCCTATAAGTCTCATACCCTTTTGACGGAGCAGGTCATTCAGCCTTGACCAGAATCGTTATGTCCCAAGGCCCAAGTTCGGAACCCCGGGATGGCTATTCGTACAGAGTCCACACATTGACCTTGATACAAATGCTTTCTTTCTGAAGCTGGTTCCAAGGAAAACGGTGGCATCCTCGCAGAGTCCTTGGCTGTGAGCAGATTTGATTGGAGACATGGGTGGCGTCGCACTGCGGAGAGCTACTTAACGCATTCAACTCCATTTGCAAGGACCACTACTGCCTTGTCATGCAGCGTACTTCATGGACCCAACATGGACCGTATCTGGATACGCTGATAACCGAATGCCCTCTTGTAGAAGGAGACTAGGCACGCCGTGGTGTCGTTCAATATGATTGTTTCCGAGACATCATTGCTTCCTCTCCAAGGCCAATCAATACTTGGGCATGCAAAGCCGTCTTGGATCGACCGATGAAGCTTGGGGACTCATTCCTTTATGGCGGTTGTTACATAGGGTATCGTATGCTTCAAGGTTTGTCTACAATGGTTCAGAGGTCCATGAGCAATTCCTTAGGAGTAGCATTTGGGTTGTTGTAACTACCCTTTTGTATCGTCCGAGATCTAACCACCTATAGGGAAAGTCTTCGTAGATTGTTGACGAAAGACGTCGCTATCGTAATGGGTTGCTTTGTCGTTGGCATCGACGATTGGATATCCGTCTAATGCGCACCCCAGGTAGCAAGAGAAGCCATCGTATCTTCAGATGCAGGTGTAAGTATGCTTTTGGTTCTGTCCCGGCATGAATCCCGTAGAGTTTGACTGGCGACCGGAGCGTCATCAAGAGGTTCTTGGTGAAACCGATACCAAAAACCAAGGCAGATTTCATATCGGACTTAGACTGAAGCGGTGTGGTTGTTAATCAGCCTGCTGGAGGGGGGTTCATCCTTCGATGCTAGGTTTTGTACCTGGATCTTGCTTCGGAAGGCATCTGAGGACAGTGCTATTCGTTGGTGACGTCTGCGAGCATGTGCCGGACGTGGACAGAGTGGATGACCAGCGACGGACGAACCTAGCCTGGATCTCTATCTGACGAACAGCTGCACAAGTTTGTGGGTTGGCGAACTAACCGATCCATGTGTTGCTGTCGAGTCCGGCGGCTTTTGTGCCCAGGCGTTTGAGGTTGGCGCATTGGAAAACGTCAGCCACGTCAGTTGGATAGACAAAATGTCCCCGGTAACATTGAGCAAGTTAAGTGGACTCTCACTGCATGTTACGCGCTTACGGGATGGTGCCTGACTAAGAGCCAGGTCGTCGTGTTGTCCGGCAAGCCAAGAACAACACCTCCAACTTCACCGGGCGCCTCACTTAAGGATATGCGATGCTACAGGTGAGTGCTCGCACACTAACAGACGCCACCAAAGTGAGCAAGACGTCACTGCCAAGCCACAATGCATTAAAAGATCCAGTCGCGAAACTTTAAAGTAATCTAAAGATCTGGCAGAGCTGTTACGGCGGACAATTACCCTCCATTGTTAGCGTGGGGTGGTCATGCGTTCGAGTCCTTGCCAGGGAGGGGGTAGCAAAAAAGGTTGGCTCTGTAGCCCCAGCCTTTCTGGATTCATGCCAGTCTTCGCCCTTGATGGGACGCCTAGGCGAAGGCTGTCATGAATTTAGTTTTTGTCTTTTGAGTCTCTATATCTATTCATATGTTTTTTTATTTGCCGGTGAGCATTGCTAGGTGAGGTGAGGTTAGGTCCTTTTTCTCCCTGTCGATGTGTTTGCAGGTGTGAAAGGAGTGAGAAGGGAATGAGATAGGATGTTTGCTAATGTGCTGTACGTGCAAACGATGCATAGGTGGGTCAGCGCAATACCGTCATAAAAGAGTCATCCCGATCTCTGTGATTGCTAGAGAGGGTTGATCTGGTGGTGTTTCTCCAGAAAACGGCGCGCACAGTTCCCCCCATGGTGTTTGGATGTACAGTGCACATCAAAGCGCCTGACGGGCACAGTTCTTTCTCAACCAACAATACCAAAACATCCTCGATTCCCGACAACAACCGTCATAAGGGCATATATCAACGCCCAGCAGAAAGGCGATCCCGACTCACGATATATCCTGTAACTGCCAAGTCTGTCGGCGTCCTTCAAGAAGACGCCACGCGCGGCAGATGGCCCACCGACAGTGAAAAGCAGTGTAAGCCGCAGCGCTTGATGTCCGAAGTAAGATCATGCAACTGTCATGGAAGGCGCATATTGTAGGCCTTGTACCAAAACAGCTCACTGCCTTGACCGAGTCAAACTAAGCAGACAATGCGAAGACTACGCTCCATCGATCCTCAAGTACCCATGCCATTCAATACCAAGGAACCAAATGGCCCTCAGAGTTAACAACCAATGAATACTGCCTAAGCTGAGCAAATAACCTGTCTTATCAGCGCAAAGGAAGGCGGGTCACATCACTCAACGCCACTTCCCCCAACTGCCATTCCCACACAGGAAAGCACGACGCGTCGTCCACCGCGCTACGCAACACAAACTCCACGCACGCGAGCCATCCAAGAAAGAGCTTCAGAGAGCACACATTTTGCTGTGCCTGCCCACCACATCTCATCGTCAAGCCACTGCGGGCGGTTTCATCCACAGAGCAATCCATCGCTACTACGATGGCCTGCGCGGCGCAACATAGCTAGCTCACACAAGCGATGCATCTTGCTTCGCCTTTTCTTCTCTCCAAGATGTTGTACAGCGAGCAAAGCATCTACCAACCCCACCGCCACCATCGTCATTACTCGTTAGTCGACCTATAGATGTAGAGGAACTGACAATGGAACCGAGCGAAACACAGACGGGCGAAATAAAAAGGGCGAGAAGCGCGAAACTTGCAGTGGAGCAATAGAGAGGGAGGAGGAGGTCGTGGCGCGGAACGGCCGCTAGAGCAGATGACACGGAGGTCGGACAACAGAGTCAGTGGTGGTGGGTAGAAAGGATCGAACGCATGTTGGATAGTCGTGATGTTTTGTAAGGCCATAAGAACGAAGTTGCACGACGAAGCGACACGGAAGTGCTTTTGTAAATACAGAGAGACATATCTATGCCCGGTTCAAGACTTTTGGTATACAACAAGGACTCGAAGACATGTAATGACTACCTAGTTCTGCAGCATTATCAGCATCATTCTATTCTTATAGAGACACCACTTGTACATGAAAAGCTTCCTTGGCAGCTGTTCTGAGATGTGCCAATCTTTTCACACGTTCAAAGGCAGTCCTGATTGTGTTGTTGTTCACTGTCTTCGTCGCACATGAGTTATCAGGCGGAGCGCTAATAAAAGGACGGACAAGCTCAAGACAGACTGACAGATTGACTGGCCGTGACCAGCAGTATTAGGCAGACAGTGAGCCCCAAGTCCCGATGAGCATAAGCATAGACCGCGCAAGACAAGGCAAGAGAAGAGAGTCTAACCAAGCCATACAAAGCAACACCAAATAGTATTAATCCGAACTCGTAGCAAATAGGCACAAGCACAGGCACAGCCCAAGTCCAGAAACACGGAAAAAGAAACAAGAAACAAAAAGCGACAGACAGGCGTATATACACCATTTGCGTGCATATATATACGTGAACTCCATTCCGCCAGGCTCAAGTTTCCAAACTCAAGGAAGGGACAACAACCCAGGCAAGAGAGCCGAAAAGAAGAAGAAGAAGAAAACAAAGCCAAGGGCCGTGGCGCCGCCCCTATCATTACAGCCGTCCTCGTATAGCAAAACAGGTCCAAATCCCTAGCGACTTACCTAGTCCCAAGTTCCACGTCGTCTCAAACCAGAAACAGAAAAGGCCAAAGCAAAGCCAGACAAGATCCCAAGCCAGAGCCAACAGCCAGCCAAACAACGAGCAAAAAAGGACCCAGCTTCAAAATCGGCTTCAACAACATTAACGCCACTGTCATTATTAACGTCCGACCCAGAGGCTCAGGGGGGGTATAAGGTGTAGTAGTAGTCCGGCGCGCTCATAAGACGCCTCCCCCTATTCATCATCCCAACAAGCAATAAAAAAGATCCAGGGTCGCGTGTCAATGAGTCGTCTCCGTCCTCGTTGCCGTCTTCGTCTTCTTCCATCTTTGGTTTTTCTTTTCCCCGTGCCCATGCCAACCTCACACCTAACCACCACGCCGTGCCATGCAATCAGTCAATGCCCTTTCTCTCCGGTTTTCAAATATCGAGCAGGTGGCCAGGAATATATCCAGCCAGTACCGGTCCAGCGAAACGAACGAATACAACGAACAAGCAACCAATCAATCAATCAATCAAAACATTAATGTGATTCTCGTCCAATCATGCAACAACGCCCTTTCCGACAACCCAGTCGTCCGCATCGCCTTCCAGCCAATCCGTGACCCTCGCCTCTGGCTTGTGAATCCGCACGCACCAGAGGAAGTAATCCTCGAGGGGAAGCAGGTTGAGCAGCACAGCGTTGCCCGTCCACGCGAGACCGCACACGCATGCGCCTGCTACCGCGTCCAGCACGAAGTGGTTCGCAGTTGCGATGATTGCAATCAGGATTGTCAGCGGGTAAGCAACGCCCGCAACCAAGCACAACATGCGACGCGCCGATGGCAGCCGGATCGTACGCAGCATAGGAATCGGCGTGTGAAGCGTCTTGCTGCGGCGCTGGTGCGGAGGAAGTGGGATCGTCAGGATTGTGAGGCCGATGAGGAGGGAGTAACCGAAGTGGAGGGAGGGCATGGCGGCTGGAAGAAAAAGACGTGTTAGAGTCTGATGATCTCAGTGGAGAGAATTCATAGGAAGAGCTTACCGTATTGGTTGCAGAACTTGTTCTGGGTCCAGACACTGCTCTCGCCGCCGGCGCCGTGGACCGTGTCGACGAAGCCGTAGCTGCGGGCCTCGTCCCCTTCCTCGCCCTTGACAGTCTTGTCGCTCAGCAGGCGAGGCGGCATGCACGGCCACAGGGTGAAGACGACAAAGGCGATCAAGTTGCACACGGCCATGGTGCGGCGACGGGCCTCGTAGAGGCGGGGACCAGCGGGGCTTCCCTCGACGGAGCCAATCTTCTTGCCGGTCTGGCGCTCGTCGACGCGGTTGCGGGTGGTGGTGAAGTAGTATAGCCAGACGAGGAACAGGATGGTGCCGGGGATGTGGATGAACGAGTAGATGCGGTTGATCCAATGCATGAGGAAAGGATGCTGCAGAAAGTAGCGCTGGATATCAAGCTCGAAGAAGAGGTGCAGGCGCTGCTCGAGGTGGATGAGCTGCAGGGCATGGCGGCGGGCGACGTCGACCGTATCGGCGACCATGGTGACGGCCGTGAAGGCGCGGCCGAGCTGGTAGACCTGGGGGAAAGTTAGCGTCTTCGGAACCCTGCGTGGGGAGAGTGCGGAGGCGGAGCGGGACGTACCCAGTAGATCAGCGCCCAGTACCACGCCTCGACCAAAAAGGGAAACTTTTGCAGCAGCCGGCTCAGCAGGCGGTCCTTGAAGACGCGCGAGTTGGGCGATGTCACGGCGCCTGAGTAGCCAAAGAAGCGTATCTCACGCCTCCTCCATGTCGGCTCCTGCGACGCCAGGAGCGACGGCGACACGGCGCGCCGAGGCAGCAGGTCGTCGACCTCCGCCGTCGGACTCTCCATGGCCGACTCGAGGCTGTCTGGCGAGCCGCTGCGGCGGTGCTCGGACCTGACGTGGCGCGGCGCAAACATGTTGTAGCTGCAGTTGCGGTTGACCCAGGTGCCGCCAAAGAGCAGCGTCACCACGACGAGCGGTTCTATCAAGCCGCCTACGCCCATGGTTGCGACTGGTTCAGGCGGGCGGGTTGTCGAGGAGGACGGGAGACGGGCGACGGGAGAAGCGGTGGGAATAACAATAGTAGGCGGGTTGCAGCGGATAGTATTATCGAAGGCGAACGGCGAGTAAGTATAGCAAGGTCAGCAGGAACAAAGGACAAAGCAAGAAAGTAGGCAGGAGTGGGCGGCCTTCTTGTGGGTGGTTAAGCGCCAAGGCTAAAGGGCAGCAACGACTGGCAAAGCTAAAAGCCGAGATTTCCGGCACAAAGAGGCCATGCGCTGAGGTGAGATGCGTCATGCTGACAGCTCGCCGTGTGCAGAGTGTGCCCGTCTCTGGCCGGAAGTGTCGGCTGCTGCTCTCGCGCGAGCTCCTCCCCGACCGCCAAGACCCCGCTCACGATCCACCGAGACCCTTCGGATCTTCTTTCTGTCCGCCTCCGGTAGATTTTCCTTTCGTACTCGTACCATGCGGGGATCAACCAGTCAGACATCGGCACCGTCGGCTACATTCAACCTCCGAGTGCCGTGACCTGTCAGGAACAGCCCTTCCCGGTCCCACATCACCTGCGTGCATAATGTCGTTACCTACCATCTTACGTGCTTAACTACCTGTGCCTGAAAAGCTCGACTTGTGTCTGTGCGACAAACAAGACTGAAAAACCACAAAAACAAAAGACTGAACAGTCCCGATCACTCCCGACAACCTACTGCTGTAACCCACCTAATCACTGCATCGCCGCGCCAACAATCCCCACCGCAACCACAGCCCCTCTCCACCCCACACGCGCACCCATTGCCACCGCAGCCGCCTGCTCACCGTCGCCTCGCATCGTTACTGTCAGACTTCCGAGCCCGATGCGCCCACTGCCTGGCGGTGGGCCCTGATCCGGCACCGCCGCGAAGCTTTGCGTGAAGGTGCTCTGGACCCACATCGTGGCACCGTCAGCCAGAGTCACGGGAACCCAAAGCGTCGACAGCGAGAGCGAGAACGTGGGGTTGATGGTGCTGACTGTGGTGCTCATGGTGAGAGTGGCAGGATTGGCTGGCTCGGGAGCTGCGGCTGGAGCTGCGGCTGAAGCTTGGGCGGCAGCTTGTGCGGGGAATGCATCCGCCAGCACGGGCATAGGTGCAGGCATTACGACAGCGGCATTGGCTTCGCCTGCCAGTGAAGATGAGGTGGAGGTCGGTACCGTAGTCGTGAGGAGCAGGGAGGAAGTTGCATCAATGGCTGGAGTCACTAAGGTGAGTGTTGTGGAGACAGTGACAGTGCTGGAAACAAGATTAGCAGAGACGTCAGCACAAAAAGTAATGCCATAATAGGCGTTCATTTGCGCAAGGCGTAAGCTCACGCGACAGGGTCCGTCGCCATAGCCACAAAAGATGAGGGCGTGACCACAGCTGGCAGGACGGTCGTGGAGGTTGAGCCGGGGGCTTCTACTGCCGGAAAGACATCGCTTTGGAGCTCGAGGGCGACGAGCCGAGCAAACAAGAGAAGAGCAATGGCCTGGACGGCCATGGTGATGTTTGGTGGCTGGCAGGTTTGAGCCAGCGGGAGCGTTACTTGAATGGGACTTTGTAGGCCAAACGTCCTGACGAGGGCTTGTGCTGGGCAACCATCAAAGGTTCTTGAGGTACCTGTCTTTGCCTCGAAGTCCAAGAGCGGTCGATTTGAGGGATGGCCAATCATCAGGAAAGTACCAGCATCGATCGGGAAGGAGTACCTGGGAAACTAGGTAGGTAACTTTTGGTGAGGAAGGAGAGAGAGAAAAAGAAAGAGAGAGTCAGAGAGGAGGAGCAACAGTACCTGCCGACCTCGATGGCTACCTACCTACCTAGGTACCTACATACTTGGCTTTGCACCCGTGACCGTGACCCAGATCGACGCGGCAGCCACGGCCACAGCAGCCGCAGCCGCAGCCGCAGCCGCAGACGCGCAGACGCAGACGCAGACGCAGACGCAGAAACACCAATCTGGTGTAACGGGCGCGAGCAGCAGGCAACAACAACAGCGAAGCCCAACAACCAACAACGCATCTCGCACCGCATCATGCATTGCACATCTCTCTTAGTCCCGGGATAAAGCTCGTCCGCCCCCCGGCAGACTCCCGCTTCCGGGCCAATGAGCCATGATCGGGCAGCGGGCCGGGCAGTGGCCCCCGCGCGTTGCTGGCATTTTAGCATCAATTAGCATCAAGCACGGACCGATCGCAGATACGGCGATGGTGTGCATGAGACTGGCTGGCTGCAAAGTTGAAAGGGGTTAGTTGGTTGGAGGAGAGAGAGGACGAGAGCGTCAGGGTCCAGCTAGGTACACTACTGCAGGGGCGAAAATCTCACTCACCCCGACGACGACGACGGCTTCACTTGTTGTTGACAACGACTGCTACGATAATATCAACAATAATTATAGACAGACAGCACACACACACGACGGCGGCGCCGCCGTCCGCCACCGCCACCAACCGTGAGGCCAGCACCACCAGCACCACCAGCACCACCACCGCCGCACCATCACGCTGCCGAGCGAGCCCTACGCGCCTCATTCTCGTGCTCCTCCCACCGCCCCCTCACCGCCCAGCGCTCGCGCCAAACCCACGGCCCGCGCAGCAACCTCGCACCCCTGCATCTGCAATCTCGCTTCCTCGGTAAAAAAGATAGGAAGAAGAAGGCAGAAGGAAAAAAACGGCGCGGCACACCGCCTGTGGCCTCTGCTCCCTGGGCAGGCAGGCGTGGCAAGGCTGGGCGCGGGCGGCGTGCGGGAGGATGTGTTTCCCTGCTCCGTCGTCAGACAAGGCTGCTGCGCCGCAAACTGTCGTGTGTGTGCTGGCGTGCGCGGTGTGTTTGTGTGCGAGCAAAGTGTTAGAAGTAAAGCAGCCGGCCAGACCAGCGCTCGCCGCACGCCGCCCGTTTTGTGTGTCTTGTGTCTGGTCATATGTATGCGCCTCTACTCTGCTGTCTCTGATCTCTCATGTTGTACGCGCCCGCCTGAATCTTGTCTTGAAAAAGTCTCGCCTGCTACCCCGCAAGCTTGGTTCTGCGCCGCCGGGGAAGTAGGAAAAGCACAAGGCATGCTGCAGGACAGGACAGGCCAGGGCTGACCCGGCTTGTGATGTCAAAACGATCACCCATCTAGATCCGTGTAACGCGGGGGGTCATTAAAAACTATTGTTTTCTATACTGTAGGTTGCGATGTGGCCAACGCAATGCAAGCCAAAAGAAATCGTTGCCTGCCGTTGAGAAGAAGAATATGTAAAAAGAAACCAAACATGCATGCATACAAGCATGGCTGCTATACCAACCCATTGGGGTACGCGCGCGCTCCCTCCTCCCCTTGAGGCAGGCTGGCGATCAACGACGCCAGTTACAAAAAAATTTGGTAATCAATCAAAGACAAGAATCAGAAAAAAACAAACATCACGCGTGATCGCTGTGCCTCCTAACGCCTCTTACGGTCTTCCATACGTCGTCATAGTGCGCCGCGCTGGCGGCGGCGGCAAATCTGTGCTCGAACTCCCCCGCACAGCGACGGGCGCTAGAACGGAGAGAGAGGATGAAGATTGAGGCTTCGTTTATACAAGTCCAATGAGCGCCATTACGGACGCAAAGGCCACACTCACAGCCACAACGCCCATCGGCGAGTGCAAGGAGCCCGCGCTGCTGTCATCCCGCCAGTCGCTGTACACCGTCTGGTTCGATGTCTCCTCCGGGTCCTCAGAGAAGAAGAACGTGTGCGCCGTGTTGTTGCCGTCAGAGCCCGATGGGTCGGGCGACGTGAGTTGCGCAGGAATCTCGCAGATGCTGCTCTCATTCGCTCTGATTGTGTCGTTGCAACGGAGCTGGTAGTCCTTCTGGCGGTCCGTGTCGGATGAGTTGAAGTAGGCCTTGACGTATGAGACCGTGAGCAGCGCGTCTTCCTTAGGCGGACCGGCCGACCAGCCGTGGTCGCCGTTGCTCCAGTGGTTAAGCGTGAGGTGGCCGGGGCTGTTGGGCAGGTCGACGGTCATGTCCTTCATCCATTGGCCATCGGCGTAGAAGGAAACACGGTCCTCAATCCAGTCAAAGCGGTACTCATGGAAGGCCTCATCCGGCTTGAAGGGAAGCGGATAGATGTCGTAGGTTTGGGTGTTGGCGGCATCATAGCCATTGGCAGCTGATTGGGGTGATTGAAGGACGAGATTCACCGGGTTAGCAGTAGCGTTGAGCTGCTTCGAGAGGAATTCCATGTCGATCTCCTGGGTGTCATTTCTAAACTGTTAAAGAGTCAGACTCATCCTCGGCTTGAATGAAGGTCAATTGCCTTACCCAGAAAAAAGCGCCACAGGTACCAGGCACGGCCGTCAGCTTCATGGCGACACGGAAACTACCGTATAGCATATCCGTTCGGTCTGCAACGATCTCGCCCATGCCGACCATGTCCTCAACAATCTCCGAACGCGCCCAGAGTTGCATTCCCGGGTCTCCTCCGTGGATGCCTTCGCCGGACCAGTCCCAGGAGTTTTTCAATGGGTTGGCAATGACATTGGCCAAGGACGCCATCTTTCCGTAAGGTCCTCGGGCGGATTTGGAAGTGACATTGTATTCCTGAGGACTCCATCCTATGCTTTCCGAGTTGAGGGTGTCGGCATGCATGAAGTCGGTTTCCAGCAAGTCGGTCCAGACCTCGTGCGAGGCATCGGTGGTCTTGTTCAATGAGTAGCCACACTCACACTTTGCAGAGGCTGTGATACGTTGCGTTAGGCAGTCGGACCCCAAAGGCGGAATTCTCCGCGTGATGGTACCGGAGGCTTACCGGTATTAGGAAGCTGGCTTATCACGCTCAAAAGAGCGGCGGCGGAGGCGAAAAGGCGTGTCATGATGGGATAGGAGAAGGAAGGAAGGACACCAGGGCAGAGCAGGACCAAGAAGGAGGGAAAAAAAGCAAACAAGGCGGGGTATTATCTTGGGGGTCGCGGTGCTCAAAGCAGCGGGCAAGCGAGTGTGATAGGGCCAGGATCACGAGGCCGAAAGGTGAAAGGAGAGAGGACCTAGTTAAGAAGGCTCGAGCCGGTGAGAGAGCGAAAGTGCGGCCGATAGTCAGGTGTCGTATTGCCCCGTAAAAGCAACGACCTCCAGTTGCGCACGGAGGGTGCGCCAACGGCGATGCGTGACGTCGGGCGAAGAGAGCGTGGAGGGCGAAAGTGGGAAGAATCTACAGGAAAACCGCCGTGGTCATGGCGACGCGCACACGCCGGTCGCCGAGTCCGCGAGCGGGGAAAGAGCAGTCTCTGGTGATCGGGCTGCGGTGCAGCATAAGAGAAAGTCCTGGGGAAGATGGAAACTGGAGATTGAGTCGCACGGCATACGGTTACATGTACCGTAAATCCTTACCCACCTGACGGCACCGACCGCTGCCTGATTGGCCGCCGCCAGCAAGGCACGCTCGGCCCCAAAATTGCACGCGACCCACGCCCGCGCAGGGTTCCTGGAGATGAACGGTCCTGATATTGCCGCTTTCGGCCCTCGTCGCCGCCCAATCCTACGCGAATCACACGAGCCGACCGGAGCCGGGATCTACTGGTCTGCAATTTCGTATTATCACCGGGCGCTGAAGAGAGGGAAGAAAAAAATAATAATAATAAAAAAAAAAAAAAAAAAAGGCTCAACCAAAATAGAATGTGGCGTTCCCAAATTTTCCCACTTGTGCCTTCCTCCTCCTCCTCCTCCTCCTCCTCCTCCTCCTACTCCTCTTCTTCGAAAATGAAAGAGAAAGAGAAAGAGAGAGAGAAATAAACATAATAATAATGCAAAAATCCATACATGCCGTTCGTTCAGGCGGATTCGGATCGTCTCTCTCAAGGATGATGGCCAAGCGCGCGAAAAAACTCCCCACTAGACAACTGCTCCGACTCCTTGAAACGCCCGCGCAAACACCCCCGGAAAATCCGTCTTTTCCTTCAACGTTCGGCACGTCGGGACGAACACGTGTCGGCGGCCAGCTACAAAAATGCTTCAAGGGGTATCATCATAGGAATCCTGACTCAGATAGAAGTCTGCATCTTCAAGTTAGCGTGCCCTTCTGCCCACGTAGGTGCTTCTTCGGGGCTCTACAAACCTCGCTATCTTCTCGTCTTCACGCTCCCGAGGCTCCACCGCCAAACTCATGTCGTACATCTCGTGTACGTCGCCTGCCGACTGCATGTTTGTCAAGATGTAATCCTGCAGCTCCGGCACCGGCTGCAGTGGGTATGGCACGTTCTGGTACTGCTGGATGTCTCGAATGACCTCGGCCGTCTTGGCGCGCTTGGCGAAGTTGATAAGGTTGGTCTTTTTGATCAAGCCAGGGATACCGTCCTCGATGAAGGTCAAATCGGTCAGGTAGACACCGAAGAAAGGAATGCAGGGAGGGTTGGCCTTGTGCAACGTGTCTCTGTACTCGGCAAAATTCTTCGTGCTGCCCATGAGTCTCCGCATGTTCTCCAGAGTGCCCATGGTACGAGCATTGACTGCAGTCCATGTCCTGTTCAGACGGTGGATAGGAGCTGTACCCAATGCAGAGATGATGGAGGTGAGGGTCGAAAAGTTGTTCATTTGACGGCATTTCTGTGCATGTCAGTAAGCGTTTCTTTTAGACGGGCGGGCTGCAACTCACGTCGGCGACGGTGACAAAGTGTTTGATTACCACCACTCTCCTCTTCACATCTTGCTGTGTAAGAATCATCTGTGCAACCCAATTTGTGAGCTGGTTGGAATGCAAGATCAGCGCCTTGACATTGGAAGCTGGGTCAGGCTCGCCCGGTTCCAGCTTCTTTTGCCACGTCTTGTTCAAGCACTCGGTCGGCCTGATCTTGCCATAGAGCCTCGACTCGATGATGGTCAGCTGCCGAGCAAACTCAGTGGCATCAATGTCAAGGAACTTCAGCTTCTTCATGTGCTTGGGCAGAATTGGCTGAGGCGTCTGTGTGTTAAGCGTCAACACCAGGCGCTTCGTTGGCGCGTCTTGACCGCGGGCACGCTGCTCAACAGCAGTCATGAGAGGACCAGCTCCAGGTGTACTGGTGGTGGCAACATGATCCTTGGCGAAAGAATACACTCTCTGGATAAGAGCCTGAGCATCTTCGTCATTACCCTCCATCCAATAGTTATCGAACCAACTTTTAAGAATATTGACGACACGGAATCGAATGGGCTTCTGCTTCTTGTCTACCCAGAGCTTATAGTCATCCCTCGACAGACCCGCGGGCGGCTGGATGCTCCACCTCTTTACGAGCATCTCGAACAACTCATCAGCAGAAGTGAATGAGCGGAATGTGAGTAAGAAAGTATTGTTGAAAGGCGAGTCGAGACGGTCGTGACGGGTAAGCTGTTCGACCAAGCCGGCCAGTGTGCCTCCCTTGAGCTGCGGTGGATTGGGTTTGAAGTCGTACGATATTTCGCCTTCGTGGTCCAACTGGAGGAATTCTGGTATCTCCTCTGCAATGACCTGCGGCAAAACAGGCGCGGGGACTTCTCCGAAGAATTTCTTGAGCTTGGAGTTGTCTCCGCCTCTGGGAAGTTCCGGCATGTCGGGATCCTTTGTCGAGCTGGGACCATATGATGCTGATTGGGGCATAGATCCGAGCAGAGGCCTCGACCATTGTTGCGAACCAGATCTCTGGTACTGGTTATAAAGGTCGCCTTCGGTGAATCGCTTGCTGTCCAGCGTAGAGCCAGAACCGACCTCCACAGGCATAATGTCTGATAGCAACTGCAGGGCAAAGTACAGCTTTGATGTGTTTGACTCGAGATCTTTAGCGACAATTTGCACAGTCGTGATGCGATCCTCCAGAGCGTCTCCGCGGTTGGCGGCCCATTCATCACCAAGAGGTGCGGCTACAGTCTGACAGGCTATGACTAGCTCGGAGAGGAGGTCATAGACCTTTTGCTTGGCCACACTCAGATCGGCAATTTGAGGGTTCTGAAAAGTCGATCCCAAAGGCGCCAGGTTGATAGACTCGACAGTAGACATCCAGGGGCGGTAGATCTCAATCACCTTTACACCTGCTTTGCAGACGCGCTCTCCTAACAACTGATGGACCACTGGAGTGACCATCTTCTCTTGAAGTATCAAGCGCTCCTCCAATTTTCTGATGCTTGCGACAATGAGCTTTTTCAGATCTTCCAACCGTTCGATAAGCTTGTCGTCTAGTCGGGTACTCGGTTCATCGTAATCGTCCTGATCGAAAAACATGGGGTCCGTCGGATCCCGGGTGCTAAGACCGTTGTTCTGCCAGCTACCGCCCGAGTAGCTACCGACCACGAAGCCTGGGATAAGACGGGGAATGTCCTCGCCGCGCTGCTGGCGCGCAACTTCAACAAACCCATATACACCATTCAGTACTCCGTCTGCCTCTTTCAAACACTTGGTATACGAGTCGGGTGGGGGCCAGTCGGCTGCTGCAATATGCGAGGAGAGGACCAATTTGGAGAATCTGGACATTGTTTCACGGAAGTGAGGATAAAGCGCCTTGTTTGTTGAGATGATGGAGGGGTTGCCGGAATGGTTGTCTGTAGTGCCAGAACCAGCAGCAAGCAGCAAGCGCAAGTGGTCCGAAATGTCTTCCGCGCGCTTGACAAATTCTGAACGATCGCTGTTGTTGATGGCTTGACGGTACCGTTCAACGGACCGGCGCATGTCCTCCACCATCCTGTTCCATGTGAGAGGTACTGCATGAGCGTCATCGAAGAACTGCCGGGACATGGAGGTCATCGAATTGCTGAGCGGGTTGTTGGGGAATGAAGTCATGCTATTGCCGAATGACTGCATTCCTGCCATGTTGTAGGTGGGATTGAGGTGCTCGTGGAGGTCAGATCGCGAACGTGTCAACGGTGAGCTGATTGAGTCCATCGACGTTGCGGGAGAAACACCATTGGACAGCCTTCGTCTTGGCTATTATAGCATTAGCAAGCCCCATTCTACCCTCCAGCGCAAGTATGCTACCTACCAAAGAACCATGAGATGCTGACATTCCAGACGGGCCTTCGGCGTCCGAGGCCGAGTTCTCGTCGTCTGTGTCGTTGTACATATTCCAGCCTCCTGCCATGAGCTCCGCCGGCGGCCGAGTCGACTCGGGCATGAAGATGTTGGTACGGTCCCGCGGTCCGTTCTCTGACATGGACCCCGGCGTCTCCAAGGGCAATTCCATGGTGCTCACGCCGGTCAGCGTGTTGAAATAAAAGAGTCTTCCGTCCGGTGTCGCTTGGGGGATCCAGAAAGCCGCCTCCTCCTGATCTTCCTTGTCCATGCCGCCATGAGACAGCCCCGAGAACCCACCATCGTCGTCGGTATCAGAAGCTTCAGAGAAGCTCCCGAGATCTCCTCCTTGCGAACCATCCACAGTGCCGCCATCTCCTTCGTCCGCACTGCTTTCTTCTCCTCCGGCGTCGGATGGTCGCTGCACAACGGCGCAGTAGTTGCTGGGGAACCAGCCGCGCACTCCGTTTATCACGCCATCCCACCAGCCGCTCTCAAGCTGCGTAATGACTTGTATTATGTCGCCCTGTCGGAAGCTCAAGCTTGTCCGGTCGTCTGCGTCGTAGTCGTACAGCGCCCTCACGTACATGCCGCCCGGGGGTGCCAGGGTCCCTGAGTATCCGTTCATTGTGATGCCAAAGCGCCGCGCTGGCAATCTTGGAGAGCGCCTGCTTCCTCCGTCTTTGAGTCCCTGAAGCCCCCCCCTCTTTCGACTTGGGATGCGGACAGTCGGACCGAGATGAAGTTCCGCGGCGGGCGAGGTCCCTGAGAGCGCTCGGCGATGTTGGACCTTGGCCCCTGAAGCGTCAACGGCGTCTTTGGCGCGGTCGTGTGTGCGTGTTTATGAGTGCGGCCGGGTCAAGCGAAACTGCAGCACCACCGGGGGCGTCAAGAGCATGGGCTCGCGGGATTGGGCGACGGGCTGCACCACATGAGCGAGCGCAGCCAAGGGTTGCGAAGGTGCAACGGGCACGAGAGGCGGTTAGGCGCGGCAAGGGTGTATTAAGAATGGGTGAGCCAGAGTTGCTGAATGGAGCGTCTAGCCGCCAAAGAGATCGGAGAGCGTTGAGGGTCCGACCTGAGGAGACGGGATGCACGTGATTCGACAAGATCAACCACGAGAGGAAAAACCACTCATCAGCTGCCGACGGCAGTCCACTCTGTTATGAAGGCCGTCCCGCTCGTCGGCGGGCGGTATTACTATACTATTAGTCTATTACCAACGTTGCATAACTCCTGATGCTTCGGATTCTCCCGAAGCGTCCTTCTAGTGCCACCTTTCCGCTGAGAACAAAGCGTCGCGGCGAATCATGTCACAGCTGTAATGAACATTTCAAATAACGCCTCCGAGTCAGCGCCAGGAGGGGGCCACACCCAGGCGCCTCAGCTTAAACTTCGCCGCCGCTTCTGGGGAGACTGCTGGGCCAAGGCTGTTTCCGCACCACCACTCTCACTTGCGGCGCTGCGCCCGCTCTCCCTCAGCATGACCTCGTGGTCTATGCTAACTGCTATCGTGATTGATCAGCGCCGACCTAGTCCAGCACGTGGACTTAGCGTTGCGGAGAACCCTTGGGCATGGGGATCTCAACAGGCCCTTGCTCTCATGCATTCCTTGTCTGTCGGAGGGCTGATTTGTCATGGGCTTGTGTGGAGAGCCGTGTTGCCTTCTTTCTTTGTTTACATGTCTGGATGAATGAAGCTGTGCTCCGAATCCGGTTGTGGATTGCATTGGATGCGTTCGCTTGCTCTTACCGGCGCTACCAAGAACAAAGTCTTAGATCCATACTCTAGGTTTGTGCTGCTATCGGCGCTACAGCCCTGCGGAACGGCAATGCACCTACTCATGCGCCCATGCAGCCTTATTAGGTTAGCCCGCTAACGATGTCGCACCCTAAGCCACTAGACTGGTTCGACGGCTTAACTGCCATCTTCCACTGAATCGGCCTTTGTTAGTGCTGGTAGCTACTCGTGGCTACAGAAGACTTTGGTTATATTGCGGTCCGTTCAAGGGCGTATTTGATCCAGAGATGGCAGTAGACGAAGCCTCAGGTCGGCCATAGACACCACTCCCAAGGCTGGCTGCCGTGAAGACAATGTGATCGTTAAACTTGGCCTGTCCCTGAGGATCACAGGAGCTTGCCAATGCCCCAAGTATATGGCGATTTGCAAGCTAATTGTTCGCCAATCGAAACGAAGAATGACTTCTTTTTATAGCATTGAGAGCTATTGGCGATCAGCAACTGACGTTATCGATGCCATTCTGTTGGGCCTACACCCCGGCGCTCCAGTGATCCATAGGTAGTCGGCGAAAGTGGACTTCCATTCAGCTGGACGGTGTTCGCAAGAGAGCATTAGAAAACTGTAATTTGAGACATTTGCACCTGAAAACCTGCCTAATTAAGCTTTGAATTAACCTATGACAGGTGACTGGGTGGGAGTCAATTGTACGTGGTAGGATATCAATCTAAGGCTGATCAATGCCTCTAGAAAACAAAAACTTTGCTCCTCATCTGGACCGCACATGGCAAGCGCCGGCGTTGCATAAACGCCGGGGGAAAAAAATCAATACCTTGGTTGTCGTCCGTACGACATTCGATGCGTAGCAGGGGCGGGACGCCAGGTAGCGAGACGATACGTTTACCCCTCCACTGCGATCAATGACGAAGCATTCCTTTTGAATGGCATTGACGATCCCTCGGGTTTTCCTTGATACTGCTTCCATGGGGTTGGCCTGGGGCCTCTTCTAGACCTTGGGATGACGTCCTTGGAAGGCTGCACATTCTGGATTGGTGGATGAAGCGAGCAGAGAGGGGCTTGGTTAGTGCAAGGTTGTGCACCTGGAGGGTCTTGCGTTGTATCAGACAAGAGGGGCACCTCGACAAAGTAAAGTCGATACGACTAGCGAGTATGATGCGTGAGGCGTATATTGTCGCGTGGAAGCGGAACGGAAGGCCATGCGTGGAAAGAGGCCTCAAACGGCTGGAGGATTAAGCCCAAGGATGCGGTTCCGGAACCACGACATGGCTGATCAATCGACGGCGAAAAGTGGGCGCAGGAAAAAGGGGTTAATGTGTCGCGAAGCTCATTTGATGAAAGGCTAGAACTTATGCCGGGTATGACGGAAATGACGGCTACTGGCTTTACCGGTTTGATGAGGTTTGTTTTTTCCACGACGGCTTCCAAGAGGACGGGAGGGGTTCTAGCGCGGGGTGTGTGCTCTTGCAGATATAAGATAACGGGAGCCGGAGGGGTTGATCGACGTCTGCTATGAAATTGAGGACGAAAAAGGAGAGGCTGGGCGTGTCAAGCCACTCGATGGGTGACGAAGCGTGGACGGCCAACGATCAGCCACGCGGACGGGCAGGGACGGGCAGGGTGATCTCCTTGCGACGCGGCGGCAATTTCAAAATTGGCCTTGGGTCGCGGGGAAGGAGATCCTGTAGGCGGGCTAGGCGGCGCTTGTACACGGGGAGTCAGGAACAAGAAGACTGCGGTGCAGATCGCGCGGTCAGAAGCGATGCGACGAAACACGGTGCCACCAAGAGCCGGGTCAGCTCGCAGCGGGCGGTGTGAGGTGGCTGCATTTGAGGTGGAGGGGAGGGATACCGCCATTTGCAGCAGCGCGGGGAGTGGACGGCGGGAGTGGGCCTCTTAATCCCACGCGTGCACCTCAACGTCAGCCAGCCCGCACCCCGGCCGCGTCGCCTCGTGTTGCCCGTTCATTGCCTGCCCATGGGCGACGAGAATGCAGGTGGGGCGTGGGAAAGTGAGGCTGATATCCTTGTGGTGAGTAATGGCTGGTAATGCATGCAAGAGCTAGGGGCGAGCGAGCCGATGCGTGAGAAAACGCTTGCCAAGGCCTCTTGCCCCCGCGTCCAAAACCTGCCGCCTCTCTCCCTTTCCCACCCTCTCTCAGCCCCTCATTTCTTCTCCCACCTTTTCGTCTCGCGCGCGCTCGAGCGGCCCCTCCTCCCCCCCTCCCGCTCTCTATCCCCATCCATATCGCCGGCGATACCACCGTCCGGCGTCTCCGTCCTGCCCGACTAGAGACGAGCCCCGTCGTCTCTGTCGCCCCAAATCCATCCGTTCCATGATCCTACACATACGGAATGCTCAATATCCGCAATCCTTTCACGCTTTAAACTCTTCGCGCCCGTCGCCGAGTCGACCCTCGAGCAACCCCGCCTAAGAGTGCGCCGAGATTTACCTCGATGCCAGCCGCTGCCATGACCATGCTCGCATCCGGCTCGCCTTCAACAGGCGGCCGCAAACCTGCCGCCCAACCCGAGAAGAAATACAAGTGCCAGTTCTGCAATCGCGCCTTCAGCCGCAGCGAGCACCGCAGCAGACACGAGCGATCGCGTAAGTCTCCCTCTCTCTTTGAGCCCGCCCTCGCCCCCAGAGGCGAACAGCCGAGGGCCTCCGCCCGTGCGCCGCGCCTGCTGACGCCGCCCCATCTCACAGATACCAAGGAACGCCCCTTCAAATGCCTCAAGTGCCGAAGCACCTTTGTCCGTCGTGACCTCTTGCTGCGACACGACCGTACCGTTCACGCCAAGGATGGCGGCGTGCCGCTCCACAGCGAGGTCAAGCGCCGTGCCGCGCCGAAGCCCGCCGAGATGTCGCAAGCCGGTCCCTCCAAGCCGTCGATCGGTCTAGACACCGCGACCCTCGAACAGATCGAAGCGAGCAGTGATGGCATGGTTGACATTGAGACTGCTGCCATGCTGGTCACAGACTTCCACCACAAAGCCATGGCTAGCCAGGAACCAGAGCCTATGATCCATGAACCAGAAACGGTCATGTCGCCTCATGGCCCCGCGCTCCTCGAGCCCTCTGTCGGCTACCCATCTGGGCCCGTCTCCCTCCCGCAGATGCCCATGTGGGATTCCATGCTGCCTCACCCTGTCTCGGAAGGCAAATCGCACTCCATCTCGTCGAGCATGTCTGGATCGCAAGAGTCGCATATGACCTTCAACACCGCCGGCACCGTCCAAGGACATCCAAACCAGCTGGCGCCCATCATGGAGCGACAAGGCTCGGGAACTGACGGCCTCGCTCCCTCCTTCCCGTCCCTGCAGAGCTCACTCCAGGGCTCTGGCCTCGGTACCCCGGGCGCTCTGTCGCCGTATCCCCTGATGGGACCCGTCTCCCCCGTCGATTACCGCAGGTCTCCTGGCCCCAGTCAAGCATTGACCATGGCGAAGGCACCGCAAATTGAAGGGGACGAGGCTTGTGTCAAGATACTCGAGAACATCAAGCGTTGCGACAGCGAAGGAATCCTTCTGGATACCTTCCAACTGCCTAGTGTGACCTTGCTGAACAGATACCTCTCGACCTACTTCAACCTGTTCCACCACCACCTGCCCTTCCTTCATCCTGCGTCTTACAATCCCACCGAGATCTCTGCTCCTTTACTGCTGGCCGTGCTCTCAATCGGCGCCCTATACACCTTTGACCAAGACCAGGCTTACATGCTGCACATTGGCGCCAAAGTCCTCGTCAACCAGTTCCTGCAGAACAAGGAAAACTTCAGTTCGCGTAAATGCCCTCTCTGGACGATGCAGAGCACGCTCCTTAACATGATATTCGCAAGCTGGAGCGGCGATCCCAAGGGATTGGAATGGGCCTGTTCCATCAAGAGTCTGCTCGCCAACATGGTTGCCGGCAATCGCTATGAGCTCAAGCTTCGTTCCGAGGCCCGCGATGGTGCGCATCCCACGCACAAGGAGTGGATTGAAGACGAGCAATGCCGCCGTACCTATTATGCGGTGTACATTTTCTTTGGGCTTCTGACCATGACCTACAACCACACGCCTGCAATCAGCTTCAACGAGTTCGACAACCTGGAGCTACCCTCTTCCGAAACGCTGTGGAACGTGGATCCTTCCGATGACGACTCTTGGCGCGACAATCTCGCAGCTTCAAACGATATCACCTTCCGCGAGGCACACGACAACCTTTTCCAAGGAGAGACCGCCCGCTACAGTGCCTTCGCGACTCGTGTCATGATCAACGCGCTTTTCCTCGAGGTTTGGTACCACAAGCGCAGCCCGGAGGCTCTCCAGGATGTCGTGACTGAGTACAAGTTGCGACTTGCTCTTGAGACCTGGGAGAAGTCGCTTGAGATTTGCGAACCGGAGACTGTTGTTGTCAAGCTCAGTGCGCCGCACAAGGGCCACCCGCTCATCTTCAATGCCATGGCCGTGCACCGCAACGCTCGCGCTCGCCTTCTCGTCGATCTCAAGTCTGTGCAGGAAGCCCTTCGTTATCATGATTCATATGAGGTTGCAGCTTCCATGACCAACGCACGAGACAAGGTCAAGCGTTCTCAGGAGATGATCAAGGTCATTGAAGAATGTTTCGAATGCATCGAGGTTGCTGCGTTGCAGGGTATTCGCTGGGTGGCTCGTACGTCAGCTACTAACTGGAGCATTGAGCATCCGCTTTGCGGCATGGATCTGATGGTCATCCTTACGCTGTGGCTCTATCGCCTGGAACATGACGAAGAGCCCGCGACCGAGGAGGAACTCGCCATGTACAACAAGCTTCGGAACCTCTTTGACGACGATTCCGTGGATGTTTACGGTGCCAAGTTGAGCTCGACTGTGGCGCGTCTCTGGGGTAGTATGATTGATGAAGTCGTCGTTTGGGGGTAAGTTGTCGGTTCTTTCAAATTCAAGAGAACAGCCCAAGCTAACATGTTGGTAGTATCACCAAACTCATGGGTGAAGCTTTCAAGCTCCACTCGCAGGCTCTCGTAGGCTACGAAGATGCCATGTCGTCCCGTTCCGGATCGCCCACTCCTTCGATTCCGACCCAACCTGTGCACTCCCTGGAGATGCAGGCGGCATACTAGTATGCTGCTGTAATCCTTAATGATTTTCATGATTTGTTGCTTTGGGTTCGTTGCTTTCTTCTTTCTCTAGATTGGCTCTCCAGTCTGGTCGTCTCTCTGGCCTTTGCGCTAAAGTGCACTGCTGAGACACCGATTCTTTTCGTTTCTCACTTTCACGAATTTGGTGCGGTCTGGCTTTTGCATTGTTTGGTTTTTTGCATTCCTGGAGCGTGTTTGTCATTTTCGTGTCTTTTCTGCGGTAATTTTTTCCGAAACTGGGGGACTCGGCGAACACGGGTGGTTAGGTTTGGCTGGCTTAGGTTGTGGGCTTGCTCTATACACCATCGTCTCGAGCTCGGTGCTCATCCTTTTTTCTGGGTCTCTCTTTGTCACGGGCCCCGGAAATTTCTCTAATCCCCCTCGATACCACTTGTCACGACTTTTCGCTTGGCAAGCGCACATTTTTCTGCTTGGCTGGCCCCACGCATGTGTTGTGCTCCTTCTCCCCCGGTTTGTTTGCAGTCTGTTAGGGTATTGTTTTCTTTTTGTCTTTTTTTCCTCTCTCTTTTCCGTCTCCTTTTCCGGCATATTTCACGGCACCTGATCCTTAATATGCTCATCCCGCCTGTTTGTTTCCTCTTGGTGTCATTCTTTAGTACCATATACCATGTTCGATGCCAGTTCTGAGTTTGCGTTTTGCTCTTTTTGATGCGTTACACGATTTGCAGTTATCTTGGTCGCCCCTTCGCAGCGGCCCGGGACGCCATCCATGAGAACTGGGGGCGGAGGGCACGCAGGGGGTGGCGGCTAGGACATGTTTGTCGGACCTTCCTTCATGTATGACTATCAGTACAGCGGTAAAACTATAGCTCGCTCCAACGACGCGCATTGTGACATGTGAACCATCGTATTTCCTCTGCAACATGAACATGAGAGATCTGACGGGATCTCGGCATAAGCGGGGCCCGTGTTGACCGCCCCCTGCCGCGTGGAATGCCTGACCCCAGCCTTTGAGTCCCCACCCACCCAGCCGCCCGCTCGTCCACCCTCACTACACGGCGCACGTCCGTACCTGACACAAATCCCTCCGCTCGCTCGAACCTTGGTGCGCTGCACGTTCGTTTCTTCACACCACTCACGACCTGTCGCCGCCGCATCCACGAGCCGCAAACCTCAGCCTCGAGCCGTCCGTCGCCTTCGCTTCCGTACGATTCCTCGATATCCACTCGCCTTAGAACACCGGCGCCATGGGCTTCGGTGATTTCGACTCGGTATGCAGCAAGGCGCCTATACCGCTATGCGCCATGGTCGGTCCGCCCTCGTCCATATCCTCGTCCGGCCACGGCATACAAACAGTCTGCTTTGCGCGCGCCGTTGAACTAGCAAACACCATGATTTTCGAAACCGCGAACGACTTTATACACATTGCTGCGCTCATAATGACCACTATCATGATCGTCCATGTGAGGTCCAAGTTCACCGCTGTCGGTATGCTTGCCAAATACTACACCTGCCAATTCACAGGCTTTGCCCCAGCGTAGAACACAACTGACGCGTCGCTTCCGCAACAGGCCGCAAGGAGATTACGACCTTTTTCTGCATCTATGGTCTTCTCACCATATTCTCTCTACTTCTCGACTCCGGCGTCATACCTCCGGGCAATGGCGCCTTTGCCTATTTCGCCGCCGTGCAAAACGGTCTTTCTTCCGCGCTCTGCACCTGTCTCCTGATTAACGGCTTCGTCGGCTTTCAACTTTACGAAGATGGGACCACAGTCTCAGTATGGTTGCTGCGCATCAGCTCTCTGGTCATGTTCATCATCTCTTTCGCCGTATCTCTGCTCACATTTAAGGGCTGGGCTGGTTTGGGGCCTGAGAATACGGTCGGCTTGTTTGTCGTCGTGTACTTGTTCAACGCCATCTTCCTATTCGTCTACGTCGTGATGCAGTTGTTCTTGGTCCTGAACACCTTGCAAGACCGCTGGCCGTTGGTGCACATATTCTTCGGCGTCTTCTTCTTCGTCGTCGGACAGGTCTTGTTGTATGCCGTCAGCGACATCATCTGTGAGCGCGCCTCGCATTACGTTGACGGGCTATTCTTCGTCACAATCTGCAACCTGCTCGCTGTGATGATGATCTACAAGGTACGTTTTACACTTTTGTCTGCGCCTTTCCTTTAGCATGCTCGAGATTATCGTTGGTTAACATAAATACACTTCATAGTATTGGGACTCCATTACAAAGGAAGACCTTGAATTTAGCGTCGGCATCAGGACTCATAACTGGGAAGTCAAGGAACTTCTACCTGAGGCTGACCGCACTACGGCCTACCCCGACTCGGACTACGCCAGTGCCTTTTCACCCAACAACCGCTATTCGAATTACCGAGATGGCTACTAAGCCAACCGGCTCGGCTTTCCCTGTCAGTAAGAATTGCTCAAACTCTTTTGCATTGACTGGCGTTGGCTGTCGTTGCATTGCGCCAATATCCTTTCTATATGCTCCTCTGGCTGCTGCGGCGCAATGACAGGAGCGGCAGCGGCCTAGGCCTTTTAATGATGTGGCAGCGTCCGCTTCCGCCTTGACGAATTCTCATGTATTTAACGCCTTTTTGTTTCCCAGCATAGTAATTAATTCCCCGCGGGCACCCGCGTGCCGCACGTTAGCAACCTGACGAATCACGCTCCCCTCTGGCTTGCAGAATAGGCCGCGGCCCGACTGTAGAGTACATGTATAAGCAGTCATACTCTCGAGTGCGTGGACGCCGGCGACGAGACGCGCTGATGCGTGCGTTGGTCGCGTGCGTCTGTGTTCCGTGCCGCGCAGCAAATGGTCGCCGCACACGTCGAGCTGCGACAAAGTGCGCATCTGTTGCCGCTGCTGCTTTGTGGGCTTGAGGACCCCTTGCCCCTCTCTCCCGAAACCTACATTGCACCCCCTGCTGCGCCCTTGCTAAGCGAGCTGCCGGTCAGCAATGTCCGCGGCAGCGCCCTTCGCCTTCGTCCCCCCCCCCCCCCTCCCCCTCCCAGCTGCGTCTTGACCGGGACTGCTGATCGTTGGCGCGGCGTGAGAGCGGGTAGGTGGCTTATTGGATCAGTAAGCGTGCTTGGGTGTGGGTTGCACTGGGCAGTAACTAGAGAGTGGATGATGGATGCCGAGGGATTTAACGATGTGTCTCTGAAGTAGTTGTGATCACCATTAATACCTTCTTGTCGTGTCTGTACAGTGCTCTGGCTGTCCTCCCACCGTGGCACAACATAAGATGGCGCATGACTGTCATTTTGATTCATGAACGGGAAAAACGAGGGCACTGAGCTTCATTCATCTGCATACATCCACGTCTTTTTCGCATCATATTCCTCGTTCCCAATCAGAAGCACATCTTCCTCTAGACTCGCCATATTGGTGATATTCCTGGAGCTGATTTACTCCCGGATCCGAACTGTGGTGAAATCTCATATTGGTTTGGCTATCTTCAGCCAGCTGTGACCTTGACTTTTTATGTACTCCGGACGCGCCCCAAGCTTAGCTGATCCGAAACCGTTGTGGGTGACACAACAGTTACTAGCTTTATGTTTCATGGTGTGAACGTGAAGCCCAAACTAGTCATTCAATAAGCTGAAGTGAAATAACAAGAAATATTGGAAGGACTTTTGTACAGCTGAACAAGTGCAATGGAACTTCGAAACGTAAATGTAAATATGAAGGCGAATAGCAGTAAAACAAGCCAGAGAGGCCAACATCATATCGCGTGTCTAAAATTCCATCTCTTCCTGATCGTCATCATACTGCATCAACCCAGCTCCAAACGGCAACGTCCAATCGTACACGCCACAAAAACCCCTACCTCCCCCATTACTAACTACTATGCAGAATATTCAATAAAGGCCTCATTTCGACATTGGTGCAGGCGTTTCCTTCATGACAGCCGTTTCCCTATCTCCTCACACTGCCGAAGCCTCTGGACAACATCTCCTGGATCTCGAGGCTGCTGCGGGGCTTCGCACGCGCAGCGTCTGCGCCCTCGTTTGCACGACCTTCCTCTAGGCTCGCCGGCCTATTCCGTAGCAAATCGCGGACCTCGCCCTCGCGCTCCTCCTGCTCTCGTGCCGTCAGGGCCGGCACGTCGCCAACGCTGGCACGCTTGTCCTTGGCGTCCTTGTCACCACGTAGTAGCCAGCCCTGTTGCAACTCGTCGACACTAGCGTCCTCGAAGCGCCGTCGGATCTGTGGGTCTTTCTCTAGCTCCTGGAAGGCGTCAACGTCGGTTGTGAAGAATGTCGCACGGAGTGATGAGATGCCCAATTCAAAGACGATGACTGATGCTAGGATCATGATCAGCGTCAGCCACCACGATGCGTTGCGTCCGAAGCGATCGAAGAAGCCATCCTTGACATTGTAGATTTCGTTGTTGCTGTACATGGCCGCCAGGATGATGTTCCACAGGAACCAGCCGCCGACAGACAGCACGAGGCTGAACAGAGCCGTGTATGTCTTCGTGTGCATTTCCAGAAGCTGCAGTTTGACACTGATCAGGACAACGATCGCCGTGAATGTGAGGTCTCCCATGGCGAAGAGGCCCTGATCTTCAGTGAAGAGGGCTTGCCCGTACAAGCCCAGCATGCAGAAGAATACGACTATGGCCTCTGATGACGCCATGAATATCCAGCCTAGGTAGACCTTGAAGTTGAAACCACCGCTGAGTTGGCCCTTGGTATACAGTTCTGGAACGGCGAGCAATGTCGACGGGGCGAGGTCTTGCTCGAAGATACCCAGGATGATAACCGGTAAGGAGGTGAAGAGCTAATTTCGTTGGTTAAACCGTTTTAGTTGAGGGTTAGAAATGATTAACATACCGTGTTGAACATACTCAAACTCCAGGACTCGTAGAGACTAGTGCCTGTGTATCCAGTCCATCTCTGGAACAATGCCTGAGTAAGATAGAAGACGAATTCTTTCCAGAATGTTGCAACGGTGTACTTGCATGTCCTGATATAGTTCCATCGCCCGTGCACCAACAAAAGCTTGGTGAGGAACCTGAACTGTGCAATGGAATAGTCCGAAGCCCTGGCTGCCTGGAGACCCTCCTTACCCGTGATTCCAATACCAACGTGAGCTTCTTGAATCATTGCGATGTCGTTCGCACCATCACCAATGGCAAGAGTGATGCTCTTCTTGACCTTCTTGCGTACCATACTAACCAAGCTGGCCTTTTGGCTGGGGCTGGCGCGGCAGCAAATGACAGAGTCGACCAGAACGGCAAGATCGAAGAATAGGGAGTGTAGCGAGTGGTCCTCTGAAATCATTGATAGCGTCTGACCGTCAACAACCATGACAGAGTGTGCAACATTGCCGGAAGTAGTGCTGACAATGGCAGAGGCAATGTGCTGCTCAACATCTCCAGACTCATGATCTAGGATTGTGACGGATGAGTAGTCCTTGATCAAACGGCAGGACTGGCCAATGTTGATAGCGGTTTCGCGCTTGTCGCCAGTTAACATCCACATCTTGATGTTGGCTCTGCGCAACTTGTCAATTGCTTGTGGTACACCGTTCTGTAGCTTATCTTCGATAGCCGTAGCACCAGCCAGATCAAGATTCTGCTCTATCAGCTCACCAGCTTGCTCAATCATGACTTGACGATCCACTAGGCTGGTGGTCGCGTCGAGGTAGATCTTCTTCCATCCTCGGTACTCTTGTTCATCGATAAAACGATATCCGTAAAGCAATGTACGCAGACCCTCGGTGGCAAAGTCATTAATGTGTTGGAAACACCGTTCAATGACAGTAGGTTCATCGACCACAAGTGACTCTTCAACCAGATCTTCTTCATCGTCATCAAGCTGCATTGAGCTGCGAGCCTCAGAGACAGCCATCGAAGCCCGGCCGATTTGAGCGGATGGGCGTGGCGAATAGTAAATACTATTTTCCTCCATGGAAGAGACATCAACATCTCTTTCGCGTTCAGTGAGCCAGTTATTAAGCTCATCTCTGACAGGCTGCAACTTGTTGCCAGACATACTCGTACGCCCCAACCCACCAGCGCTGGCGCGACTGAGTCCACCCATGCTGGCACGACCGGTTCCACCAATGCTGGTACGGCCAAGACCACCAGCGCTGGCACGGCCCATTGAAAAGCTGGGGCGGCTCATGCTGTTCCTGGTCCGCTCAACCTGTTCGCTTTTCCGGGCTATAGCAACTTGAGCTTCCATGCTTTTGCGTTTACTTGCCCGACGCTCAATCTCCACAACCTTCTGATTGGCTATCTGAGCATGCTTGAGGCGCTGCATGATGATAGAGTCGGCTCCCTTGCAAAGAATGCAGATGCGGTTGTCGGGAAATCGGACGATAGCTGACATCCTCTTCCGCTTGCTGGAAAACTCAATGACATCAAGCACCTCGTATGTTTCGATGATTGGCTCGCCATTGGCAGCAGTACGGCTCTTGAGGGTGATGGTGTTGATATCGCGGTTAACAACCATGTACCCGAGTTCTTGGGCAGCTCTGACAAGCGCCAGCTCATCAGGTGAGGAAGCTTGAAAGTCAATGGTGCCGTCCTTTTGTTCCTCCGGCAAACAGGTATGGCATAGAGAAATCGAAAGTAGGAACAAACGAGTCTTCCGGGCAAAGACAGTGTAAGGTTTCCGTTGTATATAACGAATCAAATCACCGGTTGTCAGAAGTTCTGGCTGAACCCTGCCAGGACGAGCTGATGAGGTCCATTGACTACTCTCTCGGTGAGGCACCAAGGCATCGGATGAACCTTCTTCATTTATGTTTTCGACAGTCTCGGATCCGTTTTTCATAGCTTGTTTGACTGATGCCAAGCTCTTGCGCAATGGTTTCTTTCCCTTGTTGTTCTTCTTCTTGGGTCTAGTAGGTCGAGGGTAAATATCCCCTGGTCCGAGGTCATGATTATGAAGCCATGAAGTACCAGCTACGCTCATCTTACGAAACTTCATCGTATTGTCCGTAAGAGTACCGGTTTTGTCTGAGAAAATGTAGCTGATCTGGCCCAATTCCTCGTTGATAGTGGATGTATGAGCTTCAAAAGGTGTGTTCGATTCGGCGTGATACATGTCAATGTCGTTGAGCAGCCACATCTGCCACACCTTGACAATCTCCAAGCTCACGTAAAGTGATAGAGGAATCATGGTGTTGAACATGATGATGAATGATGTGAGGATAGGGAAGAAGGCCACTCCAGCATTCGTTAAGTACCAGGCGTCGCCCTCGTTTCTCGAGGACCAGATCTGGTAAGCAACGGTATTGAATATGGCCAACACGATGACGAAGACGACGATGATAAGAACAATCTTGTTGACAAGACTTTGCAGGGCCGGAGCCTTGATTCTCGGGTTTTTGTTCGCATTCATCCGGATCTTACATTCTTCACCGGTATAAATGACCATGCCGACGGCTTCTGGAGTGTTCCGCAAAATACTGCCACGGTATACGATCTCCGCATTCGTCAGCGGCGCAGTTTCCCCGTCATAGGTAACACGACCCTCGAAGTTATATAGATCCAGGTTAGGATCCTCAACTACGAAGTGTGCCTTGCAAACAGAGAGATCTTCGTCGCTTTGGCAAGCTTTTGCCAATACCGCACTTGCTTGCTTGCTCTTGAGATTTGTCTCACCGTCCAAGGCCATGGTCTCGATATGAGCAGCCCCGTTAGCACCGGTGGAATGTAAGAGTACCAGGTCAGCGGGAGCTGCTTCGTCACGCTTAAGCTTGACCACGTCTCCGACCCGAATGTTCTTCCACTTGATCGGTGCCCAGTGAATCGGACCGCCTGGTTGTGAAGTCGACTGTTCCTCGTCTGCTGCCTCCTTATTGGCAATAGGTTGATACGCGCGGAGAACAGTGGCCTCACTGTTGTTTTCCGCTTTGTCAAGTTTGTATCTGCAGAAATCGTCGTAACCCTCCTTAAACATCGAAAGACTTATGAAAAATGCTAACGGAACAATAGTTGTATATGTGCCAGTGGTACTAAGACCGGGTATCATCTGGAGAATGGAGACGCATAAGAAGTAGAAGTTTGCGAGTTTAGAGAATTGCGCAAGCAGCTGCCTAGGAACGAAATTCCAGGCGTTGTAGCGGCTAGAGCGAATGGTGTTTGGAACGTAGAGTTTCCCAGTGCGGTCATCGGTCAATGCCATCTTGCGAGAGGCGTCAAGGTCAATGTGCCGGCCGTCCTTGCTTGGTGGAATCTCATTGATCCGCAATACGAATTTCCTAGCTTTCTCGATTCGCTCCTTAACCTGTTTAACGAGACCATTGTGCTTAGACTTTGCAGCGATCCAAGATTCGTAATGCGGAAGCGCGGCAATACCAGGCAGATTACTCTTCTTTTCCGTTCTGGAAGGCGTGCCTTCAGGGTCGGGATAGTTCCGTGGGGGAAGTTCTACAGATGGGCGCACTGTGACGCTCATTCCATCTGTTGATTTTTTCGCCGGACTGGGTTCAGATGGTTCTACTAAGTTAGGCTGGCTTGAAGACCCAGCGTCTTGCAACTCGATAATGCCACCATCTGTTTCGGTTCCAGGGTGTTGAATGTTCTTCCGGAAGAGGGAACTTCGGAGCGAATATCCTCTGGCGCGGGTGTTCGGGGACAATGGTGATAATTTGTTGGCAAGGCGTGGGGACGCTGATGGGGGGCTCTCCGCGGGCGATCGAACAATATCCTGCCCTAGGACAGAAGGCCGGGAGTCCTCCTTTGCAGACTGTGTATCCAGCGAAAGATTGGGCGTTCCTGATCGCGCAAGTGGACCAGATGCTCCTCCGGTCCGCAACGGTGCTGTCGGACCTGACCCATACGCACCACTTCTCGGTATAGTGCTCCTATCGACGTCGGCGGAGAACCTGACTCTCGGCGCGGCATTGCTTGCAGAGCGGGTGGGAATTGCTGCGAAGTCGGCACTGTCCACTCCGGAAGAGGTAGAGGCGGGCTGGAGGCCCGGTTCGGAGAAGACCCTACGACCCGCGCGGTCGACAGCATACGTGCTATGGGCAGACGCGGCAGGTTCCAAGTCATCGTCATCATGGTGGGATGAATGTCTCCTCCTCACCCCGGGCCGGTCAGGTCCTTGGTCGTAGTCACCGCCGCTCATTCTCGTGTAGAGTCGTGAAGAGTAGCCAGGCCAATCATAACCAGGAAAGCACGGACGGGTATGTAGAGTCGAAGTGAAGCGAGAGAGATGGTCGGTCGAGGTTTGCAACGAGTGCGCGCGGCCCCTCTGGACTTGGGTGACAGGACTCAGCTTACAATGCAGCTCTGAGGCGCAGCGAGGCGTGATGGATGGCAAGCTGTGCCAAGAAACCTCGTCAACCCGCGCGCATTCTCGAGCCAGCACAGCCGAGCGGAGGGAACTCAACGTGCACGCCAGACTAAGAATAGAAAAGGATTGGCGTCTTTGACGTCGCCAGCGCAGCAAAACCTCTGCCTCGGATGCCACCTCAACCGTGCTGGACCTGAGGGAGCATCTGCTCGACGATCTGTGTCTCACCAAGGCTTGTTTCAAGACGCTCGTCTTCAAAAAGGGCCCCAGAGCATTTCTTCGCACGGTTCATCAGCGTTGATCGCCTGTATCATGGAGATGCCTGATGCCCTACGACCCCACCGCCGTGCGACCACCCTTGCAATGCCCGCTGAGACGAGACAGGGCTGTGCACAGGCTATTTACGGCCAGGCAATAGGGACCTCTAGAACCTGAACCACCTCTACGCTCCGTGGCGGTGAAGGGCAAATTTTTTTTATAAGCTGTGGGCTATATATATATTATATGAACTATTTATTCATGAAGATCGTCACGAGAACATGTCTCGTATCAGCAAATAAGCATCAGCATATTGCACCAGCGAATTAGCAGCTCGCTCCCAGACGATAGGTAAACACCTTCAAAGGAAAAATATGCTAGTTACTTGATCCTTCTGCAGGAACAGGTGGAGCGCGGTTACTTCGCGCTGCCACGCATCGCTTCCTCCACTGCGTGGCGCTAGAACGCGCGATGCCTGTCACTGTTTTTTTTCATTGGACGGAACGACTAATAATCAATATGTTGTACCCCACAGCCTCATGTAGATTGCCAGCTTGAGTCTACCAATGTTTGAGGAGCAACGAGAGTCTGTAATTCAACAAAGAAAACTCCGACGATTGACGGTTAACGGCGCAATTTCAATTGACGCAGCTCAAACCAATGCACAAGAAAATTAACAAAAGAGCGCGACTTGGACTGCAAAAGGAAATTATCTCCAGTAGAGGGAGCGGATTGAACTGCGTGCACGCCTAACGCTCAACTGAGGAAGCAGCAAAATGACCTAGCCCAAGCGAAATAGTACTGAAGGAATATCAAGCAGGACCAAACTGATGAAACAGCAACCTCGACAGACGCAATCTTGGAACCCTGATCCTGCAAATCCACAATGCCGCAAGCAGAAAGCTTGAATACCCACCCATCGCACTTCCAAACTCCCAATAGTTAAAAAGGACTTATAGTAGTTCCGCCAAAGTTTGAGTTCCCAAAAAAGGAAATGAGTAGTGGTGGTCGTTGCCCATGTCATTAGTTCTTTGATGCACACAACTGAATTTGACTGTTCCCTGCGCCTTGCCATATGCTTGCATAAATGGGTATGTGACTGAAGGAAAAAAGATGGTGGCGGGTTATGTTTTTGAGGCCCGCCGCGGCTTTACTGAGTCGCAGCAACACACCAGTGGCGGTGGTAAACCCAGGCGCTCTTCTGGCATTCCTTGCTGCAGTACTTAGTCCGACGGCAACGGCGGCACTTGGCAAACTGGCGAGTGTACTCCTCCCAGCGGCCGCACTGATAGTATGCGCATTGTCTGATGCCACCGCGCGAATCGTCTTTGCGGCAAAGGTTCCTCATAACGACGCCCGCCCAATATTGCATGTCCTGGGAATGATGACGGACAGTGAATTTCTCAACAAGGGGAAAGATGTTGAAGTCGTCCGGTAGAAGATATTCCTCCTGGCACTCCTCTTCTTCAGGCAGCGACGTTTGACTGGGCTCGCCGTCGAGCAACGCAAGGTCGGCGTTGCTAATCCTGAGTTTTGGTACAAGGTGCGACTTCTGGAAATAGGACCGCAAATTGCAATACTTGGATACATATGCCAACAATTGCAAAGACATCAATACGTCCTCGTCCCGAGGCATAGCAGCTAGCACATTGGCAGTGTTCCGGTCCTGGGGGTACCGGGGATACAAATTAACTTGCATACCAGTGGGTGGCGTAGCGTTGGCGACGTTGATGGCTGGCTGTGCAGGCGAGAAACCCAAGGGACCTGCCGCTTGTGTCGCTGCCGGGTTGAGGATACTACCATCAATAGCCGATCTGTGGGTGATGTTAAATGTTTCCGCATCGGTTCCCTCCGAAGCGGGGGCGGCCAAGCCAACAGGAGTCGCCCCGGCATCAAGCATCTCCTCGTTATCAACAATATCCTGCATGTTGATTTCGTTCTGGATGCCGACAATTGGCTCGCCCGCGGGCCCTGCTGTCGCGTGATCATCGGAGACGATTTCTTCAGCCTGACCATCGTCCGATTCGCCAGAAGTTGAAATTTGGTGCCGGATGGATGGCCGCCTACGAGTTCTCCCAGTGGTGGATTGGGACCGAGCATTAACTGCTTGGGCCTGCAAAAGAGCATTGGGAGTGGTAGGAGACTCAGGCTGGGAAGTGATATCTCGTTGCAAGTTTGGAAGCATCGAGGGAAGTCTATCAACGTCCCTGACCGGACGGATACCGAAATCCTGAGGTTCCATCGTAGACACGGCATTTGAGTGTGACTGAGTGAGGTGCTGGCGGCTCGGTCCGGTCCTTGGTGCAAGGGCATGCGCCCGGCTCTCGCCACGAGAATGGTGATGGTGATGTGGTCGAGAGAAAGCCGTCCTTTCAGGGGGCGAGTTTATCGAGAAAGCCGAGTTCGAACCGGCATCTGCAGGCCTTGCTTCCAGTTGTGCCTGGTTGTAGGACTGCGGAATCTCGATGGGAGGAGGCGCATGGCGCCGCGACCGTTCCGACCTACCCACTCCGGTGTTCAAAGGATCTCCAGTCCTCGAGAAATGCCTTCCGGATAGTCCGTAGCGGGGATTGCTCCGTTTGTACTCGGCCTCGGCCCTCTCTCTGCACTTGTCAATAACTCGGATGTAGTTGTCGAGGACCGTAGCGATGACGGGCACCATGTCAGCTTCCACGACACGAGTGCGCACGTTCTCGGAACCGCGGACGCCGATGTTGACGACACACTGGAAGGCCAGGTTCCATTTCCAGATGTCCATCATGTCCTTGCTCCGGCCATCTTTCAGTATGCAGACCAGCCTCTCGACGCCACCATCGACGGTAAGGATGTCGCGGATACGCGCCGAGGAGGTAGTGAGGTAGGCAAGGTGGTTCAAAGAGTTGATGAGCGGGAGGGTCGACGTGCAATCCAGTGCTCGACGATCATAGAGGGCGGTGGTGATGCCGACAGAGGCCTTGTTGGAGTTTGGGATGCTAAAGTTGACCTCGCGCATGATGATGGAGGGCTGCGGGCGTCCGGTGGATTGGTGTCGCGGTGGATCCTAGCAGAGGGTAACGCAAGGGCAATCCGGAGGGTGCAAAGGAGCTGGGCCCGACGCGTCAGTGGTTTGTCGAGGAGACGAAGAGCAACCTGACACACCCGATAACGCCAACAATGCAGGTGATGAAATAGCCGACCAAGCAACAAACTACGGCGTCGAGAGACTTGGCAAGGGCCGAGTCAGCGATGGGGTGATTTCCGAAGGACGGAGCGAGGTTCAGGAGGAGCGGGCAGAAAGCGACATGCGGGGCCTGCGAGGCGGACAGGCAGAGGCTCAGGATCAGGGCGCTGATGGCTTGTGGTCGCTCGTGATGGTGTTTGCTCTCCTGAGGGGACCACGTCGGGAAGGTGCACGAGCCGTGGCGATTGTCAGTCTGCCTCTTGTCCTCGAGCGGGCCGGCTGTCGAAGAGCAAGCAAGGTCAGGCGACGCTGGCTGGCAGAGTCGGGGCGGAGGGGAGCTATGTGATGCAGCGCGCGGGTGTCGGGAGTGGCGGGTGGTATATGGCTGTCGTGGTGAGAAATGAGGAGGAGGGATTGGGCGAGGCAGTGTTGGGTGTGCTGGAAGTGAGGAGGCTTCTTGTGCTTGGCGCCCGACTACTCGAGATTGCCTCGTTCATGCAATGGCCGGCTTGGCTCGCGATGATTAATGACCCGGCCCCCGAACCGCGATCCCTCTTACAGGACATAGGCTCCTTCGACGACCTATTGTTGCGCATCATGCCCGCCGACAGAAGATCATTACGGGCCACTTCTGCCCTCTGTCCTGGCACGGTGCTCCTCCCCCCCAGCCCTCGGCTCCGCTCGCCCCTTGAGCGGCGCCAGCCTGGCCATCCTGCGATCAACTGCCTCTCTTGCACGCCCGCTATGTCTTTTGCGCCTGTCCCCTCGGTCCCCCGACGCTCCCTACTCGTAGTCCCTTTCCCTCGACATGGCCGACCCGACCGTACGCGACTTTGCTGGCGCCCCAGAGCCTGCCGCCAGCCCCATTGATCTCGAAGACGCACGATACTCGCTCGACAGCCTCCACCGCCGTCCGACCCGCACCAACACCATCACTCACTACCATTCGCCCACGCGCGAGACGTGGGAGGAAGAGCCCGGCGCAGAACCAGGCGTTGACACCACCGCCGATGGCGACGAAAAGCACGCCCATCTGCGGGCTCCATGTAGCATTACCGTCGTCGACTTCTCAGACGAGAACATGATGCAATACGAGCTGGACAATAACACCCTGCCGGCTTTCCTTGAACGCCCTAAAGAAGACTGGGTCGCTTGCAGGTGGATCAGCGTCAATGGTTTGTCCTGGGATGTTATCAAGACCATAGGCAACCAGAAGGGCCTGCACCGACTTGCTGTGGAGGATCTTATGCAAACTCGTGAGTAAATGCCTGCGGAATGGCTTTCTTCCCACTGTGCAATTGCCTACACCTTCCTCCTTGCTTGAGATTCCACGAGTGGTATTGGAGCTTCCCAAAGCGCCACAGCGCGTGTTGTGAATGGGCAGACAAGGATTTTTTTTTTTT